ACAGAACACCATCCCCTCACTGATGTGTACACATATAAACATGACAGTAAAACAATATAACATAAAATACAATAAAATAAAAGGACCATACAACTCATTCATTCATTCACTCATTTTCTGCCCTTATTTTTACTCCATTTCTGGGTTGGGGGGGTGACAATGAAAGCTGCCACCCAATGCTCATAGCACCAGTCCCTCGCCGATCCTCCTGCAGGTGGTGAGTCCACAGGAAGATGGCTGCTGCTCCATCACTGGTGCCACAGCCTTGTTCTATCAGCGGGGGCTTCAGACATTGTGGGGTTAAGTGTCTTGCCCAAGGACACAACGACAGCAGACATTAGTGGGCGCAGTTGGAGTGGGTCTCGTGGGGGGATCAAACCCACGACCTTCAGGCCCAAAAGCCAATGCTCTACCAACTAAGCCACTGTCTTCCCCACAATACCACCTGACCATACAACTCACGCAGTAGTAGCCAGAGCAAAAAAAATGGGTTCAAGACGAGACTTAAAACACTCCACAGAAGGAGCAGTTTAAATATTGGGGGTAGAGCGCTCCACAGAACTGTCCCCCCAGGTTTTATGTCCTGTCCAGGGCACCACGAGCTGGAGCCGGCCCTCGGACCTCAGAGCGCGGGCGTGTGATGTGACCTACTCAATTGCACATGTGACAATTGAGTAGGTCACATACGTGCAGAGGGCAAACTCCAATGAAGTAAAGTTTTGAGGAAACTTCTCATCAGAGCAATAAACCTCAGATGAGAATGTTTTTGCATATCAAACACGCAGCCCCGGTTTTATTGGTGTCCACCTGCAATAACGCCGCTATTGCCTGCTCCTCTTTGGTGTCAGCCTGAGGTATAAACACAAATAATTCTCCAGCCTTTAGTGGAGCCCAGGTCTGGCAGAAAAGCCGCTCTTCTGTTTGAATGCTGCACATAAGAGCGAGACTATATGTTTGTGGGGTTTTTGTGGTCAAGATGCAGAAGAGTTCAAGGAATAAGAATCAGAAAAGTGAGGCAGAGCAGTAAATCCATGCAACAGCTGCACACTAGCATCATGCAAATGTACCACCCATCAAGGCTCCTTCTCCCACTGAGAGAAGTGATTCATCTCCATCCTTTCCATCCATGTATGTAGTGGCAATGATTTGATATTTTTTGCACTTTCCAGTTTTGCAGCCGAGAATCTCTGTTGACTGATGCCACAAGAAATAGAGTTTGAGGAGAGGGCAGGAGAGCTTTGAAGGTTTGGGAAGCTAACTGACTCGATGACTACATGCATTGTATTGTGTGCAATTATAAGAGCTTCCATTAGAGCAGATTGGTCAAGGCTGCGGCTCCATCGCTGACGTCAGAAAACTATTGAAGTCTATTGATGACTTAGATGTTTGGCGTAAAATTATAGCTATTTTAAAATATCCTAATTATCATAATGTGTTGGAAGTTTATAGTTTATTTCCAGATGCCAAAGACAATTACATTACTTTACTATCCATTCCACAGTTGGTGGTGGTTATTTACACTGCCACAGATGCCCTGGGGCAGACGGTCATACACATACGGTTTTAGATTTTTATCCTTTATGCTGTATTTTCAGTTCTTAATCATTTTCACTGTGTGTGTGTGTGTATGTGTGTGTATAGGTACGTGTGTGTGTGTGTTTTCGCGTGTGTGTATCTGTGTTTGTGTATTAGCGTGTGTATGTATGGGCGTGTGTGTGTGTGTTTCTGTGTTTTTGGATATGCATGCTTATTATTTTTTCAGTTTGTATGGGTGTCTGTGTGTATCTGTGTTTGTGTATATGCATGTGTGTGTGTGTATAGGCGTGTGTGTGTAAATATGTGTGTGTGTGTGTGTGTATTTGTGCCACTGATAGTATTGTTTTGTGTTGTACTGGGAGAGGGGGGGAGTGGAACAATAATACACCATCTGCTTTGAATACACCACCATTCAAATGTGCAACATGTGTCTGAAGATATGAGAAAAATAAAATAGAATAATTAAATGTATATTCTCAAAACGCACACATGAAGCAGACACAGTTTTCACTTCCATGTCCAGGTGTTTTTTGCTCAAACAAAGGTTTGAACGAAAATTCTGTTGCCGTACACTTGTTTTACATGATAACACACATGTCATTTAGGAAGCTGTCGAAATAGATCAGACATATGTTAAAAACAATGCAGCTTTTGAGCACATTTACAGTTATTTTCATGAAACCTGCAGCTTCTGAAAGCAGTGAACATGACACAATCTTGCGTCTGAATCTGTCCGTGCTGCAATTGCTTTGACTGTTACTGTTGAGCTTGTTTTGGAGCTCTGGCCCTGAACTCTGGACTTCTGCTCGCTCCGCACATCCATCAAACCTCTGAGTCCCGGAGGTGGAGTTCACTTATCGCTTAAAGCCGAGCTCCCACAGAAACAACCGCATGATGGAGTTTAGAAATTGTCTCCTTCGATTTGGTGTAAATTCAGAATATTGTTTTAAAGAGAATGAAGCTGTAGAAAAGTCTGGTTATCTACCCATCGATTCAATTCATGTATGTGTGTATATACTGTAAGCCTGAATCACAACAGCAGTGGCCGTGGGGGAATTTACAAAGTTGTTGGTTCGTCAAAACAACAGATCAGAGAATCAAACTGTTCAAACTGTAGGAGGCAGTGGTCCATAGGGAACGGGATGACCACTGTCCAGATGTTGATATCGTAAAAGCAACAAAAGGAAAATAAAAATGAAAAGGGGGAGGTAATTTTGCTTCTACTTACTCGTTTTACAAATGTATATATATTCGAATTAAAGACTATGATTGGTACTTAATTAATATAGATAAAAGTCCTTTATGTACCGGATCATCACGTTAAAAAAATGACAAAAAACAGCCTCATTGCAGTGTCTAAATAAATAAAAGTAAGTAATCTATTTTCATATTGCGCATTTCACAAGATCTCACAAATGACTATCAGTAATTTCCATACACGGTGAGACGTGAAGGACACTGACAAAGCCTCCGACCATCACCCTCCATTCACCCTGTCATTAAATCAACTCATATTGTACAAGATTTTAGTGGCAGTGGAAACTGGAGCACTCGGAGCACACCTACACAGACACAGGGAGAACATGCAAACTCCACACAGTAAAGCCTGGAGCGCTGATGGGATGGGTTCACAGGGATTGGAGACATCATGGACTACATATGACTTTATCAGGGGACTAAACAGAATTGTCAATTTCCCAACAACAGATTAGAGAGATTAGTTTGTGTAAGCCCTCAGTCGTACAGCGATTAGTCAAAGCAAAGGAAGGTTTCTCACCCATCATCTGTACTTAGAGAACAGATTAGAGATTCAAAACTATCAAAACACACACATCCAAAACCCTATAATCTCGTCTCCACACATGAAGTTGGCTGCACACAGTCTCACAACAATGTTTTTTCTCCCCCCTGGGATCAGAATACACACGTGGTCGTATCTCGCCCGTGGGTAGTTGTCATCGCGCTGTCATCTCCCATTCTGCCGCCTGTGCCCGTGCGTGTGTCCGTGCGTGAGTCTGTGCGTGTGTCTGTGCGTACCCGTGCGCGCCGCCTCTCCATCGTTGCGCGTGCACGGCAGTCTGCAAATCCGCTGCCGCAGCTCACCGGGCGCTCACAGCCGACTGCAAACTTTGGTGCGCTGTTTGAGTGTTGAGGCGAGAGAAGGTTCTGGATAAAGGTATTTTACAGATTATTTAGATTTTACAGATTCTACAGATTCTATAAATTCTGCTGTCATCTTTACCTGGAGCGCGCTTTGGTTTGGATCATTCAGGTGAGTGACGCGCCAGATGTGCATGATGTGACTGCGCCTTTGGCTTTGGTGAAGAGAGTTAAGATTGTGCACGTGCTTTAAATATGATGTTTCTCTGTATGATGTTTGATGATCCACTGGATTCAAGCGCGTGTTTTTGTCACTGTAAATATGTGCGTAATGACAGATCCATCCGCTTGTCTTTCATTTATTTTTCATGTATACATTTATTTCAGGCAATGGCTAGTACAAGGAAAAGACATGGTCAAGTCATATTGTGCAAAATGATAAAGAGGATGGTAAAAAATGTATGTACAGCAGAGGTCTCCAACCTTTTTGGAGAGTTTATGCAGAAGAGGCAGAGAGCTACTCCTTTTTGCAGTCATAATTCAAGTATGTCATAATTACGAAAAGAGAGAACACACATAAAATATACTTAATAACACTATATTTGTTCTTATAATAGAAGATGTAGTCATAATATATAGAAAATAATATATAGATATTATGACTGAAAATGTTTTCATTCAAGATTGTGTGTTTGATCCTTTGGGGAGGAACCTGAGAGGGGCTGGTGAGCCACTGGTTGGAGACTCATGATTCTGCCTAATTCTGCCTGTAAGGGAGTGGGAAGAGGATAACTGTAGTTATTGGCTCCCAAGTGATACATCATTTTTACAGGAAAACAACCAAATGTATTTTATTCTAACAACACATAATTAGAAGTCAAACAGTTAAATGTAAAACAATGTGTTTAACTTATATATTTGCTCCAGTCTTGGTTAAATCTAAACAATAAACACATTTTGTTTTCAGAAATATCAAACCAGAAAATAATTTTGAAACCCATGTGACATAAAAATATGTTTCAATCTTTCATAATATAAAACACTTTTACAGTGGCTCAGATGGTAGAGCATTGGCCTTTGAGCCTGAAGGTTTTGGGTTCAAGCCCACAATGAATTCTCCTCCCCCGAACCCCACTTTGCCTGAAGCCCCCACTGAAAGATTGAGGCTGTGTCATCACAGACAGAGACAGACAGGACTCTCCACCTGCAGGAGGATGAGGGGCAGGTACTCTGCGACACCCTCCCAACCTAGAAATGCATTAAGGGGAAGAAAATGGATGGGTGGATGAAATCTCTTGTTTTTATTTGGCCCCTGACCAAAATGAGTTGTGGGTGTTTTGCAGTGGCACAAACAGGTGTCAGTGATGGAGGGGAGTCCAGTTGAGAGCTACAAAGAGGACAGCAAGTGTGCGTCCGGACTCTTGGAGTGTCTGCTGAACGGCTCTGGGTTCATGGAGAGCCGGAACCAGACACAGGACGAGGGCATGTCCCCCATCATCCCCATCATCACCGCTGTCTACTCTGTGGTGTTCGTGGTCGGGCTCTTTGGGAACTGTCTGGTCATGTACGTCATCATCAGGTGAGTGGAGTCTAACAACGCTGTAAACGCCAGGGCTTGCATCTCCACAAACCTGACTTGTCTGGGAAGGGGTGTTTCGTGCGTGTTGTTGCTATAGAAACTCCAGCAATAAGGTATGACATGGTTTTAACTTTCTGTTTCCAATCCTAGAGGAGACCGCACACAGAAAGTTACATATGGATTATTACATGATTAGGGGTTATGATTAAGATTGAGATTAATATCAAGAGATCCATTATTTGTCCGGAAATGTCAGTTTTGTGAAGTAAAGCACACAGCACAAGATAAGATAAATTTACACAGCTCTATACTCTGTAATAAATAAAATAACATAACATAAAATATAATCTCTATCTTTGGCATAATAAGGAAGCAATTTATCATCTCTAACTCAAAAATTAAGTACAACATATCTTAGGGTTAAAAAATGAAAGTATGGAAAAAGTTCACATATTTTCTGGGCCATGTCTATTGATTATTACAAGAAGAGTTGCCTAAAATGTGACACAATTGGGTTTTCACTAAATAAAGTAGATGCATTTGGATTGTACTGAAACACCAAAGCACTCACGGAAGCTCAGATTACTTTTATGGACAAGGTTGTAACTAAGTTTGTCAATTCTCAGAAAAGCCCACGGCCGAAGCAGAACCTCTCATTGGTTGTTATTTATGAAGTTTGGAGGAGCCTCGTGTTGATGTAGTGAGCAGCAGCGGTGGTTCCTGAATGCTCCAGTCCACAGTCATTACTCCGGATCAATCACATCGACTTTTATCACTTCACAACTGAAAAGGACTTATGTGCTTTAGAGCTCCGCAGAGACTCATGCCGCTGACTGCTCTAAATGGGTTTGGAAGATGAAGTGTAAACAGCAGCACAGGGATGAGAGCTCTGTGTGAAGTTTGCCCATTCAAACTATACACTTCTTCTTAAACATCGCAAACATGATGTGGTTTGTTATTTTAATGTCAGCAACACACGGACAGAGAAAGAGCCACACAATCCAACAGGCTCCAAGTGCATTTGAATTATTACGGAAACTTGCAGCATTTTGCATCACATTCAACAAATACAAACACATCTGCTGTATTACTGCAACAACTGATACAATATAAGGTTATGCTAGAATCAAGGCTTTTTATCCAAATACGCTGTTAGGGCTAGATATTTTTGCTTGTTCCATTGGAAAGTCAAATTCTTGGAAGTCAAAATGTACTCGAATTAAGATCAAAACACGTGATTCAAGCATTTTTTACCATAATATTGTATAATTTTTCCCCCCAGAATAACAGTGTTTTTCAACCAGAGGGCCGTGGTATGTTAATGTACCTTGCATTGTTGTTGGGCGTGCCTTTAGAAATGATTCAATATTACCTCAGCGTTCAACATTTAATTAAATGTTTCGAAATTTTATATTACAGTCACATAAAGAACACGAAGATGAAGTTCTACCCTGATCTTAACACATTAAGATAACAAACATAGATGGATTCTTGCCTGTAGCAAAACCATTTATCTTTTCATTTAACATGGATTTGGTCATTTCTTGTTCACATTTAAACTTAAATTGAATATACTTGAAGCAGTTTTCAGTTCATTGTCCAAAAAGTTTTACAACAGCATGAGATGGACATTTGTCTGAGTGCCGTTCTCACAAAAGGACATTTTAAAATCAAGATTCCGTCCGCTGCTTTCATTGTTCACTGAAGATAATTCGAAATAAAGTGAGAATTAGAACGGTTTTTGCTCTTGTTTGATACACTTTGATGAGAATGACTTTGCTTTGTTCATGGCGACGACAGAGACTAGTTTTTGTATCAGTTTCAGCTGGTGGTGGTTTTCCATGTGATTATATCCCATGAAGAAGGTGTTCCAAGGCTCAAAGAGGTCGAGGAACACTGCTTCACGATACCATCACATTTCAGACCGTGTCATGGACCTACTCTTTTGAGTGTGGAGCGTGGACATGTTTGCACTGAGCCGAAGAATAGATTGTGCGGCGACTTTCCATGAACCCTGACGTTTTCGTGACGTGGTACACACTTTATTCAAAATCTTCAGGGCATGAAATCGGCTGCAAACAAAAGTGAACCTCAAGTCAGAAGAATTGCATTACGTATTCCAAGATGTGGCTTTACCCTCAGAGCTTGCATAATGTATATTCTATGTGAAGACTTCAGTGTTGGTAGAATGCTTTGAAAATGTGTTCCCTTCCAGAAAACTGAACACATGACCTGAAATGTATTGTCTTCCCGTACTTTGGCAAAATAATACTTTTTTTGTATTATTTATTATTATTATAAATTCATATTTGTTTACAAAACTTATAGCGGTACATTTAAAAATATTAAAACCACAAAGTAACATTTGTTTAATGTTGTAATTTCATTGTAATTTTACATAAATGTGTTACTGTCCAACACTGGTCTAGTCTTGCAAATGCTATGGACAAGACCCAGACACAGATTCACGCACAATGCTACACTGCTATACTGCTATAATGCTAATGTGTGTGTTTTTCCAGGTACACCAAAATGAAGACTGCCACAAACATATACATCTTTAACCTGGCCCTGGCCGACGCCCTGGTCACCACCACCATGCCGTTCCAGAGCACGGACTACATGTTGAACTCGTGGCCGTTTGGAGAGGTGGTCTGCAAAGTGTTCATAGCCATCGACTACTACAACATGTTCACCAGTATCTTCACTCTCACCATGATGAGTGTGGACCGCTACATCGCCGTGTGCCATCCGGTCAAAGCCTTGGACTTCCGCACCCCGGTCAAAGCCAAAATGATTAATGTTTGCATCTGGATCTTGTCGTCGGCTGCTGGGATTCCTGCGTTTGTTCTGGGAGGAACGCAAACAAATAGTGGTAAGAATGTAGTGACGGTGATCTGACTTTGGTCTGTTTTTGAAAGACGTGTCCAGGACTTTCTGATGTGTATGTGTGTGTGTGGAGAGACAGATGTACGTTCACAGGGCCCACAGTGACATATGACACAAGACCTGCAAAATTGTTGTTTAGAAAGTATGCATTGATTAATAAAGTTAATTTTATACGCCCACATTACATGTGCCTGTTAAAGAGAATGACTGGTACTGTGTGAAATAATATGCTATCTAAAATACAAATACAATACAAAGCATAAATATAATGGATCAAATCTATCATTACTGTTAGTTTTGCTTATTCATCCACATGAATGGTTGGGATTACATAATATGTCAAATTGACAGAATGGCCTTGAAGTGGCTGCAGCTAAAGTGTATTTCCTGTTGTGTTGCAGACATCACAGAGTGTGCCTTACAGTTCCCTGAGCCGTACATTTACTGGGACACCCTGATGAAGGTGTGTGTGTTCGTCTTTGCCTTCGTGGTGCCGGTTCTGATCATCACCGTGTGCTACTCTCTCATGGTTCTGCGGCTGAAGAGCGTCCGAATGCTGTCGGGCTCCAGGGAGAAGGACCGGAACCTGCGGCGCATCACCAGACTGGTGGTGGTGGTGGTGGCAGTGTTTGTGGTGTGCTGGACTCCCATTCACATCTTCATTCTCGTCAAGGCGCTGGTGGCAATCCCCGAGTCCACCGCCATCATGGCCGCTTACTTCTTCTGTGTGGCACTGGGCTACACCAACAGCAGCCTGAACCCTGTCCTCTACGCCTTTTTGGACGAGAACTTCAAGCGCTGCTTCAAAGACTTCTGCCTCTCTGCACGACTGAAGGGAGACAAAGTGTCTGGAAGTAAGAAGGCCCTGAGTGCTGTGAGGCAGAAGGCTGTTCCTCTGGAGAACCCCGATGGGACTAAGCCCACATGACTAGCCGTGGAACTGTCGTCTATTTCACACATCGGAAAAGAGGACTCTAACGACTTAGGCTTGACCCACATCACATCAGCAATGTGACCATAAGTATTTGCTCCAGTAGAGGTCAGAACGCATGAGCAACTTTGCATTTGCCTTTAGATAAGTAAGTTGGAACAGATAAAGGGGAAATTAAAAAGTATCCAACATTTCTCTACCAAAAGGTTGTTACATCCACTCTAATAAAAATGGTTAATGATGTTTAAGTTTTTAATTTGGGTTCTTTTCATCAAAGTAAAAAGCCTGTTTCATGAATGGGCTTGCATATCCATGAACCTGACTCATTTGTCCTGAAGAAATGCTCCTCCTGCTTGTTTCCATGGGAACTTGGCTTCCTCAACAGCCATCAGTGTCCTCAGGGTTAATGACAAAGACCAATCCATGAGTTTCAAAAAGGTATTCTAAAATGTTGCATGAAAGTTGATAAGCATGCATAATAGTATTCAAACTCTGGTTTTCTCCAAATCAAGTTCTAAATGTGCATTTAAGCTGATCCACAGTTGCGAAAGCGGGAAAGGAGTGGACCGTTTGACCCTGTTCACTTTCACACCATGTCATGAACTCTATGAACAACGAACAAAGTGACATCTTGCTTTAAGTTTCGCTTCTTCTGCTCCTTCTTTCAACCTGAACTAAAACATTCAAAAGTGCCTTTAACTGTCCGGGATACCAAGGTGGTGGGTTTGAAGACGCTGTAGTGAAGCAGAACCTTCAGTGTTTTATCATAACAACTGAAAAGAAAGATCCTTGACTCATGTGCATTTAAATTTGTCAGAGGGCTATTCTCTTTCAGCTGGAGTTGTATCCAGTTTGTGTAATTACAATGACAATTTTGTTATATTGAATATTGTACATTACTATATTGAATACTAATAACTGTCTGTTCTTTGTTGTGGGGGAAATGTACAATCTTAAACCACAACTGTATGTCTGTAAATACAATGTGACTGTGTAAAGTTGTATGTTGTATTATATGTATAAAAGCAATGATAAAGAAGATTATGTTGACATAGCACAGAAAACATTTAGCTGCATGTCAGTAATGCACCAGTTTAGAAATATCAGCCTATGGTTCATGGATTGTGTTGTTGAAAACAATTTGAATGTCTAATGACTATCTTATCTATTTAATTAGTGTGAACAGATTTGTTTGTGTCCTCTATCAATGTCAGTGGACAACAAATAAATTAACAGAGGAAATGTTGTGTGTATGGCGCATGTATTTGATTTGATATGTGGCCAGATAACAGTCCAAACAAGAGTCAGATGAGCTATGAAGATGGATAGATTGATGGTAAGGCAGCGCCCCCTTGTGGTCATAATACACTAATTTGTTGTGTTCCATGTATTAGTTTTATGATCCGATATCCTTAAATCTTTAATAAAAAAATACAGAAATCAAAACAAAAACAAAGCGATAACCATAGCCTGTAACGATAACTCGAATTCTAAACATATTACATCAGAGAGGGGGCGTCAATCAAAGCAGGTCACGTGTCTCCTCTGACGTCAGCGGCTCACTCTTCCGGGTTCTCGCTTCCAGCTCTTGTTTGTGTCCAACAACGTTTTTCATTTTCTTCTTTCTTTTTGTCTTTGAACGCTCGAAAGCTCAAAATGAATCGTATTTTTGGCAAAGGAAAAGCCAAGGGTCCTCCCCCAAACCTCGGAGACTGTATTGGAAGCGTGAGTTTTGATTTAAAGACACTTGTGATGGACATGTTAGTGAAGTAAACAAAAGTTATGGCGTTGGTCGCCTGGTTTGTTGTCTCGCCATGAGCAGAACTACACATAGGCCTAAGAATGACCTGTGTTTTAATGCTTTCTAACCATTAATACTGAAGTTGTGTGATGAATGTTGTCTGTGATCACATGTGAGAATGACGTGCTGAACAATGGGGTTGGTCTGTCTGGCTTATCCAACCAGTTTAGCTAGTATGTGCTCATCTACTCCTCAGTTGGAAAACTATATGTGACTAGATCTAATTATGTCATTGCTAATTCTGGTCTTTTCTTTTAGGTTGATTCTCGAGCAGAATCGGTTGACAAAAAAATAGCCAGACTAGACGCTGAACTTGTCAAGTACAAGGATCAGATGAAGAAAATGAGAGATGGGCCTTCGAAGGTAAGTGTGATAGAACAGAAGATGGATAGGTGCATAAAAACGAAAGTTACGACTGTAACTACGGTTCTATGAATCCTGGATGACCGCCAGAGGCGGTGCTTTAAGCACTGAATGATCATCTTTGAGCATGCGCAGTTCGAGAATTAAATGACAACAAAGTCACTTGTGACCTCCTCGTGACCCCCGTGAGTCTATATAGGTCACGTGACACGAGAGCCCAGTCCCTTTTCACCTCGCAAGCAGACCGTGGCCCTGAGGGACTGGACGCTCTGGCGGTCATCCAGGATTCATAGAACCGTAGTTACAGTCGTAACTTTCGTTCTATTTCATCCTTCCTGACCGCCAGAGGCGGTGCTTTAAGCACTGGATGACAAATACCAACAAGGTCCCGAGGGGTCAACGAGAGGTACACACCCACCTCATAACGTCGAATGGTGCCGCAGCACCCCCTCCAGCGGACCAGGGTAGACTGCGACGTCCAAGAGGCGGCCGCACAGACGGCGTCCAGAGGCACACCGCTCATAGCAGCCCAGGAGGCAGAGACGCCCCTGGTCGAATGACCCCTCACCCCAGCAGGCAGCTGGCGCCCATGGGAGAGGTAGCACTGTCTGATCACCTCAACCACCCACTTGGAGAGGCGCTGGGACGACAGAGCCTGGCCCTTCCTGGGGCCGGCATAGCACACGAAGAGGCGATCCGACCCCCGTACACTGGCTGTGGCAGTTCGGTAAACCTCCAATGCCCTGACAGGACAAAGCGGTTCTACAGAGGCTCCAGTACCAAACCGGGCCAAACTAAGTGGAAGGACCGCACCAGTGAACACCTTTGGGCGGAAGGAAGCATCCGGCCAAAGCGTAACCCCCAGACCATTGGGATCCCATCTGCAGCAGGACTCGTGAAACGACAGAGCCTGCAGTTCACTCACACGCTTACCCGAGGCCATAGCCAGAAGAAAAGCGGTCTTAAGGGAGACCCACTTCAGGTCCACACGATCCAGGGGCTCAAACGGGGGAGCCCGCAACGCCTCCAGAACCAACGTCAGGTCCCAGGGTGGAACCATGGGCCGTCGCGGGGGATGAAGACGCAGAGCACCCTTCAGGAACAGGGAAATATCCCCGTTACTCCCCACCGTAGAACCGGCCACACCCTCATGAAAACAAGATATTGCCGCCACATATACCTTGAGTGTAGAGGGAGAGCGCCCCCGGTCCATGAGATCCTGGAGGAACTGCAGAATGGCAGGCACCGGGCAACGCACAGCATCATGTCCCCACGTCAGACACCACTTGTCAAACAGCTTCCATCGGTTGGCGTACTGTCGTTGAGTGGAAGGCGCCCTGGCATTGGAGATGGTGTGGGCGACCCCCTCACCATACCTCGGGACAATTGCACTGGACCCCGCAGTGGCCACACCCAGAGCTGAAGCCGCTCGGGACTGGGGTGCAGGAGCCTCCCCCCCAGCTGGGACAGGAGATCCCGCCGCCGGGGCAGCGGTCTCGGAGAGCCGCAGCAGAGCCTGTGCAGCAATGGAAACCAGATCCGGCCCGGCCAGAACGGAGCTACCAGGAGAAGGTGGTGCCCCTCCTGGAGAACTCTCAGGAGGGTTGGGAAAATCAGTGGCAGAGGAGGGAAAGCGTAGAGCAGCGTACTGGGCCAATCGTGCGCCAGCGCATCCAAGCCCAGAGGGCAAGCCACGTCCGTCAGGGAAAACCACAGCGGGCAGTGGGTCGACGCCTCCGACGCATACAGGTCCACCTCGGCCCGGCCAAACATAGTCCAAATGCTGGCCACCACCTCCGGGTGGAGACGCCACTCCCCGGGCTGGGGGCGTTGGCGGGACAGAAGGTCCGCCACCACATTGTGCACCCCCGGAATGTAGGAGGCCCTCAAGCTTGCCAAGCGAGGGGCTGCCCACAGCAGTAGCTCCCAAGTCAACCGCAACAGCGTCACGGACCGGGTACCCCCCAGGTGGTTGACGTGATGCACCACCGTGGTGTTGTCGGACCGCACCATGACATGCCGGCCACGCAGTCGTGGGAGGAAGTGCGCGAGAGCAAGGCGGACCGCCATGAGCTCCAGGGCATTCACATGCAGCCGGCGGACCTCTGGAGACCAAGTCCCCTGTGCCATCCTGCCCTGCCACGTCGCCCCCCAACCAGTGAGGGACGCATCGGTGTGCACCACCTCCCTCCGAGACGGAAGAGAGCCCAGTGGGACACCTCTCTCGATCCAAGACCTGTCCCGCCAACAGGATAGGGACTCTAGGCATTGCGGCGAGAGCAGGAGTCTGCGTCGCCTGTGAATGAAGCGTGACGGATCCAAACGCAAGCCGTTCAGCCACATCTGCATGGGACGAAGGGAGAGAAGGCCCAGCGGCACAACGGCAGAGGCCGCCGTCAACTTCCCCAAGAGGCTGAGGTACAGCAGGAACGGCAACGCCCGACCCCGGTGAAATCTGTGGAGCATGTCCACAATGCTATTGACCCGCAGAGCCGACGGACGGGCGGTCATGGCAACCGAATCTAGGTACATCCCCAGGAAAGTCGTTGCCTGAGCCGGAACCAAATTGCTCTTGGCAACATTGACCCGCAGACCCAAACGCCCAACGTGGTCGAGGACAGTCTGAGTGTCCCGAACGGCCTGGGCACGACTGGAGGCGCACACGAGCCAGTCGTCCAGATAAGGCAGGACCCTCAACCCCCCTGCCTGAAGAGGGGCCAAGGCCGCCGCAACGACCCGGGAAAAGACCCTGGGGGACAGGGACAGTCCGAAGGGGATCAGATTCAGATTCATTTATTTGCCATTTGCAGTAAAACCACATTGGAAAAACTGTGCAAGACTACCCCGGTGTGCGCCAACGACACACACCAGAGCTCTTGCCACGGCGCCATCTTTCCGGCGCCATGCGACCCGAAATTGATAATGCCGCCCCTGGAAAGCAAAACGCAGAAACCGCTGGTGATGCGGGGCAATCGGCACGTGAAAATAAGCATCCTTCAGGTCGATGGATGTGAACCAATCGCCCGGAGATATTGCCTGCAACAGCTCCGGGGTCCTCAACATCCGAAACGATAGCGTCTTGAGGAACACATTGAGGCCCCGAAGGTCCAAAACCGGACGCAAGTCGCCAGTTTTCTTCGGAACTAGAAAATAAATTGAATAAAAGCCCCCTGGGTCCAGCAGGGGGTCCACAGGCACTATAGCCTCCTTGTCCAGCAAGGTGGCGATCTCCACGGACAGTGCCAGTGTCCTGGCCCGGTCGTGGATCACAGTCCACCTGACGGGGCCAGGGACCGCAGGCCGATGGTGAAACTGGAGAGTGTACCCCCGGGAGAGCGTGCCCAACACCCAGAGGTCTGAGGTGTGAGCGGTCCAGTAGTCCAACTGCTCCCGGGTAAAAAAAACCACCGTCAGCGGCCTGACCTCATCTCCGCGCCCCCCGTGGCCTGGAGACCCCGGGGGGGCACCCGAGAGCCCGTGCGTTCTGGGGAGGCCGCCGGGTAGAAGGCCAAAATCCCCTATGGTCAGGCGGAGGGACACCTGGTGGTCGCGAACCCCTAGGAAAGGGCTGTGGAACACCATACACCCGCGGAGTAGCAGCAGGAGGGGCAACCCGTGGAGAGGCCCGCCGGTGCAGCCCAACCAGCATGATCACGCGTCCGGGTGGCCTGCGCCGTGCGCTCCAGCGCCTGAAGCGCAGCCGCACCAAAGAGCTCCCCCGGAAGCACCGGAACACTCCGGAGAGTCCTCCTACAGGGCTCAGTGAGGGGTGACTGTGCCAACCACACCTGCCGACGTGTCTGAGTCAGGGTCGACAGCAGGCGGCCCAGTTCCCGCGACATAAGGGCAAAAGCGTGGAGGGACGCATCCAACAGTCCCTGGGTCGGGGCATCGACTGTAGAAACCTCCAATGCGTTCGAAAGGCCCAGTAACAAATGGGAAAGAGAGTTCCCCATGCGCCCCATTCGCGCCCCAGTATCGTACGCCCGACACAGCAGCTCATCTGTGAGGCGACACTGGGGGTTAGGGCACCTCGGATCAGACCGGAGGGCCTCCTCCGGCGAAACAATCAAGGAGGCCACCGCCGGCTCGACGGGCGGCATGTGGCCCAAGCCAAATTGGGGGGCATCCTGCATTGAAGCCAAAGCTCGGCCATCGGACGTCAGTCTGGACATAGCCTTTGTATCCGTCCAGCATGCATGTAACTCCTTCACGTACTCCATCGAAGGAGGCACAGAGACAGAGGGAAGGGGCCGCTGTCGCTTAAAGAAGGCGCTAACAGACGGCACAGTTCCCTGTGGGACATCAAGCCCCAAGTGGGCGAGTGCAGAGCGGACGGCAGAGGACGCCCCACTCTCCTCTCCGTCCAGGCACCCCGTGGACGCCAAGGAACCAGCGTCAGAGGCCCTGGAATCAACCTCCTCAGGGTCAAGACGAAAATGAGTGTCAGATGCAGCCACAGACATCACATCGTCCTCCCACAACGGGGCCAGGTCCGGCACAGGAGGGCCCAGCACATGTTCCCCCGAAACCGGGCGAACATCCTGCAGAAGTGCCTTCATTTGGGCCATCTCGGACGCAAGGTGGTCCATCCGTGCAGACAACCCTGCAGGCACCCTACGCTTCCTCTGCGGAGCCGAGGAAGCAGTGGACACAGCTTCCTCTGCGGAGCCGAGGAAGCAGTGGACACAGCCGCACGCTTAGACCCAGAGGGCTGGGCAGCAGGCAGCAGGCAGGGCGGCACCTCCGAAGAGCCCGGATCCAGGGCCGCCAGGCGCTCCACGCGTACAGAGTGTGGCAGTACCGCACAATTGGAGCAGGCGTCCACCGTCAGGCCCTGTCTCAAATGCCCGATACCCAGGCACGCAGGGCAGAGGTCATGGCCATCCTCGCGGGGCATCGGTGCCATGCACCCACGGCAGCCCAGCAACTCGTGCATAACGAGCGCGCCTGAACTGGTGGAGCAATGTAAGCAGAGTCGGGTCGAGCTGAAAACGCCACAGACGACTCAAGCACACAGAGAAAACCAAACAACCGAACAGAGGGCGAACAGTCTAACTGTTGGTAAAGAAAAACTAATGTTAGCATAAACTGAAAACAGAAGAGCCAACGAAAGTGTACAAACACACAATGTGGGCCAACGAAAGAGTCCGGTGGGGCAGAGAATGCCACACTTGCCTCCACAACCAGAGCAATATCAACAACTGAACAGAAATCGAACAGTATAACTGCTGATATAAAAATACGCTAGTGCAAACTGAAAACAGAAGACTAGACGAAATAATGCACACACGCACCCAACGTGGGCTGAGTAAAGAGCCAGGTGTGGCAGAGGACACCACGCACGGCTCCCCAAACAGAGCAAAAGTAACACACTGAACAGAGGACGAACAGTATAACTGCTGATGGATGAAAACAAAACGCTAGTACACACTGAAAACAGGAGACTAGACGAAATGTACACACAAACACAACGTGGTCGGGGCAGGGAACGCCACATACACGACTCAATTAACACCGGCCAAACAGAGCATAACACAAACTGAACAGAAAACGAACAGTATAACTGTGGACATCAAACGTCAGCTCACTCCGAAAACGGAAAGCTTAAACTAAAAATCACACGCACACACGTGGACAGAACTCACCGGTGAGCCGGCGGAGCTTGCACAGCCCCTGAGGGGCGAGATCCACCCGCTGCCTCGACGCGAGTCACGGAGCTGATGTGCAAGCAGGACGTATGTGGTAGGTAGGTAGCACAAACGCTCAAACACACACGCACAACTCAAACCTGCGCTGCGAGAAGAAGAAAAGAGACTGGGCTCTCGTGTCACGTGACCTATATAGACTCACGGGGGTCACGAGGAGGTCACAAGTGACTTTGTTGTCATTTAATTCTCGAACTGCGCATGCTCAAAGATGATCATTCAGTGCTTAAAGCACCGCCTCTGGCGGTCAGGAAGGATGAAATAGAACTAATGTTATAAATACAGGACCACACTGTAAAACTTTCGCCTTGTCTTGTATAGAACATGGTGAAACAAAAAGCATTGAGAGTTCTAAAGCAGAAAAGAATGTAAGTAAATACTATTTCCACTATTGCCGTTAATGTCACATGTCTTAACAAAATCATATTCTTTCTATTTAGGTACGAAAGCCAACGAGATAATCTAATGCAGCAATCCTTCAACATGGAACAAACAAACTACACAATTCAGTCCCTGAAAGACACTAAAACTACTGTAAGACGCCGTCACGTTTTGCTTTTATTGAACAGTCGTGTTTCATGCTAACCCGTGTTTACAGGTCGATGCTATGAAAGTTGGCCTCAAAGACATGAAGAAGGCGTATAAGCACGTTAAGATTGACCAAATTGAGGTAAGTTGTATTATCTGTAGCAGTCTGTATAATATATCAATACACTATTGTCACATAATTATTTATGTATTTAGGACCTTCAAGACCAACTCGGGGACATGATGGAAGACGCCAGTGAGATTCAGGACGCTCTGGGCCGGAGCTACGGCACCCCTGAGATTGATGACGATGATCTGGAAGCAGGTCGGTTACAAACGCCCCGATATTTTCTTATTGTTGTACCTCACTCTTTTAAGCGTTTTTGGTGTGCACAGAATTGGATGCATTAGGAGATGAACTGTTGATGGATGATGACAGCTCTTATCTGGATGAAGCTTCGACAGCTCCTTCAATTCCAGAGGGTCTTCCTGGTGACAAGGTCAACAACAGGGTAAGCTTTCTAAAGGCATTTAATTTCCTTTTACGAGTCTGGTTTAAACCAGTCTGATCATTCTTTCTCATTCTGCAGGATGGTGTTCTTGTGGACGAGTTTGGCCTCCCTCAGATCCCCGCTTAATTCAGAAAGTAAATGATCTATGTGTATTTATCTAACCGCACTCCAACCCTTCAATCATAGAACCTGCTAACCTATTAGCAAATGATGGTGGTAACTTTGTAAAGAATGTGCCTTGAGTTTATATAAATATTTTATATGCCATAGTTGGAGATGGGAAATTTGCCAAAATTAAAATATATTTTTCAAAACGAATTTGAATAATTTGTTGTAGAGCATGTATTTTTCAAAACAGCAATTTTTCAATGCAGCTTTGTACAGGTATTGTTTGGCAGTTTCACATAAATACATAAATGTAAAAACTAATGTCCTTCAGTCATCACCAGCTCAGTCTGTAGCTGTGGGGAAAGATCTTCTGGTGCAGATACTCCACAACACTCTGCTTGTTTCGGAGTCGATCAAATTCATAAAATGGAATCTGAGAAAACAGTAACTCAGGTCATTATCAGGACATCAAAATGTGAAGCAATATGTGTAGGTATGTGATTTATCACCTGGACTATTTCATATCCTATAAGCCTCAGATGCCTTTGCTTGATTGCTTCTTTACCCAATAGCTGCCTTTTATTTGATGCAAACCTCTTGTGTCCGTCAATGCAAAGAGCAATTCTGCAAAACAAGGAAAGCAGAAATCACTTAAACCAATTCACAAGTTATAGTATAAAATTATACAAACTAAACTACCTTTTATAAACGTCGTCATTATGACTTGCCGGCAACACATACCCGTCTTCATCCAGCTTTATCTCCACATCTATGGATTACAATACTTATTTAGTCCATCGGTAAATATGGTAATTATTGAAGTTATTGTGTTACCTAGTGTGTAGCAGTATGGTGTCAACACTTTGGAGCCAAAATATGAACGAGCACCAAGCAAATCCACCAAACCCGTTATCACAGAGTTGTATAAATGAGGATCCACTGGAGTCTCCAGCGAGTGACCAGGCATGAGAAAAGACTTCACATTGTACTGTGGACGAAGCCGAGGTCCCTGAAGCAATATAATGTGCACCAGGGGTTTTACTCTTGCTATTGAACAAACTATAAATGAACAAAAAGTTAATTATGGGTACCTCATAGAAAGGGCATTCCAGCTTCATAGTCATGTAAAGCTGAGTTAACTGGGCGAGAACTCGTCTGTCTATTCCTGTACCTTGATCTGAAAAAGCCAAAAGATAATGACCGTTAAAGCATAACAACAATACACAAACACAGCAACAAAAATATGTCAGTTGTACCTTGGAGTTGTTGGAGAAAATAACTGCTGAAAACTTTGGAGACGAAGTTTACAGGAAACCTCTCAACCAAAATACAGGAATGAAGCACATTGAGCAAAGTGCGAGGCTGGAAGTGGGAAAAGCGAGTGTGTAAGATTGTTTCGACTTTCCTAAACACATCGGCAGCATTAGGAGGGAGGTAGCCGAGCTTTCCAAAGGGCATGATTTGTCTGGCCACCTGGCTCGTTGTGTACTCGTCTGCTCTGTACACAAAACTTTCAGCCACGGCATCAAACACCACCGGAGACAAGATGTTTCTTCTCCCAAAGAACTGCATCACTTTAGTAACTGTCTCTGGATTGGAGGAGAAGGCCATTGTGGGCACGTACTTCTCCATAGCGTCCACAAAGTAGTGATCACTGTGACCAAAGTGCATAAGTGCTCCGAGAACAAGAGTGAGCTCGTCGTCCGTGAAGTGAGGCACATGACGCACGGCGCGTTTACACAAACTTATCACCAAAGGCATGGCCTGAGTTTGATTCAGACTTGTGAGGACACCGAGCAGCTCACTGACAGTAGCAGGGTTCATACGAGAGGTGACGGTGACTGCGTGAGTGTGCATGCCATTCAGGAGATCACAGTATTTCCCATCAAAACCTGCACCATTTTGCATCAGTTTATAAACTGCTCTAAGCCCTTCTAAGCTCCACGCTGTTGGCTCCTGCTTCTGGATTTGAGACATGATCTGGTCCAGCATGACAGAGCCAGGACCCTCCAAAGCCAACATGGCCTGACCCAAGTCACAGAGCTGCCCTACACTCAGGGAGCCCTGGTCTAGTCTCTCCTGGCTCTCAGACACCAGTCGCACCATCAGTGTACTCCAGGGGTCGAGGTAGAGCCGCGTGCAAGCAAGAAGTGCAGATACCAGTCCATTATCGGTTAATCGACCAGAGTCTTCCTCCAGCTGCTTACACAGTGCTCTGATGGTATTGTTCTCCAGCACAGCTGGGTCCTTCAGACAGTTGACCCCTTGTTCCATGTCAGCGATGTGGTGAAGGGACGCAGCAGCCATACTGTCAGTCATTACTGCCACAGAGCGCAGGAGTCTAAAGACCTGACCAGATGAAGTGCACTTATTCAGACGCTTGTAGAAATGTTGTTGGTCTGCTGGAGTGGGATGGTGCATTTGAGTCAGGCAAAACCTCGGAAATGAATGTTTGTGCAGTCCAACAGAGCTGTTGCCAATTACTGAGGGCTCAGGGGCGATAGTGGTCAGCCCCCTCCATGTCCCATCCACAGGAGGTTTTCTCCAGCCATGAGGTTGAAGGCAGCTGGTAGATGATGTGTACAACCAGCCAACGTAAGTGTGCTGTTCTGACTGGCACTTGAAGAGGAGACGTGAGTTGGAACAGGCAAAAGCATTGTGATGAATGCCGAGATGTCCCACCTGTTTAGGAAGCCTCTGAAGCAGCTTCAGAGCCATGCCTTCCGTTTAGGTACCTGCAGAGACAACAGTAACACAACAACACGCTGAATAGAGTTAAATAGAATGAATCTACAATTAAGAATAATTTCAGTTTCAATCTCATTCATAGGACTGAAAAACCTAAGCAAAACTGAGGCTTATCTAAACTGTTAGCTTAGCTGTGAGCCCTCGTGAAATCATCTGCACAAATTAACTTATATTACACTTGCTTTAGCACTAAAGTTTTCCCCAACACTCACCATGATTAAACTATGATTATTATGATTAGTTCGTACCAGTATCACGTGGAAGGTCTCCAAAACGTCCTGACAAGGGGCTTGCTGTCTGAAAGTGACTCTATTCCGTAAGACAGCATGGTGCGTTCAAGGCGTGTCGGAAAATTGTCCATTCATAAGTTCTTTATTTAATTTATTATTTAACTATTATTTTCATTATCATTCAATATATTCCAGTAATACGTGTACTTTTAGTAGTATGTTAGTCTATACTTTTAACCAATAGTTTTAATGAAGTGATGTAATATTTACTCTATGTATAAATCCCGTATCAGTTAAAAAATAATAAATAAAAATGGAGTAATAGACTTAATCCATTCACGAAACGGTCTGTTATATTTACGGTAAGAAAGTAGTTGTATCACTATAATCATGATATGCTTTGTTATGAAACAGTCTGGGATTGAGAACAGTATGTTCATGGACTAAATGTGCTGCAGCCAGGGTGTATCGCTCACACATTTTTACTGTGGTCACTTATTGTACTTTCTATGCATTTTATATCGTGGTATTCCTTGTCACAAATGCTGTAATGACTTGGTTTTCTCAACACGTTAGAACATGTCTCTGTATAAAATTGTGCCACGCCCCCTTATTTCACCCTTTGCGCTTTCTGCTGTGGGAACTGAGTTGTTTATGTTTGTGTGGATGGATGTGTTTCTGCTGCTGAACACCTGAATTTCTCCTACAGGGATCAAACTTTCAAAGTAACTATTAGGCACATTCAAGCATGTTACTGCTTTAACATGCTCCAGCTACTTTAGACACGTCTCAACTCGTCAAGCAGCGCAGGTATGGTGTGGTCACAAAAGCAAAAACGTAGAAACAACTTGATAAAGGGCTTTATTCAAAAAGTTTATATTATAAAAATGTATAAATTCCCCTAAAGGCAATCACATTAATTGTGAAATACTTCACCCAAGTGTGATTTTTGACAGTTGTGTTTTTTTTTTTACCACACAGTTGTTATATCTGTTACTAACAAACACAAAGGTGATCCTTATTAATCGGTACTTTGGTGTGTTTAAAACTTGTAATTTCATCGAGGACATGCAGCACTCAAAACTAGCCGATGGAAGAGAAGAAGGTGGAGAGAAAAACAGTGTCTCTAATCGTCCTTATCCCTGGCTCCGTGTTTTAGGATGCGTGTGAACTCCACATAGTTGAAGTTGCTCTTCTTATCGATGGGGGCTTCTCTGAAAAGCTCATCCACCTCTTCGTCTGTGAACCGGTCACCCATGGTCGTGAGCAGCTCTCGGAGGTAATCCTCCTGGATGAACCCTGAAGGACACAAATACCCATTAGACCCAAAAGATTGTTTTTTTTTTTTTTTCCATAGACAAACTTACCCGATCCCTCTTCATCGAAGCAAGCAAAGGCGTTCCTGATGACGTCCTCTGGGTCTGTTCCGTTGAGCTTCTCTCCAAACATTGTGAGGAACATAGTGAAGTTAATGGGCCCTGGAGCTTCCATCATCATGGCTTCTAGGTAGTCATCTGTTGGGTTCTTTCCTTTAAAGGTAACAAACACATCATGTTGTTGAAATTGTCCTGGTATAAAGTGTGCCTACCTACAAATCAAACCAGACCCAAAACAGCAGCACTCACCAAGAGACGCAAGCATGTCGTGAAGGTCCTCTTTGTCGACAAACCCGTCCCGGTTCTGGTCAATCATGTTAAATGCCTCTTTGAATTCCTGAATTTGTGACTGATCAAACATAGCAAACACATTTGAAGTAGCGCGCTGAGGGCGCTTCTTCGTGGTCTTTCCCTTTGCTCTTTTGCTCGACATTTTGATTTTTTTTTTCTGAAAAACAAACAAAGCAAAGATACTTTCAATTATTATTATTATTTTGTCACAAATCAATGACTGGAAAACAATAGACAAAGCACAATCCAGTATGAGCAGCACAAGACTCAATGATGAACCAGAGTGGAGAGCAGTCTATGTTGAAGATATGATGTCATTTATCAACTGAGCTGTTGTAATTTTATCCAGTGACAGCCGCTCTCTGGAGTGGTGTCTTCAGTGCTGGATATAGAAATGTTTCTCGTCTTTTTAGGTTAATTTGTTCCGTGGAATTTTTCAGGACAGGAAATCTACTGATGTGAGTACAAATGCCCAAACTAGGCAATGTCTTACATAACACCAACACACACCAAACGGGGCGATCGCATCTATAAAGTTTTGTAAAATAAATCACTAAATAGAATATTGACAATAAATAAAACACTGTTGTAGCTGTTATGACTGCGAACAAGAACGATTTATTGTTGCAAATATTTAGTAAAGTTTATGTGTGTGAAATTGTCGTAGTTTAAATACACATCATGAGCCCACAGACAATTGCCAACTTAATAGTTTTTTATAGGTCTGTCTCTGGTGGTTTGAGGCCTGATTGCTGTCTGATACACCCGCATTCCAACACCCCCTTCAACCTTTATAGTTAATCAGTTATTGTAAATTGAATTAGATAATATTATGTTTATGGTTTACACGTACACTCTTTGGGTTGATGATTAGCTTAGTCTGGGCAATGGCCGAGTTCGTAGTTAGCATATCGGCTAACAGCTGGCCCAGATTGGCTTCATGCACTAATGAATGCAAAGATCTCCTAAACGCTGTATTTACGTAGCATCCATACGCATTTTGTGATTCTAAGTTAGTTATAAAGACAGTAAAGGCGTTTTACCTGTTTACAACCCTTGTCTCGGCTGCTAGTCCAGTGCTGCTCTGTTCTCAAACCACCGCCCTTCACTTCCTGCTACTGTTGTTCCCTATGACACTGGAACAAACCAAGTCATCAGAGGGGTGTTCACTAACATCAAACTATTATCACGAATGTTTACGCTCTAAGATATACTTTCAGTTTCCCGTGTCTTAGAATTTACAACGCTCTAATACACTACAAGGAAACATAATCATGAATTGATGGTAAAAATAAAGAACGCCACTCAAAAGCAAGAATTGAGCACCCCCGGTAGAGACGGTGGTGCAGCCTCAAAACACTCCCTCCGCCACCCTCGACATTCCAGCAAATTTCCTTTTATGGATAGAGTTACTGTTTTCCTCTGCCAGACCATGGAGACTGGGGAAAGCCAGGAAGATTATACAGGCCTGTGCTATTTAAGGCCATTTAAGGTGTGTATGTGTCTGCCCCCCCTTGCACACCCACCTGTGAGGTTGTTAAAATAACAAAAATAATGTTATCATGTCAGACAAAAGGGCATTGCATACATTTAGTGAGCCCATAGACTGTATATTATCAGTGATCTCCTTGTATTGATGTAACTATTATTATTATTATTATTGTTATTGTTTATTTTATTAGTATCAGCATTAGTAGAAGTGGTAGTAGCAGTAGTAGTAGTAGTAGCAGCAGCAGTTCTGCAAGTAGTAGTATCATCAATAAAAAAGATCCATAAACAGACAGCAAAAGGTAGCTACATATATAATAGATAGATTGATAGAAAGGTAGATGGATAGAGAGACGACAGACAGACATGAAGTCACAATAGGAAAGTGAGGTTGTTTGGATGAGCAACATTTGGAACTACTGAGTCACAGGTTAAATCAAGCTCATTGTTCTCTGAGGATCACATTACAATGTTATTCAAGTTTATAGATCTGTCCTTGAGGGGAGGGAGGTTAAGGTTTAAAAAAAGAAAAAAAAGGTAAAGTCAGTTCATTTGATGCATCTTACATAAAATAAAATAGTCATAGTTTTTTGCGATATGATTTAAAGTTTTGTCATATGTCCTATAGAAACATTGCTTCATGAGTCAACAGTGAATATGTTTCCAATAACAATTGAACAGGTCAACAAGATTTTAAATAACATGTACTCGGAGAGTACATACTCTGCCAATGGGGTCTTCCTACCATCACATCCCCTTTACACTCAATTTCATCTCAATCCTGCTAATCACCTTGTTCCACCAGGGCGCGCCATACACCTAAAAAAAACAAGATTTATTTTACTTTCTGATGACAGTTCTCAGTGGTTTATAAAAGTAAAAACACACTGAGGGCCTATACTTGATTGGACGAAATAACGTAGAAATAAAACATTCATATTAATCTAAATGTGGTCTGACATTAAGTATAGCTAACAGCATATTTGTTGACACTTTATTAAGGGATATTATTTTCTAATTAGTTTGCCCCTGGGTGAATATTAATGTTATATTAGTGCCCTATTTTAATAATTATCACTTTATTAAGGCCAAATATATTTATAGCCAAATGCTTGTATGAGTCACATATCAGCCGTGCATGTGTTAAATATCAATGTAATTAGTCGACTGAAAGTAATATTAAAACTGTGTGTCGACCAATCAAAAAGGCACAGGGGAACTGGATATGTCACGGTGATTGAAGTCCTAAAGCCAGGAGGGCCAACCTTCAACATGGAGGCCTCAGTCATGAGGGACACAATTTCCTATAACAACAGTCTCATGCCATAAATAATACATATGTGCCAAAAGTCCCAGGCCTTGTTTAGCTACAGAACAAGTTACCGCATAATAAAAAAGTGTAATCACAACTAAATGATCTACAACTGAATGATCTACAACTAACGGTCCTAATGGTACACATCCTTTGATTTTTTATATCATTGTTTTGATAGGAAGCTTTCAATTAACCATGTAATCGTTCCGTTCCTATGTGTTTTAGCTTCCACTGTTTACCTTCTCTGCAGAGAGTGGCAAACAGGAGGAGAAGCTAGCACCCTTAAATGTGGTGCATGGGACTCGACTTGCCCCCCAACTCTGTCTGCTATATTTATCCCCACCCTCTCCATAAAAGGATGGGACTGCTGCTTGGACATTCTGTCAAGGGCCAACTGTATTTTTGTTGTGTAGACTGCACCACGGCCTGCTACCTGTAGCTTTGCTGGGATATTGAGTGTGGAGACTTTCTCACAGATTTTTGGAGGGAATCGCCCAGGTAAAGGTCTTTACACATTTGTCACTGTTGCATAAGTATATTAGTGCATGCTGGAATAACGCCTGTTAGCTTGAAGTACAGGACATGTCTTGCTGATTGAATTTAGAATCTGAATGTCATTGCATAGAGATTTTTCTGCATATGCTTGATAAGTGTATTTGAACGTACATTTGTATACTGAATGTTAGCCCCCTTCTCTACACTCACAAGCTAAAACAGAATAATAAACACAAATAATAGGCTGACACAGGAGTCGCCTGCGCCATGTCTGGATCCATACCATTCTACCAGAAGCACCATCGCCACTATGACCGCAGCTACCGCAGCTCGGACATGGAGTCAACCATGAGCCGCTACCAGTCCAGCAGCAGGTTCTCAGCAGGCAGAAGCAGGTTCTCAGCAGACAGCAGCAGATCTGCCCTGAGCACCAGCAGGGGGTAAGGAGGTCTGATGAAGGCAAGAGGGGAACATACCTCTGTCATTCCCCTTCCTATTGACTGTAGAGCCCATTGCCCCTAACACGATCACCTGCCCTCCTCGCTGATCCAGGCCCTCACCGGCATCACCATCACTTCCTCTGGACCATCCCGTGTTTCATGCTTGTCACACAAAGCCAAAAGCTTTCATACTTCACCTCAAACTCTCCTGTAGTCTGGTGTTCCTTGTGGTTCTCCTTCCTTTTCCTTTTTGACATTTACCACAACTATAATCCTTGCACGCTTGCTGATACCTTCTCTGCATGCTGTCCAAGCCTGCCTTATGTCTTGAAATAATCTTTTTTGTGTGATCATTTTATAGTAAGCTGTGGAGAAGAATAACTTGCAACAATTTGTGGATGCACAAAATAAAATGTTCTACCTGTTATTTAGATATTGGCCTAATTCCCAAGGTTACCGAGTGTGTACATGCACTTTTATTTAGAATTGAAAAGGAGTCAAAGTAATGACAGACGGTTTTGCTTTTACTTTTCACTTTGAAGTTGAGGTTAGAAATGTTATGTTTACATGTAAAACACTGACTCTAGACTCGAGATAGAGAGTATAATGAGTTGTAAGAGGTTTGATGGCTTCAGTTTATGTCTTGCATCATCTTCAGCGTATTTAAAACCCCAGCTGATGTATTGGATGTGTTCTATTCACACATTCGTTTTCAGAGAGTTATGAGTGACCTGGAAAGATAGTTAAAAAATGCGGACACTTGCCCTGTCAGCCCTCAGCCTCCAGCCTCATGTTATCTCACACCGTACTTTTAAGTGCTACAGATAGTATTCCCATTCCAACAGAAGCCTCTTGTATCCTGAAAGGCCCTGGGAATTAGAGCAGATTGTAGAGGTTTCTAAATTTTTATTGGAAAACTTGCTTACAAAATCATACCATGTGTTGCATTACACATATAGCTTTACATTTGTAGTGCAGGGCAGTAAAATCTTTTTCTGGTATTTAGGGTCAAACGTTTTTTACCAATTTCTCTGCAATTCCTCTGATAATCTAGTCTAGCTAACAGCAGACTAAATCATAATAATTATCAATATTGTGAAGTGTAGTTTGAAATTGTGGGGAGTCGGGACACAGCCTGGGTATTCCCTGGCTGTCCACGTTGGCTTTGTTCTTTGTCAGTACAAATCAACTAATTTTTTCCCATAAACGTCTCTAATAGTGGTGACAATCTCTAGAAAACCATCATGATGTTGGCCAATAGAAAGGATTTAATAATTTGTGAATCTAATAATAATCTCGGAAAAAAACATTTGGACATTTTTATTTTCAACATTTCTTTAAAAACTTGCTCCTATCCCTTTGTTGTATGTCCACCTGCTCTCCAACTCAAATACAAATCATGCCTCTATTCTGGCTTCTACATATTTGATAGCCCTGAAAAATTCTAAAATTTGAAACTTCACCTGATCTTCATCTCCCTCTTATCCTCAACATGCATCAGTGTTGTTGTTATCACTTCTGTCTGGCGCGGTGCCAGACTTATGGTTTTCTTGTACATCTCAGGCTCGAATGGCCTTCTCTCCCCGGCCTGGAGGAGAGCAGACTGAGCCCCTTGCCCAAGAGACCTAAGCCAACTTACTTAGCGGTGGACAGAGAGAACCACGTCATTGGCTATGTTGTGCCTATCTTCAGGGGCAGGTAATCAGCCCATTACCTTCTGGAAGTGGAACCAAAGACTGTGGTAAATGTCTTATGCCTTGCTCCTTACACCTGGCAGTGAAGAGTATGCCTCAGGATGTTCTGAGACTCAGGCCATGGGCAGAGACACTGCTCAGGTGGCTCGCAGGGAAATATCCACCGCAGATCTGGGAATGGAGCAGATGTCCAGGAGGGAGGCCATCCGCGAGACTGCCAATCGCATCTCTATCAACAAAAGGGTTAGTTGACGGAGGGTGAACAATGGAGTTCTCTTTAATGAAGGGTGGGAGAAGCTGTTTTTGTTGTTTAATCAATTCCATTCAATGTATTTTTGTGTAGCCCTAAATCACAATAGTTGTTATCCTGGAGGATTTTGTCAACACAGATCAGAATCAACTGGTTCAAACACAAGAAATGCAATGATAAAAAACACATTTAGCCCTTGGTTCATAAGGGGCAGAGACCAATGACCATACATGTTGTTGAATGTCGAGAGTCCTGGATCAACATCTGGACACTCAATGTTTGTGCTTATGCCCTTGGTTTAGTCCCACTAATTATAAGTTGCCTTTTTGCAGATCACCCAATGTCATAAATACCAGATAGCTGTGTCTTAAGAGGATTTGTTTTATGACGATGTTAGTTTTCCTGGATGATTAAGAGACATAGATAGTAGTCTTAACTGGACATCACAAACCACAGTAGCCCCTAACCTCAATGGACTCATATGTCCCCTCGGTCTTTTACTACTGGGTGACAAATTCAGCAGATGATTATGTTTCTTAGGACACAAGTGCGCTGCCCCAAGAGCCCTTTCAGAGATGAGTCGTGTGGCCACAGTTTCATCACCACTTTACTGTATGACTTACAGTGCTGTTTTTACAAATGTGAAGTGAATGATACTCAGCTTGAGCATTGCATGTGGTTACTCTGCAGCAGGCATGAGACGCATACGCCTGGTGAATGGGAATGTTTTTTATTTGATCTATTTATTTATTTATTTGAACTGTAGCTTATGAGCACCCCCAAACTCAATCAGATCTTTCATATCACAATACAAATAGTACAGAACAAGGAGACAAAAGCACACAGAACAAACTACATATGCACATCCTGGATTATGGAACAATCAACAGTCAACAATTTAAACAGACCAGAGAGAGAGACCAGAGAGAGAAACCAGAGAGAGTGACCTGAGCAAGAGACCAGAGAGAGAGACTAAAGAGACAGACCTGAGAGAGAGACCAGAGAGAGATCAGAGAGAGAGAGCTGAGCGAGAAACCAGAGAGAGACCAGAGAGAGACTAGAGAGACAGACCTGAGAGAGAGAGACTAGAGAGAAAGATCAAAGCGAGAGACCAGAGAGAGAGAATCTACATGTATACAGTATATAGATCTACATGTATACAGTATATAGATCCCTGTACGACTGAGGGCTTACACAAAAAGTATATAGATTATATACAGAAATGAGCATGTTTTAAGAAGTGTACCTTGCTGTGTTTGGAAGATCCATGAGCAAGAGCAGCACTTTCGGCGCATGAACGAAGACAGCCTGATGCACTCTCCAGAGTTTGTGATTAAGCCTCGCTCCCACACGGTGTGGGAGAAGCAGTGTGTGCGCCTCCACTGCACAGTCAGCGGCTGGCCGGACCCCAGGGTCGTGTGGTAAGATCTCAGCACAAATACTTGCTTTTTAGTGAGCTTCTTTTGACATTGTTTATTAATGAATGTTTTATTGTATAGGTACAAAAACAATGTGCCTATCGACCCCCTCTGCAGCGCTGGGAAGTATAAACTTGAAAGCAATTACAATGTTCACTCCCTGGAGATCAACAGGTGAGTGCTGAAATATCCATAATACTAGGACTCAAAGAATTCAGAAACTGCTCAAATCTCCCAGAATAGACATTTTTTATAGCTCCAATTCAAATTAATGGAAATAATTTAATGGAATCCCCCCAAAGAGTAATCCATTATTTATTTCACAACTTTAATTAAAATTCAATAATTCACACAGTTTTTATTTTATTTTATTTTTTATCTTTAATACATGCTAAAACTGGTGTATATAACTAAAATACAACAAAACTAAATACTAACTCCTGCAATTAAACTATTTGTTGCTATTGTATCTAGCACTTGCTCCGAGCTGAGATTGCTCTGAACCAGTCTAGGACCAGTCCAGGATATTTCATTTTCAACATAATTGCATTGAAATAAACGACTTATAGATACAGGAAAAGTCTCAAATTAATGAAGTAAAAAAATGCACATACACAGAGTTATTACGTTTAAACAAAAACCGTCAAATTGACTGTTTTTTTACTGTTCTAGTGTTAATGCTGTTGTTTATACAAAATAAATGTGTCCATGAAGAGAAGAAGGAAGTGTCTGCTTGTATACATCACCTGGTCTGAATGACATCATCACTAGTGTCTATTTAGGACTCGGGTATTTCTGGAATGGAATGCAGTTGGCGTCATCTCAGTTTAATGTTATTAGAATGATTAGAACAGTCGGGCGGACGTCGGCAGGGTCTATATTTGTGCGGATGTATACGTGACGAGCAAAGATCACCTGATGCTCTCTGTTTCAGGTGTGATTTTGACGACACGGCGCAGTATCGTGTGTCTGCCATGAACTCCAAAGGGGAGCTGTCTGCATTCGCCTCTGTCGTTGTAAAGAGTAGGTTTGGCTTCACGTCTTTGTAGTGTCTGCATGACATGACTAAGTTTCTCTCAAGTCCCTTCCATGCAAGAAAATATGAAATAATCCAATTCCAAATGTCAATCAATCAAGTTTATGTATAAGGCACAGTCCATGTAGTGATTTGCAAAGACATCAAACCATATACATTTATTATAAAACATGTCAGAAAAAAAACTAATTAATGTCAGAAATAAAACTCAGAATTAAAACACAACATATAAAAGACAGTTATATGCAGAGCTAAATAGAACAGTTTTCAGCCTGGATTTAAACAATGCCAGAGAGAGGCCTCCCCTGCATTTAGGAAGACGGTTCCAGATTTGAGCTGCATAAACATGAAACACTGCCTCCCCATGTTTAGTCCTGACTCTGGGCCCTCTTGAGGCCAGTCCCTATGCTCCTCAGAGTCCCAGCAGGAGGCCAGTCCCTGTGCTCCTCAGAGTCCCAGCAGGAGACCAGTCCCTGTGCTCCTCAGAGTCCCAGCAGGAGACCAGTCCCTGTGCTCCTCAGAGTCCTAGCAGGAGACCAGTCCCTGTGCTCCTCAGAGTCCCAGCAGGAGACCAGTCCCTGTGCTCCTCAGAGTCCTAGCAGGAGACCAGTCCCTGTGCTCCTCAGAGTCCCAGCAGGAGACCAGTCCCTGTGCTCCTCAGTTCATACGGCACTAACATTGATGTACTTTTGTGCGAGGCCATGGAGCGACTTGTTGCCAGTCTGTGGAAGCCAGTGCAGAGACCTGAGAACTGGACTTATGTGATTGTTCTTCCTGGTTCTAGTCAGGAACATGTGGCCTCAACTCTGCCGTTCTGTGTCCAACAGGGTTTAAAGGTGACATTGATGAGTCTCTGCCAGCCCCCAGGAGTAAGTAAAACATCTTTGTGTCTGGTTTCTTTGGTGGATGCTCTGAAAATATATTGTCCTCCCATTGTTGAAATGATCCCTTAATCAAGTTTCTTTTTCTAATACAAGATCATGGAACTGTTATCCCTACAGTAGAAATGTAAAGGGATGGAACATGTTTTATAGCATATGTTGCACTACACATGTTGGTGATGAATAATAATGTATGCTATAATGTACAGTGGCATTTTTGTATTGCTTTGTTTTGTCTGCGTAACGCCACTGACCCCCACTATATATTTCTCAAATTGGAGTCAATAAGAACTGCAGACCAGAGAGAGAGACCAGAGAGAGAGACCAGAGAGAGAGACCAGAGAGAGATACCAGAGAGAGAGACCAGAGAGAGATACCAGAGAGAGATACCAGAGAGAGAGAGACCAGAGAGTAAAGTAGAAATTAAAGCTGGTGCACACTGTGGTAGTCTTGCACAGTTTTTCCAATGTGGTTTTACTGCAGATGGCAAATAAATGAATCTGAATCTGAATCTGAGTGAGACCAGAGAGTGAGACCAGAGAGTGAGACCAGAGTGAGACCAGAGAGTGAGACCAGAGAGTGAGACCAGAGAGTGAGACCAGAGAGAGAGACCAGAGAGAGAGACCAGAGAGAGAGAGACCAGAGAGAGAACAAAGATAGACCAGAGAAAGACTAGAGAGAGAGAGACCAGAGCAAGACCAGAGAGAAACCAGACAGTGACTATATAGAGAGAGACCAGAGAGAAACCAGACAGTGACCATAGAGAAAGACTAGGGAGAGAGACCAGAGAGAGAAACCAGAGAGAGAAACCAGAGAGACAACTGAACCTGAGAAATAGCAGGGACATTTGAACTGAAGAATGAAGCTATATGGTAAACAGCTATAGTAAGTTAATTATTATTGTATTTCTATCCTGCTTAATGCTTCAAAGGATATTACCAATTACATTCACCCACAGAACATAATTGCCTCAGCTGCTTGCTACTGCTATCCTTTCAATGGTTCCGGTTTACAATGCTAAGGATATCTGTCGTTCCTGATGTTTTGTGTATTTGGGGGGTTGCTACTGCACTAACACTTCTTTGTCTCCTTGTCGCTGTGCTGCAGGGGCCATTCCTCGAGGTAATAGGTCATTTTGGGTGTAAAGGTTTTGGAACAGTACATTTTTCATTGCATGGCCAAACTTCTTCACAGTCTTCTATCGAAACTGTGGAACAATAAGTGCTCTGAGAATGTCAGCTTTGTCATTATATCTGTGTAGAGTTCACTTTGTGTAAGCACCAGCACACATTATGGCTGCTGTGGTCACTGTTTTGTGCATGACTCAAATCATTCTTATTCTTTTATCTCTTTTTAGTGTCTTTTTTGCTCTTGCTGTGGCCTTTTATCCACGTTTTTGTTTTCATCCACATTTCTCATTTGTTCATTTTCCATGCGTTGTGTGAATGTCCCACCTCTTTTTTGATGGATATGTAAGACACAGGTGTATTATTGCAGTGCTGTGACATCTTTGTTGGGTTTAATTTGACCACAATAGTACGTAACTTTTCTCTTTTATTTCCTTGTGTCTGTAGAGGGCCCTGTGTCTGAGTATGGCATTAACTTCCAGACTCACATTGTGGATAAGTTTGGCGTTTCCTTTGGACGAGAGGGCGAGACAATGAGTCTAGGATGCACCGTGATCATTTCTCCAACTTTAAACCGGTACCAGCCTGAGATCCAGTGGTACAGAGATGGTAGGTCTATGAACCACAATAAACCGTTCACTTATAGATGTTTTATTTGTTATAGTTGATTGATTGAATGTTCATGTCTGTAGGTATTTTGCTGTCTCCCACTAAATGGTACCAGATGAGCTGGAGTGGGGACAGGGCCACGCTGACCCTCGTACACCTGAACAAGGAGGATGAGGGACTCTACACGTTACGCATCACCACTAAGTCTGGATATGAGACGCACTCTGCCTACCTGTTTGTTCGAGGTATTTTTACTCCAGTCATCAACTCAGAAAATCTCGAAAATGTTTACAGTCAGTCTTTTAGGTTACTACAGGATCAAGTCACTGTATAGTTGCAATAGTCATTAAATTTCCTCCTGTTAAATCCAGACTTAATCCATCGGTGGTAGTTGTCAGTTAAAGTAGGTTAAAGATACACTTATAGCGTCTGACAGAAAAGTCTGAGATAGCGGCAGTGGATGAAGTGGTGTTGAAATAGCATAGTTCCGTGTGAATAACTCATGGCTTATATCCCCAGTGTCTTCAGTGAGTGATGACCTCTGAGGGCTTTGTCTGTCTGAACATACTTGTTTATGTGCTGCCAGTTGTCCCTCTGCTACAGCTGAGAGCGTCTTTTTAAAGAGGAGCCTATAGCAGGGTTTCCATAACAATACTATATAATCCCAGAGCAGCTGAGCAGTTCCAAGAAAGCTGTGCACTGGAATCTAGTCTGGCTCCCAACCCAAATAAAATACTGTAAATAACAACTGCAAGTGAGACAGGCTTTAGTTCATTAAAAGTCATTTAGCCCAATAGTTAACTGTTTATGGTTTACTTTTTAAAAGATGTTATGAGTCAATATTTTCCTTTTTTCAAACAGCAGTATGTATAGGGCAACATGGGAAAAGGTGCAATATACAGTATATAATTGGTGTTAAGGTCTGCGATAACAGTATAAATTGTGATGTTTCTTTCCATATTCATGTTGGAACTACTGTGTCTGCTCATCTTTTCTTCAGCCATGTTGTGTTTTGTTCTTTCTAGCTTCTGTGTCAAGAGTCAGGGGGCTCTAGAAGCAAATGGCAAAAGCTTAGCATAGAAAAACACATGAAATTATTGCACATGTTATTTTTAGAGACCTTTTGCAGCCTTTATAGAGGCTTATATGTTATGACCTTTGTTCTCTTCTATGTCTTTTCTAACAGTCACCGTTCTTATCTTTGTTTTGGCCAGAGCTGGTGCTAATTCTGTCTTCCTGCCACTGATTACTTTGAACTTGGGATATTACTGGAAGAGTGTGTTTGACAGCTTGTGTTGTTTAGATGCTGAGGCTGAGGTGGAAGGAGCCCCAGCCGCACCTCTGGATGTCCGTGGTCTTGATGCAAATAAGGATTACATTATTGTCACTTGGAAGCAACCAGCGGCCGATGGGGGAAATTCTATTCTTGGCTACTTTGTGGACAGGTTTGTGTGGTTCCTTTTGCCGCTTTTGCATTTACCTGTGCAAATACACCCCCTCTTGGGCCACCACTTTATTCTTATTTTTCCCTTTAATTCAACAACAAATAAAATCGAGAAAAATATCCCAGTGATTTGAAAGAAGTGTTCATACCCCATGAACTGATCCATATTTTGTCACGTCACAACCACAAACATAAGGATTTTATTTTTATTTTCACATCACCACATATATCAAATACAAACATATTTGTTTTATGCATATCTTTGTGACACTTTTGAAAAATGAACTCGTGAATGGGTCCCACACACAGCGACAGAGTCAGGTTAATTTTGCCATTTGCAGTAAAACCACATTGGAATACATGTGCAAAAGTCCCCAGTGTTCACCAGACATGAACAACCCAAAAGTACAATTAATTCATATCTGAACTTCTACCTATACACAGGTGTGAAGTCGGAACAAACCACTGGGTTCAATGCAATGAGACCCCAGTGAAGTTTGCCCGCTTCCCAGTCACTAACCTGGTGGAAGGCCGATCCTTTGCGTTCCGTGTCCGTGCCGTTAACAGCTGTGGCATGAGTTATCCGTCCAGAGTATCTGAGCCGGTCGCAGCCATGGACCCAGCGGACCGGGCACGCATGAGAGGTACTGTATCTATGGTAGAAAGTTAATGTACTGTACACAGTATTTGTAAAGTCTTTAACGGACTCTTCTGGTCTTGAAGGCACTTCTGCTCCTTGGACCGGTCAGATCATCGTAACAGAGGAGGAGCCTGCAGGTATAAACTTCCCTTTTGTAGAACTAGCCATTTTCAAGAGGTCATGATTTATTCTGTGTTTTAATTTACAGAGAGCATTGTTCCTGCAAGACCCCGTGAACTGCAAGTGACAGAGGCGACCAAAAATTATGTGGTGTTGAGCTGGAGGCCCCCAGGAGAGAAAAGCCTTGAGGGCCTCATGTATTATGTGGAAAAGGTATTCACACAAATGTATATGTAGAGTTGTACCTGTAATAACTGTTAAATTTGCTCTTCTCTACAGTGTGTCTCTGGCACAGACGACTGGCAGAGAGTGAACACAGAGATCCCCGTCAAATCCCCACGCTTTGCACTCTTCGATCTGGCAGAGGGGAGATCCTACAGCTTTAGGGTTCGCTGCTGCAACTCCGCTGGGGTGGGCGAACCCTCTGACCCCACGGAGGCCACGACAGTCGGAGACAAACTTGGTCAGACCGTGTATAATGTCCAAATTATTTATATTGATAATACTAATACTAACATTAGTATCATAATAGCATGAGTATCAGGAGACTCAAACAAATAGTTATGTGCAGATATCCCAGCGGCTCCAGGAAAGGTTGTCCCCACGAGAAATACAGACACGTCTGTGGTTGTGTCCTGGGAAGCTTCACAAAATGCGAACGAATTAGTGGGATATTACATCGAATGCAGCATTGAGGGCAGCAGTGTGTGGGAGCCATGCAACAACAAACCTGTGAACGTCACCAGGTAAAACAGATGGAGACCATTGGTCCTGGAGCAGTAAGATAAGATGATAGACTTTTCTGATAGTGTATTGATCATGTGATGCAGGTTCATCTGCCACGGCCTGACCACAGGGGAGCGCTATATCTTCAGGGTCAGGGCTGTGAACGCAGCAGGACTCAGCAACTTCTCCCCAGAATCTGAGGCAGTGGAGGTGAAGGCTGCTATTGGTGAGTCAAACTGCTACTGAACAACTCATGAAACAGTCCTATATGTTACGAAAATTATTTACATGTTCCCAATGTTTTCTTTGAACCACCTTATGACTTTACTCTGCACCTCCATGTGGACACCACCTCCCTGCCCTGCTCCCCACCACCCCCCACTAGTCCTTGCACAGAATGAGGCAGGGTCAGGACTTGTAGACTTCCTCTTATTTGGGTCACTGATCCGATTCAGTGGTTGTTACAAACCAGCAAGTGTCACATGCCACCCTTTCCATTTTCCCTTCCTATATTGGGCACGAGATATATCAGCCACCTCATCCAGTCTTTAAAGGTAGCATCACAGTCGAACCCCAGTGGACAAAGCTAACTGCATGAAATAATTTTATAAAGTCTGTTTATTCACCACTGCCTCCTGAACCTTGTATTGTTTACTTCCACGCATGTTTGCTTGATATAGGCATGATTCCTCAACCGCATCTCTCTAAACTATAACCTAATGATGGAATATGAATGAAACAGTTTAGTCTGTGAATGTTTTCTTGACTCATTGCATCTACAACTGTGATAAACGTCCTAGCACTGGTCTGCCTTGTACTGCATGCTTCCTAAACCTGGTCAGTCATCTGGATGCTGGTCATCTTGTCTTCATTATTTATATTCTCTGAAATGAAGACATTTAAACTGAATTTATAAATGATTACAATTTTATATTGCATTTTTGGTTTGCAATATTGGTTTGAATTGCCTGTTTTATCTATGCTTTTTCTGCTAACCCTTTTAGGCGGCGGCATTCTTCATGGTGTGTTGGAGAAGGGTCCAGGGGGTAACAAGGGCCAACTAACAGAGCACAAGCCACTCTGGATGGGCACGCATGAGACTGTCCAGTCCTCTGCTGTCACTGTCCCAAAGGGCAAAGCTCAAACTGACACTAAGAAGGGGTCCGGGGCCAATGAAGAGTCTGCAAGCACTGACCACAGGCCCCGGACCCCTGACCTGGGCACTGAGCCTCCTGCAGACTGTGTGTCAGAAGTAGATTTAGGTTCACTCACTCACACGGCTGCACATGTAGAGGCTGTTACACTGGCTGCCTCTGACCCTCCCTCTGCTAGAACAGCGCCCTCTGCTGGGGCTGTGGGTGCAGAGGCAGACCAGGCCGCACACGCATGTAAGTTCTCTGTAGATGCTTCTGCTAATCAAGACACTACAAAGACACAACAAAGTCAAGGAGTGTCGAAAGGTGAGCAGTGAAGAAACAACATTCAGTTCAAATCCATCATTCCATCATCAAGTCATTGAATTCAACATTTTCAAATTAAAGCTGGGGTAGCTGATTGTCAACTCGATTCTCAAAGTATCTAATAGTACTCTTATAATATTTAAGCGCGTCACTAGGTTAACATCCTTGAGTTTTTGCTTATTCAGAGAAATTAGTAGAGATATCCACACTCCCTCAGCTGATCTGCCTACAACCCAACTCCTCAAATAGTGACTCACAGGAATTTGCATTTGTGTAGCTTTTACCAGGTTCTTTTTGTGATAATGAACATAGGAGTATATTTTTATAACCTGGGGTCAAATGTAGTGAATTCGTTCATATGGCATTTACATATCAATACATTTTGCACACATGAGAACCCTTATATGTATACACTTAGGTACCCCAGCTTTAACAGTCATTCTTTTCTTCAAGGTAAGTAAATAGTCGCCCATCAATAGAATGTTTGCTTGTTTCACGCCATGTTATGTGTGTTATGTGTATATGTTGGCAGTCACCACCACCTACTGCACTAAGGGCACGTAGACAACAGCTGGTCACAAACACAATCCTGTGATGACATAAAATGCTTTCTTACAATACTCTTCCTTATACCATAGTGAAAATATGACATAACAAAAAAATTAGGTTTTTCTGTCATGCAATAACCATCACAACTATCCCACCCACAGTTCCACCCACAGACCATGCTGAGGTTAACTGGAGAACCTTGTCATTTCAGCATCTCCCACTCCTCCCTATGGCATCACTGTGCTGGAGTGTGTGCGTGACTCCATGGTGCTTGCCTGGAAACAGCCCACATCTGTCGGTGGAGCTGACATCACAGGATACTTTGTGGATTACCGGGAGGTCGTTGATGGAGCACCAGGACAGTGGCATGAGGCCAACATTAGGGCTGTCAGTGAGAGGGCATACAGAGTAGGTTTCTGGTGGATATTCTTATAAACTGAATATTGTCTGTTTGTTACTAATGTGTACACTGTGTGTAGGTGTCTGACCTGCTGGAGAATAAAAAGTACCAGTTTCAGGTGAGGGCCGCCAACATGGCTGGTGTCGGGATCCCATCTTTGCCAAGTGACACTTTCCTGTGTGAAGAGTGGACCATCGCAGCCCCAGGTCAGCAATGAACAACAACAAATATCATCAGAATTGTTTTGTCTGAGAAGCTCACTGCGATGTTGCCAGGTCCACCTCATGACCTGGAGATCCGAGAGGTGCGGAGCGACTCTGTGGCGCTGCTGTGGAAGCCTCCTGTGTATCAGGGCCGTGATCCGGTCAATGGCTTTTACATCGATGTGAAGGAAGCAGAGGCTTCAGACGAGGCCTGGAGGAGTGTGAACACCAAGGCTACTGACAAGACATTTTTCAAGGTATGCCTCACATGGCTTTGGTAATATACACATTCCTAACATCTACTTTTACGGTAACTGCAGGTCAAAAACCTCACTGAAGGGCACGATTATGTGTTCCGCGTACGTGCACAAAATCAAGCAGGTGTTGGAAAATCTTCTGAGGTGACAGAGCCTATCAAAGCTGTCACCAAACCAGGCAAGAGTCAGACCTTCAACCACCTCACATATATATATATATAGTTCTTACAACAATAAAACTTTTGTCTTTCAGGCACCAAGGAGATTGTTGTAGATGTTGATGACGATGGTATCATCTCCTTAAACTTTGAATGTGGAGAAATTACACCCGACTCCAAATTTGTGTGGTCCAAAAACTATAAAGAAATCTCAGAGTCCCCTAGAGTGGCGGTAGAGACCAAGGGAAACAAGTAAGTCCATTGTCTGTGAGCTTGCACTATTGTCTTCAGTCCAGTCTAACCTTGTGTACGTCAGGTCCAAGGCCGTGTTCAGCTGTCCTGCGGAGGAAGACGTCGGCATCTACTCGTGCCACGTCACTCACACTGACGGTGCTTCTTCCAGCTACACTTTGTCTCCTGAAGGTACGTTACAAGAAGAATCACCGGCATGGCCACCTTTTTTTAATCCATTTCCTCCCTCTGAGCAGAGCTGAAAAGACTCCTGCAGATCAGTCACGACCATAAGTTCCCCAGTGAGTCTGTTTTCCCTCACAGTCACAGCTGCTTGTCATGTATTGGATTATTCCCTTAACTGGTTTTACCCCCTTTGTGTTTAAGTAATTCCACTAAAAACAGATTTAGCTGTGGAGATGCAGGAGAAGGGCAGAGTCCGCTTTTGGCTGCAGGCGGAGATGTCTGGAAACGGAAAAATTGATTACGTGTTCAACGATAACGGCATTTCTCAAGGGGAGGTTAGTTTGAATAACAATAATTAAAATGCTATTGGAAAATGACTTGGTTTTGCTTCTGTGTGTAGAAATACAAGATGAACTTTGACAAAAATACAGGCATTATTGAGATGATCATGGAGTCTTTGACGCCTGCTGACGAGGGGACTTACACGTTCCGGCTGCAGGATGGAAAGGCTACAAACCAGTCTAGTTTAGTGCTGATCGGAGATGGTGAGTCCCTTTGTCACATACAGTCTGTGAGGAGTAACTATCACACACAAGTTTTCAAACGGTTCTTGTTTCTTGACCAAACTACTGATGCTTCCAGTGTTCAAAGGTTTGCAAAAGGAGTCCGAGTTCCAAAGAAAAGAATGGTTCAGAAAGCAAGGTAAAGATATGGTTTGGGTGAATATAAAATACTTTAATGTTTAAATACATGTCACACTGTGTAGGTCCTCACTTCATTGAGTTCTTGGGCTACGAAGTGACACCAGAATGCTGCGTGCTTCTCAAATGCAAGGTACGGGCGCTTTTACACTTGAACAAGGCTGAGTCTGGTTTACTTGAGGAAAAAATACTTCACACATCTGTTTCGAAACTTGGGCTGCACCTCCCTCCCCACCTGGGAGACTCCTCAGCTCTGTACCGTACAGTCTCAGTCCTTGTTCTACAGCCTGAGTCCTGGATCTATAGTGGGGGTGAATCCCTCTCTCCCCAAGTTTTCTCAATTTTTTTTCCCACTGGGTTCTTTTTAATCGCTCTTTGGAAGATCTAAGGACAGTGAGGATCAGAACATTTAGGGACCCGTTGAAGCAGTATAAAATCAAATTAAACTGACCTAACTGATTAGTGGACACATGTTCACTTGTTTGGTGGGTTTACATTCACAAATAAAGCATTTTTGCCGTAATATGCTCTAAATAACCCACAACTGACCACCAATGTATCTCTCAGGTCGGGAACATGAAGAAAGAAACCACTGCGGTTTGGTACAAAGATGGGAAAGAGATCAAATCTGATAACAACCTGGGCTTCACGGAGGGAGTGCTCAAGCTGGAAATCGCTCAGGTGAGAGAAGCGTCTCCTCTGCACCTACACATCCATTTGTAATTACGTACACTGTGAGATATCTATGTATATTTATGTACTCTACACGTCACTCATCTCTCCGTCGATTGTTCAGGCCAAGTAAGTCTAAGTCAGTATTTACATCTATCTTTTGGTCCCTTTCTTTCCTGTTTTACACACTTTGCATTAACTCATTGTTCTTCACTCGTTGCCACAGTTTTGTCCCTAAATGTCCGTCTGAGTGGAAACATATAATACTGGAGGTCAACTATGGTATTATAAACATGTTACTTTGTCCTATTTCAGCGTGACTCCCGTCCAGAAACAGCAGAATATGCCGACACCCTTATCTGGAGAAAACTCAAAGTTGGAAACCATTTATTTTGTGTTATCTTTTATTATTCAAGTGATAGTTGTGGATTTGCAGTTGGGCTTGAGACTGTTCGTTCTCCTATCAGTGTCTGTCCGTCTGCTTTTTTGCCCTTTGTGTCATATGTGTCTGTTTTCTGCAGCACCCTTAGCAGAAGAGAAAAGCTTTGCCTTTTCAGATGGTTTCATATATATATTTATTCCTGTTGTTTTGTATCTGCTGAGTGTGATTTATGTTAAACGGGAGGATTCTGTTGTCTCTGATAGATTTCCAAGAAAGATTCAGGCGTGTATGAGGTGGTTCTTAAGGATGACAGAGGAAAGGACACTTCTAAGTTGAATTTGACAGAACAAGGTAGAACAGCAAATATAAATTACAGTATGTTCTCTTTAAAATGCCTGCTATTACATCTATATATGTGTGTGTTTTAGGTTTTAAAGACTTGATGAATGAGGTTTTCAGCTTTATTGGTAAAATTTTGAATAACAAACCAGCCACCTTTCCACATTTTCCTTTGAAATTCATGCAAAAATCATGTCTTGTCCTTTAGCCAACTCCTCCACTCCGCTGAAGATCACCAGTACAGAGAATGGCATTCGACTGTACACATTTGTAGGTTATTACAACGACTTACTCCAAGTGACATGGCATTACAAGTGAGTTCATGATAGAACCACCGACAGATGAAAGGCTTATCGCTGTTGACACATGAATGTGTTCTCAGGGATTCGGCCATAGCCTTTTCTGACCGTATAAAGAGTGGAGTGGTCGGAGAGCAGCTCTGGCTTCAGATTACAGAACCCACAGAAAAGGACACAGGAACGTACGCCATCGAGTTCAATGATGGGAAAGGAGGCCTGAGGAGGAGCGTGGAGCTGAGCGGACAAGGTGAGACCCACAGGCTACACATGACACTCACACAACGTACTTATTACTAAAAACTGTTGAAGCTTCTGATGCAAATGTTATAGAGAACCTTTCTGTTTGCAGCCTATGACGACGCTTTTGCAGAATTCCAGAGACTGAAGTAAGTACATGAAGTGAATGATATGTTTGATAAGAATTCAGAATTACACTAATCTAATCTGTTTATCTCTATCTCAATAGGGCTGCTGCTATCGCAGAGAGAAGTATGTCATTCATCTTTTTACAAAATATTAGCTCCATACTTAATATTATTAGAGAATATACTTTTTATATTGTACAATAGGATAACTTTATTGTCAAGTGTAGTGATGACAAAACGTGTCTTTGCGCACATTACAATGTTTGTGTTTGTTTTTGTGTCTTTCCTAAGGTCGTGCTCGAGTAGCTGGAGGTCTGCCCGATGTGGTCACGATCCAGGAGGGAAAGGTAAGGTTTCAGAGATCATTCACTCCACTTTTACTAAATCTCTTATCCCATTTGCTTTGTGTTCTTTAGGCCCTGAATTTGACCTGCAATATTTCCGGTGACCCTGTGCCGGTGGTGACCTGGCTGAAGAACGACAAAGAGATCACATCAGACGAGCACTGCATCCTTAAGTTTGAGTCTGGCAAGTTTGCCAGCTTCACCATCACTGGTGTGAACACTTCAGACTCTGGCAAGTACAGCATCCTGGTGAAGAACAAGTACGGCACGGAGAGCGGGGACTTCACTGTAAGTGTCTTCATCCCAGACCAGGCCAAGTAACCGTGCTCACCGGGGCCAACATGTGCTGAGAGAGGCTAAACATACGGAGCGTGTTGTAGACAGTGTATCACATTATTTATGTTAAACTGGTGAAAGGTCCAGCTGTGTGACATCACAGACAAACCACTGTTTAAAGTGTGTACGGCAGGTTTCACAAACACACTTCACTTCATCTTATCTTAAAATGTTTAACTATTGAACACATTTCATCCCAATTTGACCATATTTTTAGATTCCTGGTTATGATTGATGACATCTAGGATGAATATAACACCAAAATTATTTGAGAAATTCAAAAGAATATTTGTTTATTTAGTTGAATGATGTCATAAAAATGTATTTGTTGTAACTAAATTGACTTTTAAAGCACTGTCATACACACTTTAAGCAGAGTTGCGTCCTATTGAAAAAGCAGTAACAAACCCTTCAATATCTATCATTAAAAGATTATGGTGCATCATATAATTCAGTATTTTAACCCAACGCCCTCTCGTTTGACCTCTGTTATTTGAAATACCTGTTTATTGCTGCAATTCTGAGCACTTTCCACACCGTGAAAGCCATATTTATGATGCCATTGTAACAGGGGGGAATTCTAATCTCTTTGAATCACAATGGACAGTGGTGGATTTCAAAAACTCTGAATACAAGCTAACGCCTTGTCATGTCCTGTTATGTTTTACCACCCATCACTTCCTGTTCTTCACTTTGGTAATGCCCTCCCCCTTCACGAAATCTTGTATTTGTAATGACACTGTTACATAGACGTGTATTACTGTTTGTGCAAAAACACCACTGTATCACTCCCTTTGGTGAAACTAATAAATACGCATGTGCCTTCTTGACACCTCCCTCCATTTCTGCTCACTGTTTTCTTATCTGGCACCCTTCTCTGTGATCACGATTGTCACCTTTTCTTCCAGTCGTCTCACTTTCTTTTCCCACCCTGTCACTGCGCGCTTGGACTGCTCGAAGACCAAGCACCGTCACGAGGACCCACCCTCTCCTTGTATTTGTGTAATCTCCACGTTTTCTCCTGTTTGCAATTACAAGCCGTGGCCTTGATTTCTGAAGCTACAGAGAATCAAGCTCACCGCCAGTAATTGCATGAAGACTAATATAATTCCCTCTGTACAGTCTCACGCCAAAGGATAAGGCCAAAAAGCTTTGAATTCAAGTAGATAATAGGGGAAATTATAAAAAGACATTGTAGAATAGTGAGTAAGATTATCCGCCCTGAATCACATGGTAAGTATTATTTGTAATGCATTTTGCAGTTGTCGTTTTGTGAGGATAAACATGAGCTAATTGTGTAATTTGCTGTCAGCTGGAGGTGGTGGAGGGAACCCCAGATTTAGGCATTACCTCATACTGGACTGATGCGGACGGAAATGTGGTGTTTGATCCAAATACCCCAAAGGAAAGGATGATCACCTCATACACGGGAGCCAAAACACAGGAGCCAGAGGGTATGGATTTTGTCTGTTTGATTTGGTTAAGGAATAGTAGGGGTCCCGGATGCAATGTCGTGAAGAGAATTTAAGTTTTTAGAAGCCACGCACTGGAAAAGTAATGTCTACAAAAACAAATGCTCACTATTGCCATTGTAGTGGTACTAGGTTTTGTTCATGTGTTATCACAACATTCCAGCCAGCATAGTTTAAAATGTTAGCAGAGGGCAGCCAAAAAATCTCTCCTGGTAACTATAGTAAGTGTCAAAAGTCAGATGTTTATACTATTCTACTTTATTCAGTTGTTTATACTTTAATTCAACTCTAATTCCTGGGTCATTCCATAAGAAGAAAAAAAATGTCACAAAGTTCCACATATTTTGTTGGGGGTGACCAATGTCCACAGATGTTATTAAATTTCGATATTAACAGTCTCAAAATATGATCTGGGGAAATATTTCTTTCAAAAATTTGTAGAGAGCCAACCCCCAAATGAAAAAAATTCTAGGACATGAACTCAACCTATAACAAGCCCACCAGAAATACATGTTTTAGCAATATGGCAAAATTTTATAATAATATATCACAATAGTTTGATTGGGTTTCTTGCACTTAGGTGCAAGAAACCCAATCAAGTAGTAAGTCAAGAAGTAAAAAAAAAAAAAAAAAAACATTTTACGTGATTTTTCTTCTAGCATTATGAGATCGCTTATCTTTTATCTTATATTATACCAGCTGCAGCCACTGGGAGTCAGCAGAGAGACGGGTTTGGGGCCAACTCAAAATCACTCTTTTTAGTTATATGTAAAATACTGTACAATTTTATAGGAATTTATTTAGCAATGTTCAAATAGCGGCACTTTCTTTGGTCATAAATGTGTACCATGACTTTTTTTTTCAGATTGTGGAGTGTTGGTTGAAGAAAAGGAGGAGGAGAGAGAAGAGAAATACTTGCTGGATACAGTTACAAGTACCATTGAGGAGATGAATGGATCTGAATTAGAGGCTGAAGAGGAGACTGCTGACCACACCGAGCCAAGGAGAGAAGTGACGGAACCAGAGGAGCAAGAGGAACCCAAGGAACCAGAAGATGGGCCTGAAAGCACAGAATAACAAGAAATATACATCAAAATCTGTGTCTTTTTACTTTTTCCCCAAAATGGTCACCTTTGTTCTTAACCCTCAGTGATGTATTGTCTCTCACTCAACCGTAACCAAGCTGCTCTTAATAAACGTGTTTTATCTACATCTCCAGTCTTCTCACTCAGGGACAGAAAGGACTCTCTCCAGAGGAATTCTTAGGACCAAACCGAGCAGAATTAATTGAGTTGAATCAGTGCAAAGGTGAGAGAGGTCGAGTGGAGAGAACCTTCGAACACAAAATGCTCATAAAAGGTGCGATGGTAAATGTTTGAATGGCGGTGGTAGAATACAAAGAGTGTGTTTGGTTTAATAGACAAAGACAAATAAATGTGTCAGGGTGAATTCTATCTGGATTAACAGACTCTCCGTAGCTGTATAATATAAGATAAGAATATTATAAGATATTTATTTATTTATTTGAGCGCAATGTTATAGGAAATACTGGGATTGGTATATTTACAGGGCAAAGCTACAAAAAAAGAAAAAAAGTAGGATGGAGCAAAAGTGATTGAATTTAAGAATATAGCAGAAAGTGTATTGTGAATGCAGGACTTCAGAACTACACATTGTCGTCACGTGACATAAAGGAACTAATGCAAACCATGTGAGTCACTATCATAGATCTATTATAGTAACTGGATAGGGTATTACTAGCTTGGGGTCACTATATGCCTCTTTGGGATGAGAGATAGTTGGCTGCCGCATTTAGACTGTGGAAAAGCTGCTCTCTTATGAATACAAAATATAAGTTAGATGGATTTAAAAATGACTTCCTTCTTTGAGTATTTAAAAAGTAAGATACTTTTAATCAAAACCTTTTTCTATCAGCTTTTTCAGACAGAAAAGTAAAAAAAAGTGAGGACCACTCTCACTCAGCCAATCATCCCAAAGCGTACAAAGCAGGTTGAGGTCTGATTTGTTCACAGCATTGAATTTTTACATGAAACATTATTGATTATTTACGAAACAAAAAAAAAATAGTTTTCTTTCTTTTACATTAAAGCTAGCTAAGAGCGTCATGTATAGCTTTGAATCGTAATGTGATTGCAAATGCGTTTTAGACATCTTATTTTTTTTATTTTATAATTTTAATTTATTCCAGTCAGTTTAATCTATATTTCATTCGTGTTTGTTTTGTACCTTATTTATTATTCATAGTTTAATTTGGAACATACTTGAAATAAAATCTTTACTACTAACGTTAATGCTAATTCATGTATCGCTCGCGCTACATCACGTGCGCGCAGCAGTCACGTGGTGCGCTCCTCTCCTGCTCTGTGGACTCCGAGGACACACCATGGACACCTGCAGATGACCAGCCTCCTCTCTGTCCCTGTCCTCTCCTCTCCGGCAGGTAAAGACTCATTCATGTCCTCTAGTCTAAATAACTGCTTCAAAAATCCCGTGTTTGTAACTGTCCTTGAATGCACCACTTTAAACTAGTAATACTTCTTATCAGCTTCAACGCTATAGTCGAGTGTGTTTTATTGAGAACTATTAGAATACAAATTGCTGATCCATGACCGCTCCAATCACCAGCATCTCCTTTAATTAGCCTTGTATTATGTAGGCAATTCTATGTGTTTCTATTCTACTTTTAAAAAATCTAAATCATTTCACTTTTATATTTTGCTGAGCTCCGGGGTATTGTCCAGGGTATTGTGTGTACTGCTCTGTGGTGTGCACTTGGACTACTTGTGAGGAGAAAGCCAAGTCTTAATCTGGTAAACAGGATTATCACCACTTATGGTCCCATAACCAGAGTACAGTGTGACTCAGGTCTTCGTTCAGGACATGGGGCCGTAACCTGAGCTCTGTACACTGCCAAACCATCTCTACCTGAATGTGGAATACATATTGTGTTGTGTTTGGTCCGTTACAGCTGGTTGTAGAGCTAACACACATGTGGGTCATTCCAAACTGGCCCATTTCCACCTGCCCCACTTGGCTCTACTCTACTCGGCTCTTCTCTACCTGGTTGTGTTTCCATTACACTTTAGTTTCTGGTACTGTATTCTCGCTCCCTTCCCACAGCAAACAAGTATCCGTGGACATTCCTTGGTAACCTTGGCTTCCAGCAGCACTTCAGCCAGTCTCTCTCGCTTTGAGCACTTTAGTACTAGCTTGGCCTGGATTGGACCAGCGCCAAGCATGCACTGAATAGTACTGGTTAAACAGGGCCAGTGGAAACGCTCCCAATCAAGGTAGAGTAGGGTAGTGTAGGGTAGGTTAGAGGGTTTACTGTATCTACACAAAGTTATAAGATAAGAGATAAGATAAGATGTGCTTTATTTATCTCACAAAGGAGAAATTTACGGGGGTGATCGTGAAGTGTAAATGTCAAAACGTTTTTTATACAATTAACAGTACTTTATTCTTACACAAAAATTGTGAAATAATTGTATAAGAATTGTGTAAATGTCTTGTTTTAATGACAGGGAAAACGTCTATTCAAATTTTCCTTCAGAGGCTTCAAACTGAGATAAGAAAATTCTGTATCTGCATTCTTAAAAAGTAATTGATTAATTGAAATAATAATTGCCGGATCAAACGATTATCACAATAATAATTAGTGATATCACTCTTAAAGACTTAATATATGTTGTTATGAAGAAAGAACTTGAGAGAAGCATAGGCAGCTGTTAATTAACTACAGCTTGGTTTTAATAATTTATTTGACATCATTTTAGTTTTTTTCCTGCTTTGATCCCATTCTTGGTCTTCTTACACATTTCCCTTTGTTAATAACTACTGCTTTTTTACTTTCCTCGCGACCCTTGTGAGGCCTACACGGAAAATGATTCTATTTCTGCACTTTTAAACCTTTTATGAAGATTCATTTGGTTATGATAAACTATAAATGACGGTCACTATCGGTCTAATAATTCCACACATCCGCAAATAACATTTTTCTTATGTTTGTTGTTGTGAGCATTGAGAAAGCGTCGCCGTGAGCCGAGGGTCCGGGGTAAAGCAGGTTACGTAAGGCTCTTAGGGCTGGGGTACTTTTCCTCATGGTCTTTGTGTCTGGAGCTCAGACCAAACGCTGCCTGTGAAATGGGGCATAAATTAAAACATTAGTAAAAGGTGGATGAGGTGCAGACGTCCCATGAGCAGCGCTGTGGCGATGCAGGGGACGGGGACCAGGGCTGTAGAGGAGGATGTCAAGCCCCCCTGGAGACTGGTGAGTGCGTCAAAACCAGTCTAAACTTTCCATTAGTAAATAATCAAATGCATTCACATCAACAATATTAACAACTAATCAACAATAACACACTGCAAAAAGAGATGGGAAATAAGCGGCAAAATTTATCTTAATTTGAACCCATTCTGACTGCAAAAACAAGATTTTCCAATGGGACGAAGCAAAATGATCTTGTTTTAAAAAGATACACGCAATGTCTCCTTTGGAATGAGAAAATAAAGCAACAGTTTTTGAATAAAGACTAAATGGCTTTGTCCCATTGGGAAAACAGTCAGAATGGACTGGACTCAAATTAAGATAAAAAAACACTTGATTCAAAAAATGATTAAGCAATAATTACCTTATGTTTCATCATTTTTGGCAGTAAAAAGTAGTAAAAAACAATTGTGACATTTTTTGTGCCTGCTCTTGCAACTGTACGCATGCCACTACGATAAGCACTTGTTGAAAAATCTTTTAAATCCGCTAAGACTTGAAGCCGAATGGTTGGTACTCTCCTTAATGGGTGAACTGTTAGGATACTTACAGAAAAGGAGGAATAAAGTATGCAGATTGAGATCAGGTTCATTTTATTTGCCATTTGCAGTTAAACCACATTGAAATGCATTTGCAAAAGTCCCCAGTGTGCACCAGACAAGTAATTAAATACAATAAGATTAAAAGTACAGGAATAAAAAGTTCTGGAAACGATTGATGCTGTGAGATCGATCAATCAAAACAGTGTCAATACAGGTGCAGCAAGACCATGAAAGTGCTTTGTTCAAACTGCTACGCTAACATTGGATCATTTAAATGTTATTAATATTAGCGTCTACGGCTTTTAAATGGTGTACCGCAACAACAGAATCCTTCAGGTTGATTCTATATAAGCCCAGATGTGTTGGTTTTGTTCTTGTTTACTACTTTTGAATGTAGTTCTGTATAGATCATGTTTAGAACTAGCAACCTAGTGTCTGTCAGTCACTCTTAAATCATACTTGTTCTTTGTATGTAGCACGTTGCCCTGGTTCATTAGTATGTACGCTGAGCTCTCTGGGCAACAAGCTGAAAGTCTGCTTTAGACCAGATTAAACTTTGTCAATCCCAGGACATTTAAAAAGAAAATGGGACAGGAGCGCTGCGTTCAGGGACCAGTGGCCTCATAAAAGTATATATAGAGTTGAATGTGAGGTTGGAGTTGGACATGGTGTGAATGCAACAACTTTTATGGACTTTTTTTTAAAATCTCTGCATTTCCTGCGTTTGATCGGTTTGATTCTCTGATCTGTGTTGGCAAATCAACAGGTTTGTAAAGTCCTCAGAGATAGCTACACTGCAAAAAATCATAACATGAAAGTTCTTTTTATTTTAATTTGAGTTAATTCTGACTGCCTTGTTTTCTCATTCAAAGGGAGACATTTCTTGTATCTGTTTAAAGACGATCATTTTGCTTTTCCCATTGGTAAATCTTGTTTTAAGGCAGTGAGAATGTACTCGAATTAAGATAAATTTTGCCAAATTTGAGCAATTTTCAACTACTTTTACAGTGTACTTTACTTTTTTAGGGCTATTAATTGAATTGAATTGAATGATGGTCCTTATTGACTTATTTATCCAATACAATGTGTTATAACTGTATTGTTAGATGAAGAAACATCAGTTATCTATATGTTCTTTACTCATAGAATCCTGTGCTTTTTGTGCAGGCGGACACCATGAACTATGTGGGGCAGCTGGCGGGGCAGGTGCTGGTCACCATCAAAGAGCTGTACAAGGGCATAAACCAGGCCACTCTGTCGGGGTGCATCGACGTGATCGTGGTGCGACAGCCGGACGGGACCTTCCAGTGCTCCCCCTTTCACGTCCGCTTCGGAAAACTGGGAGTCCTGCGCTCCAAGGAGAAAGTGGTCAGTCAGTGGTCAATACAAAAATCACCTGTATTCATACTATTTAGGATGTAATATAGTTCTTTGGACAGAGTGTCACAGTTGTAGGAGGGGTTAGGCAGTATAAGTAAGTATCCATCTGAATTCATGTTGCTACTTTCACAGACCAGAGTCACAAAGCGCTTTACAGTGTCTTGACTTCAGCCTAAACCCCTTTTGGTCCGGCATCTTGTAGCACTTAAATTCTTTCTATTATTGTGCCCTAACTAAGATCTAAAAGTTCATAATGACTAAAGAAAATAAACTTCAAATACTTCTACTTTTTGGAATATAATATACGTTTTAGTTTGGATTATTGATTAGTTGACCAATTAGTTGTTGATAACAGATTAAATGTTTGGATGTTAAGAAAGGTCAGTGAGTACATTTGACAACAAAAAAACGTCACGTTGCCCCTGGAGACTTAGTCCAACAAGCTTCATTTGGTCTTCTGATACATTCTATTCTCATATGGACAATATCTTATTTTATTTCCGGATCAAAGAGGCAAAAGAGTTTGAGTTTGTGCTGCAGACACTAACAGGAAGTTCTCATCGCGCAGGAAGTAGTCTGTGGTTCTTTACGTTTGGTAAATAGAGAGAATTACAGTTGTTCATGTCATTGTGGTTGAAGCGTCTTGTACACAGCAGAAGGTGATGCAAAATAAGTAAAACAATGCTTAAATTTAGCAAAATATATCGCAGTCTGAGCACATTTTGACTGCCTTAAACTAGATTTACCAATGGGATTATGAGAAAAAGGATCTTGTTTTAAAAAGATATACAAAATGTCTCCTTTGGAATGAGAAAATGAAGCTAAATGTCTTGAAAAAAAACGAAATGGCTTTGTCTCAATGGCAAATCTTGTTTTAAGTCAAAATGACCTCATGAAGTCATATTGACCTCATGAAGTCATATTTCATCATTTTTTGCAGTGTAGACAAATATTCTAAACTTTTTACATAGCTCACTCCCATTGGTCTTTCCAAGTAGAGCTCATAACAGGTGTAATCTCATCTTTTGCCAACTCCTGCACCATGATCTGATTCACAGCTTATGCAGACTCAGCGTTTTACTTAATAATTAGCGTTGATGAATGAAACCAAAGAAATCACGTGCTGACTTTGCAGATTGACATAGAAATAAATGGCGAACCCGTGGAGCTTCAGATGAAACTGGGAGACAACGGAGAGGCCTTCTTTGTTCAAGAGACAGAGCAGCAGGATGTAGGTTCACACAAACACACAACGACAAACCCATGAACCCTGCAGCTAATGTTCATATCATGTGTTCTCACTGGAGGAGGTAGTCCCGGCCCACCTGGTGACGTCCCCCATCCCCACAGAGGAGCACCGGTGTGGGGGCCTGGGAGCCGAGGGCAGTGGGCCTCCGGGAGAAGCATCCTTTGAGAACCCCGTCCCTCCCGCGGGCAAGAAGAAGAAGAGGCGCAAGAGGAAGCACAAGGCCGAGCCCCGCAAAGAGGAGAGCGGTCCGGCTGCGGAGCTGGAGCCCGGAGACCTCAGCTCGGACGAGGACCGCACCTCCCACAGCGGATGGTAACAACACTCACTATTTATCTGTACCTGTTCTGTCTTTGTGACGTATGGTTTGTGTCATGGTCTACGCTGAAAAAAATGAATATTTTTAATTTTTTGTACATATTTTCTCATTCCAAGGGAGACATTTCTTGTATCTTTTTAAAACAAGATAATTTTGCTTTGTCCCTTTGGCAAATCCTGTTTTAAGGCAGTCAGAAGGCACTCAAATTAGGATAGATTTTTACCAATTTTGAGATGTTGTTTTAACTTTTTGTTTTCATCACTTTTTGCAGTGCAGGTTAATTTCTTATTTTTTCATTATTTACCCCTGGATCTTTCTTAGTTTAACTTCCTGTTGTCTGATTACCTGTCTTGACCTCATGTGTTCCAAAAGTGTCGTGTTAGTTTGTGTACTTTTGTATTCAAACCCTGTGTAATCTTTCTGTTCTGCCATTGTCTTGATTTTTGTATTTTGACCTTGGATTTGTCTTTGTTATTGCTTTTAATTTAAATCACTTATTTCTGCAGGGTTATTTCTGGGTTTTCATTTTGCCACCTTGACAATTTGTGATTTTCTCATTTTCAGCACGTCTTCGCTGACAGTGGTGAAGGACAGTGTGGAGCACAGGACGCACACGCCGCTCACTGGGCTGGAATGGGACTGCTACCCCTTCTCTGACGGAGACTGGGCGCCCTGCTTGGAGTAACTCACAAGCACTTTTTATAAACAGAATAAGAGTCACAACTTTATTCAATTCACTCAAAAAAACTGTATAATATTCCTTAACAGCAAATAAAAAGAGAATACAGAGCTAAAGCTAAAGACAAACCGCTCCAATCTATTTGATTTTGTAAGAACAAGTTCAAATATATAGATACATATTGGACTAGTCCCCAATTAGATGTTTATTTATTTTTTTTAAAGCTGTTTAATTACGGACATATACACTACTGTTCAAAAGTTTGGGGTCACATTGAAATGTCCTTATTTTTGAAGGAAAAGCTGTAGATAACTTTAAACTAGTCTGAACTGTAAAGAAATACACTCTATACATTGCTTATGTGGTAAAGGACTATTCTAGCTGCAAATGTCTGGTTTTTGGTGCAATGTTGTAATTGCTGCAAATGGAGGATTCTTTGACAAAAGCAAAGTTGGATGTAAAACAAATCTTATTTCTAACCTCGTCAATGTGTTGTCTCTATTTTCTATTCATTTCACAACGTATGGTGGTGAATAAGTGTGACTTTTCATGGAAAACACTTGGGTGACCCCAAACTTTTGAACGGTAGTGTAGATGATTTCATTTGGAGTAAACAGTAGAAATACTTGAACATAGTTTAACAAGTTTAGTATTTATTGCAAAAATCCACACATTAAAGTACAATTTCCCAATATCTTCTGGATGTGAAAAACATCCAGAAGATGCTTGATGCTAATGCTAATCCACTAGGTATAAATGACATGTTTAGAGGTTATTGATTGACTGCGGAACCTTCCGCAGTCAACCATTGGTTTTGTATTTCTTTATTCCGTCATTTTTTTTGACACGTTTCACAGCTTTCACATTTTCAACAATTTCCACAAGTTATACATCAAAACGTTCCACATGTTTGGGAGATTATTGCTATTACTTTTGGGACTTCAGCGATTTCCGGTTTTTCCGCAATCGGACAAAAATCTGCATTGAGAATTCTGCAATGCATTTTAATAGGCCCATGCATTTTAATAGGACTTCAGCTCTTTCAGACATTTCTACAGTTTCAATGATTCAACAGTTTCAAGGATTCAACAGTTTCAAGGATTTCAGCAGTTTCAAGATTTCAAGAGTTTCAAGGACTTCAACAGTTTCAAGGACTTCAGCAGTTTCAAGGACTTCAGCAGTTTCAAGGACTTCAGCAGTTTCAAGGACTTCAGTGTAATCATGCAACCTAATAGGGATTTTTCCATGTAAACCAGTATAATGCAACTTAATAGGGATTTTTCCATGTAAACCAGTATAATGCAACTTAATAGGGTTTTTTCATGTAAACCAGTATAATGCAACTTAATGGGGTTTTTTTCATGTAAACCAGTATAATGCAACTTAATGGGGATTTTTCCATGTAAACCAGTATAATGCAACTTAATAGGGTTTTTTCATGTAAACCAGTATAATGCAACTTAATAGGGTTTTTTCCATGTAAACCAGTATAATGCAACTTAATAGGGTTTTTTCCATGTAAACCAGTATAATGCAACTTAATAGGGATTTTTCCATGTAAACCAGTATAATGCAACTTAATGGGGATTTTTCCATGTAAACCAGTATAATGCAACTTAATAGGGATTTTTCCATGTAAACCAGTATAATGCAACTTAATAGGGATTTTTCCATGTAAACCAGTATAATGCAACTTAATAGGGATTTTTCCATGTAAACCAGTATAATGCAACTTAATAGGGATTTTTCATGTAAACCAGTATAATGCAACTTAATAGGGTTTTTTTCATGTAAACCAGTATAATGCAACTTAATAGGGTTTTTTCCATGTAAACCAGTATAATGCAACTTAATAGGGGTTTTTTACATGTAAACCAGTATAATGGAACTTAATAGGGGTTTTTACATGTAAACCAGTATAATGCAACTTAATAGGGGTTTTTACATGTAAACCAGTATAATGCAACTTAATAGGGGTTTTTACATGTAAACCAGTATAATGCAACTTAATAGGGATTTTTACCATGTAAACCAGTATAATGCAACTTAATAGGGATTTTTACATGTAAACCAGTATAATGCAACTTAATAGGGATTTTTACATGTAAACCAGTATAATGCAACTTAATAGGGTTTTTTACATGTAAACCAGTATAATGCAACTTAATGGGGATTTTTCCATGTAAACCAGTATAATGCAACTTAATAGGGGTTTTTACATGTAAACCAGTATAAAGGATAACAGTTTAAAGGATATCAAGAGCTTCAAATACTTCAGGAGTTTCAAAGATGTTTAAAGTATTTTAACAGTTTCAAGGATTTCAAGGATTTTTCAGCTAAATTCCACATTAGATCTGTTCCGCAGTCAATCGCAATGGCTTCAGCCATTGCAAGTTTCTAGTTATATATTGATGGTGGGAATAGGCTATTTTTAATGAGAAAGAGGAAAACATCAACACCTAGACACCTAGAAACTATACCATACAACTGATCAAATGCACATTGTACCTTGTCACAAATACATTGAACATAGTTAGTTTTAGTGTTTATTAACTTTTGTGATGTCACGTGCTGTATCAAAAACCCATCCATATGTGTTAAGTTACATTGTGACCTAATCAATGCAGTTTTGAGTAATTCTGTGTTTCTGGCATTTGAGGATTTGAGCAGAAGAAGTCATTGACCTAGTGTGTTTTCCTGTGTTTCCAGGCGGGACATGTTGGACCCGAACCCAAAGAGCGACTCGGAGCTCTTGGTGAAGCCCACAGAAAACCTGCTCCGAGCCGACGCACACATGCAGTGGACCTGGGGCGAGTTTCCAGAGTTCACCAGGGTAGATTTTTTACAAAGACCAGTACATTTATGTGTGAAAAGCTGATTCTGATTGAGTTTTCTTTGCAGAATAAGAAAGAGGACACGTCTGAGCTCAAGCCGCTGACATTGACTCCCTCAGAAAATACACATTTCAGAGTGATCCTGAGCTCGGAGGCCATGGAGGAGGAGACGAGGGGAGCACACGTGTGCAAGATCGTGAAGCCAGAACCTCGGATCATTAAACCAGACCAGCTGCACAATGCTTCATCTCAGTCCGAGCCTTTCTACAGGACACCAAAAAGCTTGAGTTCAGAAGACTTTGATAGCCAGAATAAAACAGTACGCAAGACTCGCTGGACGTCCTCCCCACCCAGCCGCAAGAACAGTGACTGCATCATGGCTGTTACTGGGGACTGTCCTGGTCCCATTAGGCCTGACACAAAATCCTCCCCCACAGACTCGCCAGTAAAGCACAAAGGTACCATAAGACAAACATGTGACACTTTCATTATTCATCTATTTAGAGGACGCAAAAGGAAGGATGTGGTTAGAGCCGTCTGCCGGAGAAAAACTCACTTCTCTTTTTGTTTGTTTCCGGTCTTTGGCTTCACTTAGGTGTGAGAAAACGCAGTCAGCATCAGGGACCAGAAGACATTTATCTGGACGATTTGAGTAAACTTGATCCTGATGTTCTGGCCCTTTACTTTCCCAAAAGGTATAAACTGTGGTGACCAGTGGCCATAGTGAGTTAGATCGGTGCCAGTGTGATGTGGAGGTGACCTGTGCTGTGTTGCAGTGAGTCGGAGCAGGTGCCTAAGCACTGGGAGGCGGGCAGGAGCTCCGGGGGTCAGTCCCCACAGTCTGTGGGCAGTGCAGCTGCAGACAGTGGCACTGAATGTCTGTCTGATTCAGCTGGAGACCTGCCTGATGTCACCCTGTCCCTCTGCGGGGGCATTGGGGAGAACTCAGAGATTTCCAAAGGTAAACAGACATAGTACATATTATAAAAGATGTTGCAAACGATCCGTAACACATTATTACTTTCAGAGAAGTTCGTTGAACACATAATCACCTACAATGAGTTTGCAGAGAACCCAGCGATTATTGACAATCCAAATCTGGTTGTAAAGATTGCAAACAGGTGAATGTTTTTGTGTTTTATTATGTTTTATGAAACCTTTTAACAAAACATTGTTATAGATACTACAACTGGACCCTGGCAGCCCCTTTGATCCTCAGTATGCAAGCCTTCCAGAAGAACCTTCCAAAGGTTTCACCATCACATTTGTTTCACAATGTATATTGTGTATTTTGTGTTTATGATTTTGTGTTATTGAAGGCTACAGAGGAGGCATGGGTGAAAGAGAAAATGCCTAAAAAGTCTGGGCGCTGGTGGTTCTGGAGAAAGACTAGTGTGAAACAGGTGAGATATTCATTACAAGTCAAAGCCAACTTAATAGAACATTAGAAAAATAATTGTTCTTTGTTATTAGATGTTGGCAGAACCCAAATTAGAGACACAAGAGTCGCTGACCAGTGAGAGCCTGGCCCTTCAACAGGCCCCACAAACACAGTGAGTCAGCAAACACCTCACTCCACAACAGCACAGTTGGCAGAACCACAGCCTGGATTAACCGTCAAACTTCTGTCGTCTTAGATTTAAGCTCCTGATTTCACATGATACAGAGACATTCTGCTTATTGTCAAATGTTCAGGCTCTTCATATCTACATCCTAACAAAGTGTTCTGAAAAATGAACTATTCTAAATAGGAGTGTGTCGCCCTCTAGTGGGCACTACGCTGTACAGATAACTGCACTTTGGTCCTGACTCCTCCAGGTCGAAGGCGACAGGATGGTCCAGTGATGATGAGTCCAATGAACCCACTGCGGCTCCGGCTGGGACTGCAGAGCGTGCTCAGAGTCAGTCTGCGCCGTCGGCCTCCAGTCCTTCTTATAAGAAGTCCCTCCGTCTGTCCTCTGAACAAATAGTAAACTCAACTATAACATCACGTTATAATAATGAAAATGGAGTATTAAAAAAGCAAAATGTGGTCTGTACAGAGTCGCCTGAAGCTGCGGGACGGTCCTAATGACGTCACGTTCAGTATAACCACACAGTACCAGGGAACGTGTCGCTGCGAAGGCACCATTTACCTCTGGAACTGGGACGACAAGGTCATCATCTCAGACATCGACGGCACAATCACAAAGTAACAACCGTCATTACATGAAACAAATGGGATGTAGAGTTGATTTTTTTTTTTTTTTTTTTGACTGTGTGGCTCCTTTTGCTTAGATCAGATGTGTTTGGACACATCCTCCCGCACCTGGGGAAGGACTGGACTCATCAGGGCATTGCAAAACTCTACCATTCTGTGCATGAGTAAGAATGTTCCATAATGTTGTCTGGATCCATAAACTGGAAAGTTGTGAATGAATGAATGTCTCCCCTCTAAAGGAATGGTTATAAGTTCTTGTACTGCTCAGCGCGGGCCATCGGCATGGCGGACATGACACGAGGGTATTTACACTGGGTGAACGACAGAGGGACCCTCCTGCCTCAAGGGCCTCTCATGCTCTCTCCAAGCAGCCTCTTCTCAGCCTTCCACAGGTACAGCCTGTCACTGTACAAAGTCCATCATTTAAAAGTCTTTAAAGAGCACAAGTGGAAATAAACATAACACTTTTATATTTTTTTATTTATAGAGAAGTCATTGAAAAAAAGCCCGAAAAGTTCAAAATTGAATGTCTGACAGACATTAAAAACCTGTTCCATCCAAACACTCAGCCTTTCCATTCAGCTTTTGGAAACAGAGACAATGTAAGAGTTTGTTCTTTATAAACATAAATACTACAGTGTTATCTGAAGAGAAATGTGTTTCACTCTGTCTGAAGGATGTATTCGCCTACAAGAAAGTGGGTGTTCCCGTCAGTCGGATATTTACAGTGAACCCTAAAGGGGAGTTGATTCTTGAGCTGGCCAAAGGCAATAAAACATCGTAAGTATCAAACCACTAAGCACCTTCCAGCAGTTGTTCTGACAAAAGCTCATTGTTAAATGTTTCTAAATCAGTTACAGCCGCCTCAGCGAGCTGGTGGAGCATGTGTTTCCTCTAAGAAACACACAACACAACGCCACCTTCTGCTGCCCAGAGTTCAGCTCCTTCTGCTTCTGGAGGCAGCCCATTCCTCAGCTGTGTCTGGAGGAGCTCGGCTGAACACTGACCATGCTCCTCTCACCGCACTGCTCTGTCTGCTCTGACTGCTCTGTCTGCTCTGACTGCTCCGTCTGCTCTGTCTGCTCTGTCTGCTCCGACTGCGCTCTGTCTGCTCCGACTGCGCTCTGACTGCTCCGTCTGCTCTGTCTGCTCTGTCTGCTCCGACTGCTCTGTCTGCTCTGTCTGCTCCGACTGCGCTCTGACTGCTCCGTCTGCTCTGTCTGCTCTGTCTGCTCTGACTGCTCTGTCTGCTCTGACTGCTCTGTCTGCTCTGACTGCTCTGACTGCTCCGTCTGCTCTGTCTGCTCTGACTGCTCTGACTGCTCTGTCTGCTCCGACTGCTCCGTCTGCTCCGTGTGCTCCGTCTGCTCCGTCTGCTCCGTCTGCTCCGTCTGCTCCGTCTGCTCCGTCTGCTCCGTCTGCTCTGTCTGCTCTGACTGCTCTGTCTGCTCTGTCTGCGCTCTGACTGCTCTGACTGCTCTGTCTGCTCTGTCTGCTCTGTCTGCTCTGACTGCTCCGACTGCTCTGACTGCTCTGTCTGCTCTGTCTGCTCTGTCTGCTCTGTCTGCTCTGACTGCTCTGTCTGCTCCGACCTCTCGCTTTGTCCTGTTTAAACTCATAACTTCAGTGTTGGAGGTTTACACCACAGAAGCAGACTTTATACAACGCTTGAACCACGCACCAAGAGGAAATGGTGTTTGCATTAAATCTCAATATCTTATATCAAACAATGTTCTGCATTTGGACGTTAGAAGCTGAATCACCCTGATGACGCTGCTGCGGTGAAGAAAGAACTGTTTACTCTGATACAGAGACGCTGCTATGATATTATTACTCTGCTGCTGTGATACTATTACTCTGCTGCTATGATATTGTTTCTCTGCTGCTGTGATACTAACTACTGTAGTTTTATGTTTCAGACTTGAGCAGTGAAACGATGTGATTGACTTTGCTTCATCATTTGCTATTTTCAACTTATTAGTACAAAATATATTCTTTCTATGAAAGCACAACTTTATGTGAACTGCTCACATAGTTTAATATATTGAAAGTATTTTTCAATTGATAAAATGCATCCATTATTTTCATTTGTCATAGAAATGTTGTAAGAGCTGCTTCTACTTTTGATAAAGTGACTGAAATTTCAGAATGTTTGTAAAAGTGACTTATTTTCAGGCTGGTAAACAATAAGTGCATTTACAGAGAGCTGGCTTTAGTGTTGGTCAGAGATATACAAATAAATATGAGGACTTCCCTGCAGTAGATTACATTTAAGAAACGCATTACTTTACTTTCTTGTGATTAGAAAACAATTTCTAAGAAAGTACTTATTAGAAATGAGTTCCTTGCAAATCTATCTCACACAGTCACAAACAAACAATGGTGAACAACATAAGAGCATCCGAATGCAAACAGTCGTGTGACATGTTTAACTTCATAGCAATAGAATTCTCTGTTTCTCACAAGACGACGAACCTTCCATACAATCATATTTCAGTAAATAACTACCGCTGGACTGGAGTTGAATACAGCAGCACAGCACTAAACGTGGACAGGACCTCAGACGAGGCTGAAATGGCCAGTCTCCCAGCGGTCAGCACGAGTCCCACTCGGTCTCCTTGTTTCAGAGGCAGGACCAGGCTGAGCGAGGCCACGCTGCTGCAGTTACACTGTCCCTGCAGCTCCGGGCCTCCAGAGAACCCAGAGGAGTCCAGTTTCTGAACACTGTGGTTGGACACAGACACCACAGCCTCCACTCTGTGGCCTCTCTGAGGAGCAAGCACCGCACTCAGCAGGTACCGGCCGCCCACAGGAGCCGTGAAGACGCCTGCGAGGGACAAGGGCAATACATGAGTCTAAAGTCACAGGAGACAGAGTAACGTGTGGGTAATAGTCACCTGTGTGAGGGTCATAGCTTCCTCCATCATTCACCAACACTTTGTTAAACCGGATTATTCCAATGTCTCCCACAAAAGGTGTGAGAGTTAATCCAACAGAGAAGGCCATCTTCTCTTCAGCTAAAAACAAAGAACACAGTGAGGGCTGCAAAGGGGATTTTAGGATGAAGTTTAGTCATAAGTAGGTCCCTTTAAATGTGACTTTAAAGACAAAACTGGAATAATCCATATAATCATTGAGGCGAGAGGTCAGGACTAAATAACTGTATTTTACTTGGTTACATTTAAAGACCCCTTTTAAGATGTATAACACAAAATCCAATGAACCATTTTATTATCTTATTATTTTAATTCTATTGTCATTATCTTAGACTCTGTTTGATGTGTGCAATCTGAGTGCTCTATTTCCTTCTTTCCCCACTGAGGGACGAATAAAGGAATATATCTTATCCAATGTATAATTAAAGCTATACCTGAAACCAGAGGCAGATCTCTTTGATTGTCTGGGGAGGCTAGAACATGAAGAATGTTAGACAATTACAGAGAAGTGAGTGGATACAGTCTGGAGGTGTTGTACCTGGAGCTCCGGCGTAGCCTTGGACTGGAGCCATGCTGCCATCAGCACCTGCAGGTAACTGTGACACGCTCATGCGACCGGGAGGGCCAGCTTCACCCGTCTCCATCACTGTCATTTGAGGCACAGAGTTGTCATCTGTAGGTCCAGTTGGAGGAGGCCTTGCAGCATGGGCAGCTGTGGTCAGAGGACAGACGTGAGGGGAGAGCTTAAAACTGCAATCAAGCAAATCTGACTCATAGTTCCACTGTCCCTCTACATTATAAGCTCTTTGACAATGTGCTCCTTGAGTGAACAAACACACCTGCAGCTGTGCTTATTGCTGCTACATCACTATCACCAACAGTTTTGACATCAAAACAGTGGGCAGCTAAGGAGCCTATCATTACATAGGAGAAAATAACAGTTCCTCCTATGACCAATCAAATAGTGATGATCCCTTAACTACATGTGCCACTACATTGCCAGGAATTACGGCTGAGAAAAAGCTTGGAATTTATCAACAAATCTATCTCAATGGCTCAGGGTCTCCACAACTTCCCCTCTGGGACAGAGAGCCTCTTAAAGGCATTCCAGAATGCCAAGGCATGGCCACCTGCAAAATGTTCTACGTGTGCCTCCGCAAAAGCCTGAACTCAGCATACGGGCGAGGGGGCTGGGCGCCTGTAAAAGCAGAGGGGACAGGTCTGCTCGAAGCACACGTGTACGAGCCTGGTCTGTCTTTGATTTATCAAATAACATGGAGCGGTCTATAGGAGGTGATTCTAAAGTAACAAGATGGAAGTCTGAAAACACATGTGTTTATGGAGATGTGCTGCATTCAAAACAGGCACAAGATTTGGAAGATCCAGCAGCTGCAGCTGGTTACCAGTGTCACTGCTGTACACAGAGCTGTGGGACACGCTCCACATTACAGAGGACTTCCATTTGGCCATGAGTCATGCTTGTGAAACAGAGAAGGGTTCTTTCTATTAGAGATGTAACCACAAAACACATGACTAATCAACCATTATTTCAAACAAAGAATTGGATGGTTTATATTTCCATTTGGATTCTTAGCAACAAACTTTACCCACTTTGCCTCTGAGGAGTTAGTAATTGTTGGATTTTGGAAAAGAAAAGACAATAAATGGCAGGCAAGTCTCTGCCTGTGGTTATCTTGACTTTAAGCAGCCCCAGGGCAGTTGCACCTACAGAACCACCTCACAGAATTCAATCACAAGTTCTTCATTTAAAGTTTTAATCCAAATGATGATCAGCAACATGTGTGTGTTCCCATGCTCAGGGAAAGTGTCATAGTAAAAATGTCACTAGGGCGTCAAACCATGACTCAAAATGAATATGTAACCCATAAATCAACATCCAGATTAAACCAGAACTCTCACTCAGAGGCAAATTTGACAATAACTTCATCCAAAACCAATATGTTTAAACTATGTGCAGTGCCTTTAACAGGAGCATGTGGGTAAACGATCAACATAACCAAATAATGTATAACACACATATATCTGCTGATATATATCTGTTTAATCTGCTTGTTGATTTATGGGTTACATATTCATATATATATATATATGAAAGGTAATGGAAGGTAACTTTGTCACTGCTGGGAATCCAACTTGTGTGTATCCTTTTCCTTGCCCTGCTCCCTTGAGTTTAACTACTGACATCACAGGAAACACGATGACAAATGGCCCGTGAGCTTTACGTGTTTTTGGTGTGTGTTTGGAAAAACAGCTCAACCAAGAGAACTCGAATTTAAGTGCGATAAACAGAGAGAGAAGAGCGCTTACGAGCAGTAGCGCTGATATAAACAAAGCTGTTGGCTCTAAAATAGGAGATACAGAGAGTGCAGCAGTGATAAGGCAACTTCTCTTGTCTCTGTAATGGATTAGATTTTCCAGTGCCTTCTGATAAGCGTTCCGGACAGGGGAACCATTAAAACATCCACTGAGAATCTACGACCAATGCCAAATATTGTGCCAAAGTATTTGTCCATATGCTCCCTCGCCTGGCCCTTAATGAGCAACAAAAGACAAGGCATTCTGACAAGAGAGAGCCCAGCTGTAAACATGAGGGCGTTCACTTTCACAACCCGGAAAAGTCTCAGTGGCATCATTTCGGACGAGAATTATGGCCCAGAATGCAGCCCGTCCTGTATCAGTTGTATATGTCGTGCTGTAAGAGAACTTTTAGCTCCCATATGATGTCCAAAAGAACACGTGCGAGAGCCGAACTCGTCCTGTTGGTGCCAGAATGACTAACATTTCTCAGGGCCAAATCGTTGCTCAATGGGTTTTTGAAGCATATGTCTTCAATCTTCTTCGACACAGTGTAGACACATGGGTGAATCGAAAGCATTCACTCTACAAACATGACATCAAGAGGAATTTGTAATGTAATAGATGGATTATATGATGATTATGTTCTATACAAGCCTGTTGTTACATACACCAGATTTAGCATCAAGGACTTTCATTATCAAGAACTATAGATTGACCTTAATAAATTCAAATTAAAGACCAATATGCAGGGTTTGTACAGTATCTATGAGAAATAAAGTTTTTAATACCATTTTCTATTGGAAAACTACTCAAGTTTAAAAAGTCCATTGTTTATTTTCTTTAGTCCCATCACCCCAAATCGAGAAATAACAAACCGTGAAGTCACACTTAAAAGCCGTATTTTTCAGAATTATAGCAGATCTTTTTTGCCAGAATCTATTTCAGACATCAATTGATTATCTGTCTGGCAAATTTAATATCCACAAATATTTTGACAAACCCTGCATAAGGTATTTAATCTTAAAGCTGCATTACTTTATTTTTGTATTCATTACAAAAATTCAATCCATATTGAATATACATCTTTTGAAGAAAAAGTAGCGCAGATTTGTGCTGGCTTGTCATTTTATTTTAGATCGAGTTTTTGTGGAAGAGAATTTGTTTCGGGACCAGATTGTGACCAATCACAGCGGACCACTGGCCCCCGCTTTCTTGAGAAAAGCTCCAGGTCTGTGGTTAGCACAGACGGCTGAGGTGAACAAGCGGCGGAGGCGCACCTGAAACTTCTCGTGTCTTTGTTACCGGTTACTGCTTACTCAGAGAAACGCCAAAAGAAAGTCTCGTTCCTCCGCGCTTCCCGGTTCTATCATTCTATGGTCACGCCACGTTCAAATGTGCGATCCATATTGTGAGACGTTAGCTCCGTAAACAGCACATGTGTGACTGAGGGGGAGGGGGGTAGAGGGGGGCGATAGCTCGGTGAGTGCGGCGAGCAGAAAGAGCGAGGCCAGCGCTCACATTCGAAAATTTCACAAAGTCAGTTAGTGCAGCTTTAAGCCTAAACTTAAATGATTCTTACCTGTGTCTTTGGGAGCCGAGGGAGACAATAAGTGCAGGTCTTTGGTGACTTGGGACAGATGGGACTGCAGACTCTGACCGGTTTCTCTGAGCTGGCCTAAGTCTTTACCCTGAGACCTCACAGTCCCGTTGAGCTGGTTCACACAGGTCCACAGACTGGCCACGTGTTTACTCAGGCCGTCTTTGACCCGTTGGAGGCTGTTAGAGATGGGCTCCAGCTTACTGCATAAACTTTCCACGTCCACAGTGCGGCCGTGCAGGTCGACCAGCTCCTTCCCAACTTCCATAGCTTTTTCTTTGCAATCTGATATTTCATTTTTGACCGATCTGAGGTCCTGGGTGAGACTTTCAAAGCTCATGTTGTTGTGCAGAACAGACTTTTCCACATCTCCAAGTTTGTGATGCTGCAGGTGTATTGTTGTTTTGAGTGCGTCCAGGTCTTGTTGACAGTTTTGATGCATCTCGTGTATGGCTGTTATTTTGGTTTCAGCTTTCTTGAGACTATTCTGTATGTCCTGGATAGTGTTTCCAGTGACATTTGAGACTTTGTCCAGAGCAATGACATGAGGTTGTGTTCTTGTATCATCCAAAAGAGAGCCCAGCCTGTCTTGCATCAATAACAACTTTGCCTCCATGTTTTTCTGGAGATCTTCAAGAGCCTTGGAGTGTTTTCCACTAAACTCTTCTGCTAAAGCAACACATCGACCTGACAAATTGTGCTCAGATAGATTCAGACATCGTTCTATGTTTTCCACTCGACCCAAAACTGGAGCAGAACTCTCAGATTGCCCTCGTCCTTCTCTTTCCAGCTTTGATTTCAGCTCTTCGATGTCTTCGCGGAGGTCAGATTCTTTCGATTCCATAAGTTCTGTGAGACTGGAGTAGTGGGATTCCTGGCTCTCGCAAAGTTCCTGGACAGACATCATTTTGTATTCACATGAGTTTTTCAAATCCGCCATTTTAATGTCAATGCCTTCCATCAGCTCCTCCCTCAGAACACGGATCTTTTGGTCCACGTAGGGGCGCAGGTCGTGTCCAGGGGCGGGTGTAGCTGGAGACTTCTCTGCTGCTTCCATTAGCAGGTGGATCTGTCCATCGTGGCGGTTGACCCAATCCAAGAGGTCTTTCAGAGTGTTGGTGTTGGACTCCAGGTCTCCGGTGACCTGACTAATCCTGTTCATCACGTCTGTTTGCTGCGTCTCCGGCTCGAAGGAGAAGTCCTGCAGTTGCACGGTCTGTGTATCTCCCCCACGAGCACTGGCTGGTTGTCTGAGGTCATTCATCAAGGACACTAGCATTTTACTGGCGTCCTCCTGGAAGTCCACTCTCAAGCTGGAGGCCATGTCCGTCATCCTGGCTTGCATGTCCAGGACCATCTGCGAGAGATGCTGCACCTCTTGTTCCAAGTGACGGGGACTTGGAGATCCAGTTCGACCAGATGTTTGCCTGTGACCCGCGTGGCCTGGAAACAATCCGTCTCCTGCCCATGGATGGTCCGTGTTCATCACTGAACCTAGAAGAAAGAGGATAGTTAATACTTTGCTCTTGGTTTATTAGGTTGCGTTCATGACATCACAACGTTCAAAATAGCATATAGTTTATACAGAGGTGTCAAACCAGTCATTAAAGGCGCGGTGTGGCTGCAGGTTTTAAATCCAACCAAGCGGGAGCACACCAGACTCCACCCATTTCCTCAAGTGATCCCAGCCTCCGGTTTGTAGCTTTGGGCTAATTTGTGGAACCAGTTCGACATCCCTGGTTTACAAATATGGTGTAAGAAGCTTCTTGTAACCATGAGTCTCAAGTTGTCTCTGTATTTCCTGGGCTATTCTGTATGAAATTAAAAACTGTGGCATTTTCTTTGTTGCAGGTATCAAGTATGGGCTAATTATTTTCTCATGAAGATTACAATAATCAAAAACGTATGAATAATGTGGCGGAATAGTTATTTAACTTGGGAACACAATTTGGCATTTTCTTTATCAACATTTCTTTCAAAAAATGCTTCTCTTCCAACTGAAATGGAAATTAAATAAATTCAACTTATTTTTGTATTGCCCTAAATCACAACAGTAGTCGTTTTTGGAGCACTTTGTGGATGACCACTGTTAATAAATGTCCTTAAATGTCCTGGATCATCACCGCTACATGAATGCTACCACTCTCTCCTCACAGTCAGGGACTTGCCTGGCGACAGTGGGACGTGTCCTGGAGACGCTGAGTGGTCTGTGGGCAGCAGGTTCATGTCTTTGACCTCTTTACAGTCATATCCCTGGTACCCGGGGCAACACCTCCACTCCAGCTCCGACACGATCCTGTAGTCGATCTTGTACATGGGCCGGAAGTGTGTCCGATATCTGTCCAAAGAAACCAAAACATGCTGATGAGGCCACTTCAAAAGAGTGTTAATGGTTAAGTAAAAGCTGTGCCTAACAAAGCAGATACTTTTATTGTATATGTTGTGTGCTCTCACTGCTGTCCTGTATGTGTGCTGCAACATTGAAATTTCCCCACTGTGGGACGAATAAAGGATTTCTTAACTTCACTTCACTTTTAACCCACAAAAAGAGAACGATTTTCTGGCTCTAAAACAGTTTGGTTCGATCCTTTGATATCATGTATTTTTATCCTCTATCCACATCTTTGGATCAACTTTTTCAGAAGGAAAAGTGAAGAAGAGAGGACCACTCTCTCTCGGCCAATCAGCTCTCACCCCACACCTGTTAAATTTGTGACTAAAATGAAAGGAAAACATTTTGTTGTTACTTTAATTTGTCAAACATTTTTACCTTTACTCTTAATGTCAACTTTAATGTTATCATTTTTAAGATTCAGATTTTGGGATTAAACTATTATTCATGAAACAGAGATGATTGGTATCTTTAAAATCCTTTCAAATAAATCTGTAATATCCACAAAGCAATAGATAAATGCTAAATGATTATTTCCTGTTATTAACTGGTTATTAAATGGAACAATTTAAAAGGTAAAACTGGCAATGAGAGAGGACAATGCAGCAGCAGTGAACTCTGAAAATTAAAGCTGGGTTACTGAACTTTGTTGTTTATTATTTGTTTTTTTCCAACAAAGTCTTGTCAAAGTAAAATGTGAACAAATCAGACCAAAATATACTGCCTTAATGTCTTACTATACTACAATACATGACACAATATGAGGTCATAATTGCTTGAATCGAGTTTTACCTTAATTTAAGTCAGTTCTGGTCTTAAAACAAAATTTTCCAATGAGACAAAGCGGTTTAGTCTCATTTCAGGAACTGTTGCTTTTATTTTTTATTATATCATTTGTCCCAAAGGAAAATCTAGTTTTAAGGCAGTCAAAATGTGCTCAAATTAATATACATTTTTTGACTCTTTTTCATCACTTTTTGCAGTGTACCAACTGTATCTTTGCTGTTACCCTAAGAACTATGGATCTTTAATAGTTTGTTTTATAGTGGCTTGAAAGTTACGTACCCCAGCTTTACTGACACATTACTGACAGGATGCACAGCGCTACATGTCTATAGTTTGGACAAAGGGTCACTCACACCACCTGCTGTACACAGCTGGGGGCCTCCAGGGGACACGGCACCAGCTCTGGTTGGACGAAGCTCTCCGTCCCGCCCGCAACCACGCTGCTCACGTTCCTCTGCGCCACATACGCGCACCAGTTTCTCCAAGACGCAGAATCACGCAAAGCACAGGTTATGGGTCTGAAAAGTGCTATAAAGACCACGCACAAGGGCCAGTAATACTCACTTATTTCTCTGATGCGCCTGAGAGCCAGAGGGGCCAGGATAGTTCTCCTGAAACATTTTGTATTGGAAGTGAGACGCGCTGATGGTGCGTAAAGCCGCCAGGAGGAACACAAGCGCGCTCCTCATTGTGTCGCTGAGTGGATGGACAGTGCGTGCAGCTGGAGTTATAAACCAGGCTGTAAAACTATTCCCCACCCCCTGTCTCTCCCTGCCTCCCCTCGTCTCCCCCCATCTCCCCCTACCTCATGAATATTAGGCCTGTGACAGGACGAGCAGAAATGAGAATCTAATGTAGTATTGATTAGGGGTGCAACGGTTTGAAAAAATCACGGTTCGGTTCGTACCTCGGTTCAGAGGCCACGGTTCGGTTCATTTTTCGGTTCATTTTTCTAAAAAAAAGTTTTGTCTTTTTAATAAACACAGCTCATGTGGACTCGGCACCTGCTCTGACTGCCCCCACCTGAGCTAGAAATGAATTAAGGGGAAGGAAATGGATGGATGGATGGAAGGCATATTCCATCCATCCAATTATGTCTATTTAACATAATTAATGAAAAACAACACAAAGTGCAACATAAGAAGGCACTTCTTACCCTCATATATTACACCACCTTCCTGATTCTCCCGAGGAGGGGGTCCATTCTGGGCCCAGTCCAGCCTCATTCACTGCATTTATTTAATTTTTGGCATTATCAGTTGTGACTGGGATATTAGTACTGGGCCTTTGTCTTCCATTCCTCCGCTGCTTGTGTCAGTACCTGCGCTGTGTGACAGTGTGACTGTCGTAGAGGGGGCGTGTCTGCAGCGCCAGACTTCTCATCTCCCAGTCTGCGGTGATGAACTGAGCGGTTCCGCTCATGGATCTATTATAGTTTCTGCGGTACGTCCAAGCGTCAGTCGTGAGCGCAGCTGAGGATGCGCGGGAGAGTTGACTTTAGCCCGGTCTGACTGTGCGTAAAGGAGCTGCTTAAATGCCGCGACAATAGGTGGTCGTTGAGACGCTTTTTTCACTCATGTCTTTCTTGTGCCACAGTGCTTACACATCGTGACAGTTTTGTCGAATATTAATCATCAGTGTAGTTACAGTGAAGCCAAAATGCTCTCATACTGGGGATTTAAGACGCAGGGCTTTCAAGCATCTCCGTTCCTCCGCTCGCAATGACCACGCTGTGTGTGGACTGAACAACGTGCGCACAACTTTTTTTTTCATAAATCAAACCGCGGATTACGTCTGTACCGAACCGAAGACGTTGAACCGAACGGATCACGGATCAGTGATGAACCGTTGCACCTCTAGTATTGATGTTTTATTTTTGTACTTTTTTAACCTTGTTTATTTATGTACTTGTCTTGTGCCGCACTGGGGACTTTTGCAAATGTATTTCAATGTGGTTTTACTGCAAATGGTGCAAATGGAAAGAGCTTAAATCCAACTGTTCGCACCGAGAGTCAAAGCAACTTCCTAGTTTGTGACTTCTTTAGATTCAGATTCATTTACCATTTGCAGTAAAACCCCATTGGCATACATCCACTAAAGCAGTGTTATTCAACCACTGTGCCGCGGCACACTAGTGTGCCGTATGATATTGTCTGGTGTGCCGTGAGAAATTCGTCTACTTTGTCTAAAAATAACTGCATTCGCTGTTGACGAGCGGTGACTTGTTTTGAACTGTGGAGTAACCATGTAATACTTTTTCAAATCAGTAGATGGCAGCAGATAGCTAAGTACTTTGAAACTGAAAAATTGGATGCGACCACTGGCTGTATCAGGTCAGCATTGTGGCGAGAAAGGTAAAATTGGATGCGACCAACAAATGTGGGAGGGAGCGAGACAAGAGCTTTGTGGCGAGTGAGAAGTGAAAGTGATAGAGACGTTTTTGAAAATGAATTATGCCGTTTCTGAACAGGATTAACATCCTCCGCTTTGCCCCGGGGCAGCTGTAGCCGCGTTGTAGTGGTTTAACTATGAAATGTACATTTTTTGTACAACAGCTCTCGCGAACGCACTTCTGAACTGGGTACCGAGCGCAGACCATAGTCCAGTGGACAGAACCATAGACATGCGGACCGGACAGAACCATGGACTCGCGTTCAGGACCTCCCTTATCCCTCATCCAAAACTCCTGAATTTAAAGCTCGGATACCTAAATTTTTCCCATGCACTAACAATGCATGTTCTTTGTGTGAGTTATTATTTGACTATTTGGGCAGAGAGTGGATTTTCTTAGTTTTTTTCCACACAGTTAGTGCCACTTTATTCCCAAACTCTTGTTAATTGTATCGAGAAATATTAAATAAAGCTTAATGTCAAGGCCTGGACTTAAGCATTTTGATGAGAATAACTGTATATTGTGAATATAGGCTACAGAGTATACTGTATACATTATAAGATAAGATATACTTTATATATCACACAGAGTATGTACAGTATATATTTTTTTACATTAGTACTGTATACATTTTCTCCTGGAGGTGTGCCGCAAGATTTGTTCAGTGAAAAAAGTGTACCTTGGCTCAAAAAAGGTTGAAAAACACTGCACTAAAGTCCCCAGTGTGCACAAGACAAGTATATAAATACAACTTCTTGTTTCTCACAAGGGAATGAAAATTATTCTGATAAGCAGAAGTATTAATCTGTAGTAATTATAAGTTATAAAACACTATATTGGAACTTATTATCTGTCCCAGGGCAGACTGACTGAAGTGAGGCTGCACACCTGCGCCAACAAGTAACAGGCCTCTCTGTTCAAAACGGTCATGCACACACACTCTCTCTCACACACTTTCATTTCGAAACATGTACGTGTGCATACTTTATATATAATCATACAAACAAAACCATCTTTCTATTCCATGTTCAAAAGGGAGAAGTAGGTCCTACCCCCCACACACACACTAGAGCAGTCGTCTCAAAGTAGTATTTGTCGCCCTCTAGTGGACATCAAGGTGTAACGTCAGTGTGGCCCCCATGGAGAGTCGAGCTCTAGCTAAGAAGCCCAGTTATAGATTTAGTGTTTACATTATCATAAACATTGCATACTTTACACTTACACAAAATGAAATAAACCCAACAACCACAGCTGTATCCCTGTTCTTCCACTAATTTATGATCCATTTTCCCAAACGTATTGACAAACTATCATTTGAGAGCAACATATTTAATGCTTTTTAAGTCGCAAACGCAACACATTCTTTTGACAAGTGCATGTTATTAATGAGTAGAAGAACATTTTTAAAATAAAGGCAACAAGGTGAAAAAATATAAAACTTTCATTAAAAAAAACGTCTTTTTTCTCAGGGTTCCACCTCCCACTTTGAGAACGACTTACACATACTATAAAAAAAACATCTGCACATATTAATATTACTCCGTCATGGCCCAAATTTTGTCCTTTTGGCAGCCGTGTCTGACATCTCACCACAGCCGTCCTCACATTCTCTTTTAGGCCTAAGCGGAGTGTCTGAAGAAAAAGGAAAAAAAATCTGAATTAGCCATGAGCAAATGTGTAATTGTGTTTCTGCTTTTCATTGCCTCTTTACCGATTTGTGTCTGAATCTCCTGCAGCTGTCGGGTCATACTCCCCAAAGACTCTCTAGACTCTCTCATCTTTGGGGTGATCTCAGCGATATCTTTTGCACACGAATCCTTCTTTCCAATAATCTCTTTGTACTTCTCGAGCAGGACTAAAATGAAAAGATTGAAACCACATTATATCGCATTTAATCACAGAAGAAGAAATAATTCAATGTGTGAAGTTGATTCTTTTGATAAGAATTTTTTTTAAAATAAGAAGCAGTACTAGCTTCTTTACACTTTTGTCTTATCAGAGCCACCTAAGCAAGAAATGATCCAAAAGATACCTATGATCTGCTGTATAGTGTGGAAGTGGTCAGGTAGGGGCGCCCCAAACATGTCCAACGTATGCGGGGGAGGGGCCCTGTTCTGTGCACCCCCAAACTTGCCCTTGCCGCTGATCCGCTCGCCTTGTCGGGTCAAGATGGTGGGACACATTACGTTGCATTTCACGGCCTGCAATAGACAGTCGAGCGTTGACCAAAGTATACAGATAAAATGGATTGGATTTGACTTTCAGAGAGGTGGCTTACGTTCTGTCTGTAGAGGCTTCCCGAGTCCAGGTCGTCAATCAAAATGACGTTTCCAAGGACGTTCCTAAACACTGCAGGAGAGATCATGTTTAGGCTTTTGTCTCATTTCATTTTACAAAAAGCTACAAATGTTAGTTACTTCTAAAACACAAGTTTACATATCTTTGAGTGAGTAGTAGTAGTAAAGTAGTAGTAATCTTTATTAATATACCGCCTTTTCACTGCAGATCTGAGTCTCAAAGCGGTTTACAATTGTTAATTTTGGGCATTTGTCCCTCACTCCACACAGAGATGGGAGCGGGGTTGCAGTACAGGAGGCGCATGCCAGAACTATTGGAAATATTTTTAGTGGTAGGGGAAACCGGAGTACCCGGAGGAAACCTACGCAGACACGGGGAGAACATGCAAACTCCACTCAGAAAGGCCCTGGTCTGACCGGGATTCGAACCCAGGACCTTCTTGCTGAGAGGCGAGAGTGCTATCCACTCAGCCACCGTATAAAAATAAATGATCATGGACACTCTCCTCTGTCCATGATGCTTTTAACTTTGTATTTTAACTGTTTTTAAAATGCACTTTTTTACTTGTATGTAAGGCATCCTTGAGCATCAAGCAAGGCGCCTAATGGCGCGTTCAGACCGGACTTAACTTTGGCGTCAAAAGCGTCAGGTTTGCATTGAAAGTGAATGGTGAAGCGCGTCAAGTTACGCAGAGGGGCCCGGCGTCACTTGACGCGCGTCAAAAGCTTCAAAAGTTGCGAGTAATACGCGCGACACTTGAAGCTTTTGACGCGCGAATCGCTCGCGTCTCTTTCCGCGTAAAAAAATCCCTTGACGCCGAAGCTGAGCAAAGACGCGTCACTCGCATCAAAAGCTTCAAGCACCAAAATGACAAAAATGACCCGGCGTCAGTTGACGCCCGTCAAAAGCTTTTTGAAGCTTTTGGTCTGAACGCACCATAAGAACTAAAATGTATTATTATTATCAATCCTACTCCTGTTCTTTTCACAAAATGTATTTGTGTTGTGCCTGCTGGATTTTGCTGCATTACAGTGAGAAAAATTTAGCATAAATAAATACATAAATAGTGCATTATACAGACACAGCGCTTCACATTGTCCGGAGCACAGATAGATATGTAATAATCTTCTCACCTGTCGCACACTGTTCTTGGTTTTTGGGGTCAGTATAAGTCAGAGCATCGATCGCATACATTGGTCGTCCCGTGGGCTGAAACAGTTCGCGATCGTGCCGTATGTGGGGTAACGGTTGTAGCGGTCTGGGAAGACATCGTCATTAGTTGGTGAAGTAGTTGGTGAATGTTCAATTCCAGGTTAAAAACTGTTTAGCTGTGCATACGACTGAGGGTTTTTAAAGTGATAGACATTCATTTCCACAGACACTGAGACAGAGATACTGATACAGAGAGGATGGAGAGGAAGGAAGTTACAATACACACAAAACAGAGGAACATGGACAACATTACAGTTTGTTAATGGCTGAAGGGACAAAACAGAGATGTGGAGAGATTGGTCTATTATCTTTACTCTTTTTAATGTACAGTGATTATTTATGATTTGAATGCCTTGTCCGATCGTTTCTAATCTGTTTTGTTAAGCACGGTGCCTTGTGTATGAACTGTGCAACACAAATAAACTCGCCTTGCCTTGCAGCAGTAACAGAGTTTGAGCTTGGGAGACTCAGACGTACCTTCTGCAGGAGTTGTTGATTGCGTCGATGGGCATAACTTGCTGCCTTCCTTTGGTTTGGTCGTAGATCCTCCGCGCAGCCGCCGTTGTCGTGGTGATGACGCAGTCCATGTCACCCCTGATGTGCCACGAGATCACCCAGGCTGCGGAGTCATCGGACACGAGCGCCAAGTGACCCACCTGCAGACACGGTCGTCACGTCGTCAGGCTGTTTCTCCAACCAAACAAGTCACGACAAATCCACCGACCACGACCGGGAATCCCATTTTTGTTCTGATAATCTAATTTAGTTGTTAAATTTAGCCATTTTCCTATGAGATAATTTTGCGTTGATTATTACTTATTTAATCTGATTTGGTCACAGGGTTAAACATGTCTATGGTGGGAGGGCGCGGTGTGAATATATGTCCATAAATGTCAAAAACACCATTAAAACATAAATATCTGGGTGTTATTAATTATAGCAGATACTGTGTTTTCATCTGTGGGATTTTGAGAAAGATCAGATCACGTTTGGCGGTGATTTTATGCAGAAATGTGAGAAATTTAAAACGCTTTGATACATTTTCAGGCCACTGTGTAATGTATGTGTTATGTACAATTACCCTTCCCAAAACATCTGGCCCAGTGAAGTCGTTCGATTTGCCATACGCTCTTCTGGGCCTGTGCAGAATATTGCTGGCCTCATGACGCTTCGTAATCACCATGTTGTCGAGCGTTTCAATCTGGAACAATCGTCAATGCGACATGTCAAGTATTTCCAAATGCAAGGCGTCGATGATAGATTGAGAAAATATTAGATACATTCTCTGGTACGTTCATGTTCCACTTTATTCGGAGTTCATTCTGAATCGCCGCCTCCTGCTCACAAAGTCTTTGCAACATAACTGTTATGTAAGCAGAACGCAATGAGAATACTCCACAAAAACACATTGAAAAACAACAATATGAAAATGATGGAGTTATGCCTTTGTATTCTTTAATCAAATTTTCATGGATTTTGTCTTTCTTTTTAATGGACATAATCGCTTCTTTGATTCTTTCTCCTTCTCTGCGCAGTGCTTTATGCTCCTTCTGGTTCTCTTCATCTAAAGTGGACCAAGCGTTAGTGATGCAGAGATGAGCACCAATCAAAATCCATAAATTAGATTATTCACCGTTGGAAAAACAGAACTCAAAAACGTAAGATTCCAGACTTGTGGAAATGTTTGAAGCGAGTTGTGGAGTGAAGACGACCCTATACGTAAGTCCATGTTTCCCAGGACTTTTCTTCTGTATGGCCAATTTCTGTAGCATAAACAAAAACCCAGGATCACAGCAACACATTTATGCAAATTGACGTACAAAGGAGAACTTACAGAAACACGAGCCGTTCCATTCTCCAGCTTAATCAAACAGTTATTAGTATTATCGTCAAACAAAGGAATTGGTTCTTGACTATTGTTGTCCAAGTTTTTGATACAAATGAGAACATCCCCGTTTAGATTTTGCCCAGCCGGGTTGTCGTACTGATCCTATGAAATACAGACATGACATTAATACAGGTCCAAACAGAGGTAATAGGACAGTTTTAAGGTGGCTCACCATGATCACCAGTGTCATGTCCTCCACCAAGATTCTTTTGGCAATGTCGTTGCTGCAAGAAACGACTTGAGTTTCAGGCGGACTCTCCGGACCCAGCTTCATCGGCCGGTTTGCCACGACGTTGACAACAATCTAACAAATGCATTTTTAAAAAAAGCTTGTGAAAATCAGATTGAAATGAGTTTTTAGGTAGAAACGTTGATATGATTTTTAGATTCATACCGGATCACTGCGCAACGTCGTTTTGCTCTTTGGGTCACAGAGGGAGAACTGGATGCTATATGTTCCGACGCGTCCAGGGATTGGCTTTTCTCTACAAGTGGACAGATTACATTTTTAAATATAGTCAGACCCATTTGGAAAAAATATATAATATTTTATATATACACTATATTATAAAATAATTTAAATTTATTTCATTTTTACCTGAAATAAAATCGGTCCTTCTTATCATTCTCCTTGGGTGCAGAGCACTGGAACTCAACAGCCTACACAGGAGAATCTTGGGTAAATTAAACCTTCTATTATAACCATATACAAGTCTTTTAACTCTTACTGTATTCGGAGGTGTGTTTGATTGTTCTCCCTTCCAGTAGTGCATGGACACGGCTTGTCGGCTTAACATTGGGCTGCCTTCGTCCGACAGAACAGTCACTGAAAATACTGAAACAACACAGAATGTGATTGATAGCTTGGTTATATGCAATTTTTTGAGTTTGAGTATTACGTACCAGGGAATACTTCTCCAGCGACAAAAGTGGCCTTGGTTTCATAATGGACGTCTAAACTGACCGGTTTATTGGGATCAGGAAGGACAGTGAGATTGACAGTGGGACCGGGGATTGGCTCCTTTTTGAACAGTGCTTGAAAACGCAACTCATAAGTTCCCCTTAAAAAAAAAATACAATAGACAGTGTTTAACCAATAAACTAGATAAAATAAGACCTAGAGTCAGTAATAAAGTTGAATTGAATTGAAACTAATTTTACAATTGCTGCCATTATAGAATAGATAACACATGTTGTAGAAGTGGTATTTGCTTCTTATTATGCCAAATGTAGAAGTCAGTGTATTTGTACTGATTATGCTAAAGATAGAGATTTTGTACTTGTTTCTTTTTGATGCTACGGTTAGAGATAGAGTATAGAGTTATTGTGCTGTGTGCACGAATTAAGGATCTCTTCATTTAATGAACTGGCGTCCCCGTGTGGCTCTTACTTTGGCGCGCTCACACATTTGACAGTGAAGGAAGCCTGCCCCTCTGCATTCACAGGCTGCGATGACACATTGGAAGAAACCTACCACCATCAAAAGAAAAACAAAAGAGCAAATGTTTATATGGCATGGAATGTTAGTTATATATGGTAAACGTAGCAATACTGAAAACCTACATTTATCCCATTTAAGTGCGCCAATTTCACGACAACCCTCCGGTCTGGGGAGGGATTACCCCACTGGTCACACAGCTGGATGATAAATGGTGCAGGAATCCCTTGGCCATTCAAAACATTCAAAAACTAAGAGTAATAGAAGAGAAAAGTAAAGAAAGGTCACAATAATGTAAAATGTCTAAAAATGTCTAAAATGTACTCGCCTTCTGCCCAGCGAGCAAGGTAAGTTTTGCAGGAACTCCAGCGGCCACATTGAGTCCGACCTGACATGTACAATTCCTTAAGGTAAAAGTAATCTCCCTGAATCCAGGAGTTCCACCAGAGAACCTCACGCCAGTCACGACAACGGAACAGCTCTGCTCCTGATTCGACACAGCAAAGAGACTGTCACCGCATTATTTAAATTCAAATGGAAAATTATATTCCTAGTTTTATTACTGTGGATTTTAATTTTGTGATTGTGTTGTTGTTTAGTCCCACGTAATTTTGGAAAATGTTCCACTTTGAAATTTGTTAAGACAGATTAGCTGTGAGAATGTGAGTGTGAATGAGTGAATGTATGAGCTACCTGTGGTTTTCTTTTCTTTTTGTTAAGAAATAAAAAAATAACCAAAAATAAAAATTGACAAACAACCACCTCACCTCAAAATGGAAGATTAAGGATTCTTTGTCCAAACCCTCCCCATCTGCGATCATCTCAGTCACACAGGACTGCGTCAGAGCCCTTACCACGTTCTCATACTGGTCCACAAGCTGCAGGGCTGTCGGAAAAGGAGATAAAAGTTCAGCCAAACGCAGACAAATCAAAGAAATATCAGACTCACTTATGCGCTCCGGAAGAATCTCCCCAAGTTTAGCAGAACATTGTGGAACTGAAGCTTTCAACTGTTTAGGCTCATCTGGAATAGGCCTGAAAGAAGAGAAGACGGAGAGTAGAGCACAATCTCTAGAGTAGCATTTGTTTCTTAGTATTTCAGTATTGTCGCCCTTGTATCTGTACTCGAGTATTCTTCCAGGCCCCAACTACTTTTAAATCTCATATCTGCACGTTTTCCTCTTTGCATATGACTTTAAAGACTTATATACAGGCAAGTCACTTTACCTTGTACCATGAGCCAAAACAAATTCCTAGTTTGTGACTTCCTGTTACTTACAACAAAAATAATTCTGATTACAACTTCAATAGATACAAAACACACAATTAACAAAGCTCCAGGAAACAGCACTCATGTCATTCATGTCAACATACAAAAACTCTAATTAGAACACCTTGTGCTTTATGCACAAATACACATTGTTAACCATGCTTCTAAATTAAGTAGCATAGCAACAGGTGGAACAGGGTTTTATTACTGCATCATACACGGTATGAAAAGTTTTGCTAAATTTATACATTTCTATATTTGACCTAAAATGCATTTTCATTTCAAGTACAAATAACATAAGAGTGTATTTTTAATGCAGATAAGGATGGGTCTGGACTCTAGTGTTTATCAAAATGGATAAAAGCATACGCGACGGTGAAGGAGACAGAGATACTCTGGTCTTGATACGAAACTTGGTAAAACTGCACAGTCGCCACTTTGGTCGGAACCGTCACATCCGGGAGTTTGCCTTCCATCAATTCTTGCTGATTCAACTTTCCTTTCCAGTTAACCTATAGAAGAAAAACAGATGCTGCATTTCCTTTGGAATTATTTATATTTGAAAAGCTTTTTTATTCACCTTGATCTTTGAAGCCACAGCAGCTGTGACGGGAACCTCGCTGTTGCACTCGTCATAAAGTTTGAATGTGAGGTTTTCCAGCAGAGCTCCAGCCATCCAGTTGATCTTCTCTTCATTTTTCAGCTCCAGACTTTCATCGGCTTTAAAGATCTTAATGCAGTTGACTCGTTTGCTGGGCTTTACGAGCAGCTGGCGAGTGACTTCCTTCATGGTGCTTCGATTCTGAGAGACGTCACAATTAAAAACATCAGGATCTTTAATAGTATTTAATAAAAAAATTGTTGTTTACAAATCTGTCTAAATCGGTTTCAGCCCCATGATTGGCCGGTATGGATACTGCATTTATTTTGATAGTTTCCTGCGGGAGGGGCCACTCGCAGTCGTTTTAAAAAGACGGCAGGAGGGAAAAGTGATGACACATAAGTTTCAGCGGCGTAGAGGGGCATCGCTACATCCCTTCATATTTACAGTCTATGGGAGCTACTGATATAAATGATTTTACCAATACTCACAGGGACGTTGAATCGAATTATAACTTTTTGTGGATTTCCTTTGGTGAGGGACACATTGATGGGTGCGGTCACATGTTCTCCGACTCCAGTGACGCAGTTGATGGTGGCTGGTTCGTGTTGTGCGACCTAAAATCAACGAGATAATGTTAAGTAATGGGACAAACACTGGTTTTAAGAAACGAAAAGATACATACCAAGCATCGAGCAGTCAGATTGGGCGCCGCTGTGACGTTTCCCGACTCATCATGGACAAAAACCGTGAATTTAACAGTGTTGCCGTTTTCCACCTCAATTGGAAGTTCTTTAGGAGTTACAAAGATGGAGTGTGGGGCGCCTTGAAACACAATGATATTGAAGAGTTTAACATTAATCATTCAATCGGAAAAATTAAAACACGGTTACAAAAACAAAAAACTAAAAAATATATATATACCAGGAAGTAGATTAATCTGCAGTGTTTTGGAAGGCTGTGTGAGATCGTGGAGCGTCACCTTGAGGTTGTAGCACTAAATGCACAATAGGAGCAGAAAACATGTATAAAATCATCGATCATGGAGCACACACAGAATAAGCAGACACTCACGTTTGGTTCATGACAATCGAGTTTTCCTGTTATTTTGACATTTTTGATGTGACAAGAACTCTTGGTTTGACATTCCACTTTTTCATAAGTGACACTCAAGCCACTGCAAAAAAATTATATCATTAAATCAAACAAAAAAGACATATTTGACATTGGCAGCTTGAGTTTGAGATGAACCTGCACTGAAGCGTAGGTTTCAGGTGTGGGGGAGCGCAAACAACATGTCCATATTTGTCCTTAAACTCCAATGGAATACTGAAGGGTATTCCAAGACGAAAAGTTGAGTTTATTTTACCTACATCAAACTGATCTGCCACATCCGCTGTAAAAGTGGAAGACACAAAGGTGAATTAAGGAACACATGCAGCGGACAGCCAATAGGTGATTCTTGAAAACTCAAACTCAATCTCGAGCTTTAATGTTCTACTTGCCTTTGATGTTAAACCGAAGTTTAAAACTTGGAAGACTCAGTCCTCCAAATTCCAGGGCTTTTGACTCGGTCACAATTGTACGTAAATGCAACGTATACTTTCCGAGCTCAACAATGTTAGCTATCAGAAATAATATTTATATGAAATGAATAGCTCTTTGAAAAAAAAAAAATGCATATTAAATAAATCCTACCAATTTCTTTGAACCAATAACCCCAGGTGCTGCCATGTGAAGCTTCCAGTAAAAAGAGTTCTCGATCTTTATTGGAGACTGTCGAGTTGAACATTCCAAAGCATTTGGTGAAATCCTTCAGTAAAGGTACAGTGAGGGAGGATGCTAGAACTTACCATGATGCACCAATCTGAGTTGAACTGACAGCCTTTTGCCTGACTGTTTTTTCCCCGGCAGCTTGGATATGTGTTCTCCCTTTTTATTCAGAACCATTACCTGAATTGGTCCTTTGGGGAGAAAGTGTTAGAACTGTTAGCAGGGACTTGGGTGCCGTGTGAGCGCAGTGCAAATAGGATTTACCCAACACAGATCCTGCTGTGATGGTCGTGTTGTCCAACCACTCGTTTCCTTCTGGCCATTCAACCTTCAGTTTATCTGGAAGCCTGGCAGACAGCACAGACAGCATTTCATGACACACAAGAAACACACATTTATGCTGGGAATTTCTACAGCCTTTTTGAATAGATATGCTAAATGTTAAATCAAAGACCATAATTAGAGTGTCATCACTTTAAAACTACATCTTGAAGTTATTTCGCAACCCTGACCTGCACTGCAAAAAGTGATGAAAAATAAGTCAAAAATAGCTTAGATTTGGAACAATGTATTTTAATTTGCGCACATTTTTAGTGTCTTTAAACAAGATTTGCCAATGGGACGGACAAAATGATCTTGCTTTGAAAAGAAACAAGAAATATCTCCCTTGGAATAATAAAAACTTTACTTTACTTTACTTTACACATTTGCTTTACGTATGCCAACTGTAACTGGATATAGCAGGGTCAAAGCACACTAACTTTGCATCCTCGTTTTTTATGTTTGCCATGATTTCCTCAACGGTTGCATTCTGGTCGAGTTTGGACAGAAGTAAAATTTTTGTGTTTTCATATAATCCTTTGGGTTCCTGCAAAACATTTAATATCAAGTCACATTTAGTAGTCTATACAGAGACGGCAAATGCATGTATGACCAACTCACCAAACTTATTTCTACGTGACCTCCACAACCATACACAGGCCTGTCCTCATCGTGTGTTCCGAACAACAGGAAGCGAATCACTCTGCCGTTGTAAATTGGATTGGTTTTTAAAGACTTGACCTGTTAAAATACATTACATGCATGTTATTTTCATGTGTGTAAAAAATAACGCCTACAATACTTACATAGTCACCAGTCTTGAACGTTTTTCCACCCCATTCAACTGAGGAGAATGTGGCCCATGGTGTCTGGTTCTTCTTTGTGGCTAAATCCTCTCGAGTGGTTGAGCCCTTGAAGTCCATAAACTTTACTTGTTTGTCATATTTTTCATGACAGTGCTGCAGCCACTGAACAAAATCCCTCTGGAGGTTTGCTCTTTGTTTCTATGGAAAACAGGGAAAGGCTGCTTCAGAAAAATCCCCGTAGAAATTCAAAAGATGCATCGACTAAAATCTACTACAAATACTATATAAGAAATAGACAGACCTGCCCCTTCACAACAACAGTGAAGATTGTGTCTTTGTTTTTCATTTTCTGCTCCAGGTCTAAGAAAGTAAATTTATTTTCTGTAACTTTGAATGTGTCATCTGTAAAGAGCACTCCGGAGAAGCGATTGTAGCACTCAGCGGGAACTGGGGATCCTTTCGGCGGCTGGCTGCACCAATCAAATCTGAAAAGAAAATGTGCGTTTTATTTAAAGTTTGCAGTAGAATTGTTTATCTGGTTTTTTTTTTACTTTTAAAACTTGTTGACATCATAAGCAAAGGAAAATAGTTTATGACTTCCTGATACTTACAAAGCCCATAAATAATTCAGATTCTGGGAGCGAACAGGGGATGGGGAGATAAGAGGGAGACAGGAACATGCAGGAAGGAGGGAGAGAGAATAACACACTTCTTTGTCCTCCTCATCATAAGTCAAAATAGAGATTCCCAGAGCCAGCTAGTGCCAGATGTTAGCACTTTGTGGTCATTGCCTCATTGACACACAAACACACACACACCCCCGCCATGTTGCGAGTCTAGCAACTGACTAAATAGACTCAAATAATAATAAAGCCATTACAAGTTTTGAGAGGGTCTCATTTAAATCCTACTGTATTTACTCTTGCACTGTTGTGTATGGAATGAGACGTCCGTTCCAATAACATTCAAAGACCGGCTTCTTTTGCTTTTTGGAGGGTGGATCCATATCAGGCTCATCCTCATTATCTTCCTCGGTCAAATCTAAAAAAGACATTTGTGAGATCAGCGCATGTGTCTTGTGTCCACATTCAGGGCTTGTGTTCGTACCGTGGACCACATCCGGGTTCTCAGGGTACGTCTCTCGGTCGTAGAGGAAGGGGTGGTATCGTATTACCCCCTCCACCAACCCGGCCTCAGGGTTAGTGCACGCTTTAAACTCAAAAGTTGAAACGGCTGCCTTTACGTACAAGCTCTGCAAGTCTGTGCCAATGTCTCTGAGATGAAATACGTCGGGATACTTTTTGGTCTTGCACAAGATCTATTCAAAATGCAATCATTTATTTACAAAAACTAAAAACATGACAATATTGACTGAACACTGCAAAAAGTTGTAATAAATAAGTAAATAAATGCTTTTATTTGGCAACATTTAACTTAATTAGAGCCCATTTAGACTGCCTCAAAACATGTTTTGCCAATGGAACAAAGCATAATGATCTTGTTTTAAAATATCTCCCTTGCAATGAGAAAATAAAGCTCATGAAACAAGACTAAATGGCTTTTAAGACAGTCTGAATGTTTTTTGAAAGTAAGATAAAAAACAACTCGAATCAAGTAATTATTACCTCATAATTTGAATTTTTTTTGCAGTGAAAGCTACTCACCCGGATGTCGACCTTGGACGTATGTTCAGAATCTGGATAGCTGCTTTGTGAAACATTGCCTTGAGTATTCCCATTGGGTCCATGTAAATAATAATGATATATGTGTCTGCAAATCATCAAAGCCCAGTGTTTGAATTGTGTTTTTTTGTTTGCATATTGTAAATGAAAAAACCTTGGCTGCAGAAATACTCACGCGATCTGCCTGGTCCACACATCAATCTCCTCCTTGAGAAAGCGAATGTGTTCTGGCAAAACGTCCGTAATCACAACAGCGGTGAAGCTTTGCTGCCCAAATTCCTCAGCGATGAGGTCACACAGAAAACGCTCATCTTTGCCAATGTGTGAAGAGTCACATGACTACACAACAAGACCAAACACATTACTTTCATCACAAACAAACTGAATTATTACACACAAACAACTCACTTTACGATTGAGAATATTGGTCTCATAAGTTTCCTCTTTGTTCCTCTCCTTTTTCTCAAACAATTCTTTGGACAAAATAAGCTCGTGCACATCGGGGTAGCTGCTCGATTTACTGATGACCTTAAAAAAAAAGATTTCGCACAAGATAGATTGATAAACCTTTATTGTCCCCTGAGGGAAATTCATTTCCACAAACACTGTCACACACATAGAATAGGGAGGGTGGTTTTGTTGTTCTCGAAAATGCAACAAACTGTTATTTTCCTTGTCCAACAGAAAATTCAATCAGCGAGTAAGATGAAACTTTTAAAACTGTTGTAAAGAAGTGCTACCCTACAGACTGACAGATTAAATAACAAAAGGTAGTAAGAGCACACAGGTAGAACACACAATATACAATACACAAGTAGCCTAAGTGGTATTCCTCGCCTATACCACTCTACATCCAACAGGCCAACCACATCTGGGCAGTTTGTGTTTGGGTCAAGACCATGACATCACTATGGGTGGAGTCCAGGATTTTACTCCCAATTTCCAATTTAAATCTGTGGTGTAGTAGCTCAAGGGCAGAGGTGGAAAAGTGTGACTTACCCGGACTTTCTTTCCAATATAGAAAACTGCTTGTTTTCCTCCCACTCCGAAGTAGGATATGTCGCTGTTTATACTTCGATAAACATGGCCAGGTCGAGCATAAGTGCCTTGATCACTGCAAAAAAACAGTGCATTTTTTTAGAAGGGACGTGGACAAACAAATGAGAAGTATAGCCTGCAATACACACCTTGTGAATCTGCCATTTTCCCTTTTAAATTTGGAGAGCTTGTAAACGGCCCAGTTGTTGAGTTGTTTAGACGTCATACCACAGCCATTGTCCAAAACAATGAGTGATGCTTTTCCGCTATCCTCAGGAACCTAAGGAAACGGGAGCTCGTTTCAGCGCCACAGACATATCCCAAAAGGGGGTTCAAATATGTAAAGAAAAATAAAATCATAATTTACCAGTCGAATCTCTATCACTCGCTCTCCAGTGTTATTGACTGTAGCCGAAATAGAGTTGTCAACCAGATCAGCCAGAGCATGTGCTACATAAGAAAATGTATTAGCATATTACATTTTAAATGTGAGAAAAAGCAGCAAATAAGTAAGCATGAAAGAACCATATGACTTATACATTAGTTTGCACAGATATCAATGATGTACTTGCCATAAATGCGAAAAAACACTTTTCCCTCCCACATAAAGTGTAGCCCTAAAATCACACATCATATTATCACAACGGAATACTTACGCAGTGCCTTTTTGCCTTCACTTTCGTAGTATTTGTATGAGCCACTTTCCAATATGGTATCATGATGTGGAGTGAAAAAAATGAGCTCCTCGGCTGGCACCTCCAGTGGTTGGTCCTCTGTCAGCAGCATGTACAGACAGGCACCATATTGTAGCCGCGCTGGCAAAAAGGCACACAACAAGAAACATTAAAGATTGCTCTGAACTATTTGCTTCATTTATTTATATTCAGTGATGCAGTGGTAGTTTTTACACTGCCAATAAACATGCCCACACAATCATCACTTAACAGGTGGCTACAGTAAAGGTTTGTGTGAGATTTACTCACAGAACTTGTCTTTATCCAGAACTGTCCTGTCTGTCGTGACCAAAAGAAACTTTTCATTGGGTCGCACTGAAAATGTCTGTTTTCAAAAGAAAAGAGAAATCAATCATTCATGTCTTAAACCACTATCAAATACTATCCAACATAAAACGTGCAAAAGACGACGAGTGCTGAAGCTGAGGGCAAGTAGAGCTGGTTGTCCATCTTACTTCTTACAGGCCAACCATTTAAGGTCAAGACCTAAGAGCATACAGAATTGGGACTGGACCTATGTTTCAGCGAATTGTTGTACTTTTTCCTCAATCCAATCTTATTCGATATTAGCCATGGAAAATACACTTCTCAAGACCACGCCAACTTTCCCAAGACCAGCCAAACCATCCATCCATCCATCCATTTTCTTCCGCTTTATCCGTTGCCGGGTCGCGGGGGCAGCAGTCTAAGCAGAGACGCCCAGACTTCCCTATCCACACACACTTCCTCCAGCTCATCTGGGGGGACCCCAAGGAGTTCCCAGGCCAGCTGAGAGACATAGTCCCTCCAGCGTGTCCTAGGTCTTCCCCGGGGCCTCCTCCCGGTGGGACGTGCCCAGAACACCTCCCCAGGGAGGCGTCCAGGAGGCATCCGGAACAGATGCCCGAGCCACCTCAACTGGTTCCTCTCGACATGGAGAAGCAGCGGCTCTACTCCGAGCTCCTCCCGTGTGACTGAGCTCCTCACCTTATCTCTAAGGGAGCGCCCAGCCACTCTGCGAAGGAAGCTCATTTTGACCGCTTGTATCCGCGATCTCGTTCTTTCGGTCATTAACCAAAGCTCATGACCATAGGTGGGGGAGGGAACGAAGATTGACCGGTAAATCGAGAGCTTTGCCTTTCGGCTCAGCTCTCTCTTCACCACAACGGTCCGATACAGCGAACGCATCACTGCACACGCTGCACCGATCCGCCTGTCAATCTCACGCTCCATTCTTCCCTCACTCGTGAACAAGACCCCGAGATACTTGAACTCCTCCACTTGAGGAAGGACCTCTCCACCCACCTGGAGAGGGCAAGGCACCTTTTTCTGGTCGAGCACCATGGCCTCAGATTTGGAGGTGCTGATTCTCATCCCAACCGCTTCACACTCGGCTGCAAACCGTCCCAGTGCATGCTGCAGGTCCTGGCTCGTTGGAGCCAACAGGACAACATCTTCCGCAAACAGCAGAGATTAAATCCTGTGGTCCCTGAACCTGACCCCCTCCGATCCCTGGCTGCGCCTAGAAATTCTGTCCATAAACACAGTGAACAGAACCGGTGACAAAGGGCAGCCCTGTCGGAGGCCAACATGCACCGGGAACAGGTCTGACTTACTGCCGGCGATGTGAACACAGCTCTGGCTCCGGTCATACAGGGACCGGATGGCCCTCAGCAGAGGACCCCGGACCCCATACTCCCGGAGAACCCCCCAAAGGACACCCCGGGGAACACAGTCGAACGCCTTCTCCAAATCCACAAAGCACATGTGGACAGGTTGGGCGAACTCCCATGAACCCTCGAGTATCCGATGGAGAGTATAGAGCTGGTCCAGTGTTCCGCGACCGGGACGAAAACCACACTGCTCCTCCTGAATCCGAGATTCGACCATCGGCCGTAGTCTCCTCTCCAGTACCTAGGAGTAGACCTTTACCGGGGAGGCTGAGGAATGTGATCCCACGATAATTGGAACACACCCTCCGGTCCCCCTTCTTGTAGAGAGGGACCACCACCCCGGTCTGCCACTCCATTGGCACCACCCCCGATCGCCACGCGATGTTGCAGAGACGTGTCAGCCAAGACAGTCCTACAACATCCAGAGACTTTAGATAATCAGGAAGGATCTCATCCACACCCGGAGCCTTGCCACCATGGAGGCTGCCAACCACCTTGGTGACCTCAGCTAGGGAGATGGATGTATCCGCCCCAACATCCTCAGCCTCTGCCCCCGGGGCGGAGGACGTGACTGGGGATTGAGGAGAACCTCAAAGTATTCCTTCCACCGTCCGACAATATCCCCAGTCGAGGTAAGCAGCTCTCCACCCGCACCGTGCACGGTGTTGGCAAAGAACTGCTTCCCCCTCCTGAGGCGCCGAACGGTTTGCCAGAATCTCTTCGAGGCCGACCGATAGTCATGCTCCATGGACTCTCCGAACTCCTCCCAGTCCCGGATTTTTGCCTCTGCAACAGCCCGGGCTGCGGTGCGCTTGGCCTGCCGGTACTGGACAGCTGCCTCAGGAGTCCCCCGAACCATCATGGCTCGATAGGACTCCTTCTTCAGCCTGACGGCATCCCTTACTGCCGGTGTCCACCACCGGGTTCAGGGGTTGCCGCCGGGACCAGCACCAGAGACCTTACGACCACAGCTACTAGCCGCCGCATCGGCGATTGAGGCAGAGAACATGGTCCACTCGGACTCGATGTCTCCCTCCTCTGCCGGGACCTGGGAGAAGCTCTCAGATGATACGACAACAAAGTCGATCATCGACCTCCGGCCTAGGGTGTCCTGGTGCCACGTGCACTGGTGGACACCTTTGTGCTCGAACATGGTGTTCGTGATGGACAAACTGTGACTAGCACAGAAGTCCAAAAACTGAACACCGCTCGGGTTCAGATCAGGGGGGCTGTTCTTCCCGATCACCCCTCTCCAAGTGTCACTGGCATTTCCCACATGGGCGTTGAAGTCCCCCAGGAGAATAACGGAGTCCCCGGTTGGTGCACCGTCCAGTACACCCCCCAGGGACTCCAAATAGGCCGGGTACTCTGCACCGCTGTTAGGCCCGTAGGCCGTCACAACAGTGAGAGACTTGTCCCCCACCCGGAGGCGGAGAGACGCGACCCTCTCATTCACCGGGGAAAACTCCAACACGTGGCGGCTGAGATGGGGGGCAATGAGAATGGCCACCCCAGCTCGCCGCCTCTCCCTGCGGGAAACACCAGAAAAGTGGAGCGTCCAATCCTTCTCAAGGAGTTGGGTTCCAGAGCCCAAGCTGTGTGTGGAGGTGAGGCCGACTATCTCTAGTCGGTATCGCTCAACCTCCCCCACGAGCTCGGGCTCCTTCCCCCCAGTGAGGTGACGTTCCACGTCCCAAGAGCCAGATGTTGTGTGTGCGAACTGGGTTGTCGAGGTCTCCGCCTTCGACCGTTGCCCAGTCCTCTCAGCACCCGACCACCACGGACCCCTCTGCAGGTGGTGGGCCCACAGTAAAGTCAGCCAAACCAGACTTTACTTAATTAGCTTCATACCAGAAGTCATAAGGATGATAACTTCCTCATAGCTGACACTTTATTGTCTACCTCAAACAGATGGCTGCTCTCTGGAATTATATAATTGATCAACAGACAGAAACTAAAAAAAATCATCTGAGGTTTTGATGCCAAGCCCTGGTGTCCCTGTTGACTAATACAACAAGTGCAAAGGTTGGAATTGACAGGACTGTCATTGGATATTACTTACACTGAGATCTAAATAATGATCTCTCATTTTGACACAAAGATAAGAAAGGTATACAAAGTTAGTCGTTTTTAAGATAATAAGCACACTAGAAACACATTTATATCCTAAAACATCATTAAACAACAGTTCAACAAAACAAACCTCAGAAATTGTCCAGAGAAATCCGGTAAAGTCCAACTCGGTCGTCACCAGCCACTCCTCTCTTCTGTTGCTGTGCTGAAAGCGACGGTCATAGACGAACAGCTTCTTTCCATCTTCCCCGCGACGGGAGGACCTCATAGTCTCAAACTCAGAAGATAATTCACAGGTAAAACAACTCCACAAAATCACGTGCAGTTAGTGGTAGAGAGAGTCCAGGCCAGAGAAAGTCCAGGCCAGAACTCTCCAGCATGTGTTTATGTCTGCAAAACTGAGTGGGCGGGTCCATAGGTCTCACATCTCTATCTGAACTTTCTTCTTCTGCGCTTAATTGCGACAGACATCCAAATAACAAGTTGCATTTACCGCCATCTACTGTTACAGGATTATAGACAGGGCATGGAGACAGGACTCACAGGAGCAAAGACTGTAAATATTAAGGAGATGTGCTCATAAGGGGCAAATGACTAATGTCCATTAATGTTGATAAATGTCCGTAAAATGTTATTGAATTTTAACTGTCTTGGATCAAAACATGTTTAAATGTGAGTCATGGAGGTGATCGTGGTAAATTGATAATATAAAAATAAACTGCAAACGTGACATTATCTATATCTCCAATGTTTTAATACTCAAATGTAATAAAAATAAGCATATTTATTCTCAAACACTGGAACTCCCGGAGCAGTAAAGTGTAAATAATCGTATGTGCATTTGTCGTCTTTCTAACTTTGTGACATTTTCGTTGCTGTAGATATTTTTTATTAAATTAACTTCATTTTTTAATTGCGAGAAGTTTTACCTTTAACTTCATGAGCAGAAATGTTCCCTCAGAGAAGAACGAGTGCTGGTTACCATAGCAACACAATAACTGTATATTCTGTTTTTCAAGGTATTTTCACCAGCTTTAGCATGTATTCAAATTGGAGTAAATGTAAAAAAAAAAAAACACAATTTTCATAAAACTGGGGGGAAACATACAGTCTATGTGGGAAACTAATATTATTACTTTTTTGTGTGCAATGTTGATCTGTTCCAGAAGGTGGCGGCAAAGTACTCAAGCTCTTGGACTAGCTTACACCTCTGAGCAAGAAGAAGAGGAGTGTTGTGGGAGTTCATCACACGTGTTTTGACTCTCTTTATTTTTCGCAGTCTGCGGGTTTCTCCCATGGATCTATAATAATAATAATCTCCAGGTTCCATAGACTCTCCAGAGACACAGTCACACCGGGGCCATGGCCGTGGTGGCGGAGGGGGCTGCGGGCTGGGTGTTAGACACGTCCTCGCTCCTGGATCAAAGTTACTCCCGCTGTATCCGCTGGGCTGGAGCCCACAAGACCGCCGTCACCTGTCGCTGCAAAAGCCACTGTTTCCAAACGCTGCGAAGTCATTTTAAAGACACAGGTGATGCTGTCAGTGCTGGGGAGGCTGTCACCTCCAACAAGGTAAACTTGGCTTAATGATGTGAAAAGTGCATCCTTTTATTGTTATTATTATTAATATTATTGTTTTAATCTCATTGTTGCATATTATCTTATTCACTTAATCCTCCTCAGAGTCCGAGTTGGTTCATATGTTAGTGCCATAAAAAACATAACTCTGGCCTCCTCCTGGTGCCCAGAGTCAGAACTAAACATTGGGAGACATCATTTCAAATTTATACTGCTAAAGTCTGGAAGAGTCTTCCTGAAAATGTGAGACGGGCTTCTTCTCTAACAATGTCAATGTCATATCCAGGTAGAAAACGGGTTGTTTTACCTGTTCATACAACTGAGGGATTTTATAATTACTCATTTTAATTTACTGTGATTATGTATGATTTTAATACTTGATTGGTATGTTTGTGTTGAACCAATATTGCATGTGTAGTTGTAATGTACCTTATTTGTTTGTGTGTTCACATTAATAATAATTTAAAAAAAAATGGAATGGTTTAATAGAGGCGACTAAGTAGAGCTATTGTTGCTCTCATTAGTTATAATTGAGTCTTATTCTGAATTTTATAAATGTATTGAAAAAAATATCTTAACTTTTGCATTAAAAGTGTGAATATAATAACGTCAATTTATTTGTACACAATAAAATGAACAATGTGTTTTTATGTCTAGAAAAGGAAGCGGAAACGCACAGACTTCAACCAAGGAGAAATTGATATTCAAGCTTTTCATGATAAGGTGAGTGACCGTAGACGTTAGTTAACATAAGTTATGTTATCATTATAATGAATATTTAATGCATTGTCTTTAAACTAACAGTGTTGGCAAAGTTCACTGTGATTAATGTAACGGTGAATGCATGTTAAGAGGTCACTGGGTTACTTTCTAACCGTTGTCTTTAATGTTTGCATGTTTGGATGTCTATATATCACGAGGTTTGAGTTGTGAAAGGACTTTGCTAAAGTGTAATTCTTGGATTGTTAGCTGGAGATGAGACTGGAAACCTTTTTAGGCTAAAATGCTTGAACGCTGTCAACAAACTAATGGTTTAGGCCACATGGAATCTTTGGAGTGACAATTATGTTACCATCATGTAGGAGTTCAGTGCACGCACGGTCACAGCACCCAAGATCAGAGATGTGCCGTGATCATGCAGACCTTTGACTGGTGTTGATTTCGCAGGTTCGTCCCATCATTCTGGACGGCACAGAGGCTTTAGTAGAGTCGGCCAGAGCACGTGGCTGTCTGACCACTGCAGGAGAAACGACCAAAGACTGTGTTCTTCTCCCTGAATGTGGCCTGAGCGCTCTGTGCGAAATGGCCACACAGCTGCCCCCCACAGACGCAGAGGAGCAGGACGGTCTCCCACAGATCCTTGAGGGAGGCTCCACAGTGAATCTAGATCTGTTCTCTAGAATGACTGAGAACAAGTCGGACTCTGCTGCGGTGGTGACTCTGATGGGGGAGGAGTATGTGGTGCCTGCCAAATCCACGTTCCTGCTTTCGGACATCAGTAGACTTCAACCTCTTCTGAGCTGTCAGTAAGGATTAAAAACAATTCATGTGTTTGTCATTTGGCACGGAAAGCCATTTATAGCTGTGGCACCTAACTTTCCAATCACAGAAGACTGACCCATGACTGTATATTCCACAAGTTTCTTATCCTTGATCCAAGTGTAATAATAGCTAGAGATTATGATTGTATTATTTTATAATTTTCTATCTTAAATAATAGATCCGTGTGTGCATAATTGGAGTTTGGGCGGCATGGTGGCTGAGTAGATGGCATTCTTGGTCCTGGGTTCGAATCCCGGTCAGAACAGGGTCTTTCTGAGTGGAGTTGCATATTCTCCCCAAGCTAGCGTAGGTTTCCTCCGGGTACTCCGGTTTCCCCTACAAATAAAAACATGCACTCTAGGTTAATCCTCCAGCTCTGGTCCTGACCAAGCCGAGCATCAACATTTGTAGATGAGTCCCAGGCGCTGTTACTACGGCGACTACTGCTCCTGATGTAAGCCTTAGCAGCACCAGGATGGGTCAAATGCAGAGGATTGAATTTCCCTACGGGGATTAATAAAGTGCACCTTTACCTTTGCCTTCTCTTATTTTTCCTTATCTACTATAATGTAGATTTTTTTAGACTTGATTAGACTAGATTGACTAGACTACTTCACGACTCCCACTGACCACTTGGGGTAGCCACATCTGGTGTCGTTGTGTCCTTGGGCAAGACACTTAACCCCACTTTGCTCAAAAGCCCCTGCTGGAAGATCAAGGCTCCTGTGGGCTCACCCTGCAGGAGGATCATTAAGGGGCTGTTGCAATGTGTACTGGGTGCAGCTCTGACTGCCACCCCCCGACCCAGAAATGGATTAAGGGGAAGAAAATAGAATGGTGGATGGATGAAATTGTCCCAGTGAGGAACAAATATAGGTTTATCATATAGTAATTGAAATAAATTGAATTAATTTTTGTATAGTGCTAAATCACAACAGTAGTTATCTTGGAGGAGGACTTAACAAAATGATAAAGATAGAGGCAGATGATGTTATTTATTGATGAATAAAATCAATGATAAGATAAGAAAAAACTTCACTCAAAAAAGACAGGAAATGTGCATTAAAAAAAAAAGGTGAAAAAGGAATAGGGTATTTTATGTGCATTAAAAGTATCTTATGTACATTTAAAACATGACTATGGCAGTGCAAAGTTGGCCAAAGCAACTAGTTCCTGGCTCTTTACCCGCTTGCTTCCATCACTAGTTTTCACATACATGTATTTTTGGCCTCTGTCACATCAAGATCAGCTTTTTCAGACAGAAATTGAAAAGGAGAATACCACTTTCTTAAACTAAAGTCCATCCATCCATCCATTTTCTACCCTTTAATCCATGTCTGGGTCAGGGGGGTGACAGTCAGAGATGCCACCCAAGTCTCATAGCACCAGCCCCTCACTGACCCTCTGCAGGTGGTGAGTCCACAGGAGGACGGCTGCTCTCTGAGTGTGAGCATAGCCTTGATCTTTCAGTGGGAGCTTTTTGGGCAAAGTGGGGTTAAGTGTCTTGCCCAAGGACACAACGACAGCAGTCATCAGTGGGAGTCGATGGAGAAGGTGCAGAGGTGGGAATTGAACCCACGACCTTCTGGGCTTAAGGCCAATGCTCTACCAACTGAGCTACTGTCGCCCCCTAATCTAAAGTCAATATATATATATTTTTTTCAAACTTTCTTACACATTTCTCATACGTGTTTACTAATATGATGAAGACAATATTATTGTCTAATTCATGAACTTTTTTACTTTTACACGCATGTCTTTTGGTACATGTTATTTGTCCAATAAAACGTTAAGTATCCCAGCTTTAACAATAATGACAACGATGAATAAAAATACTGGTTAAAAGATTTACACTATTTCTGTCTGGTCCCACTCAGGCAAAGCAAAATATGACTTGGTAGTTATTGATCCTCCATGGGAAAACAAGTCTGTCAAAAGAAGTCGCAGGTAAGTGTGAAAAGAAGCAAATGTTGGATAAGAAATATGATTTTTAACTTTTGACTTTTTTTTTTTGTTTTTTAAGGTATAATGCTTTGCCTTCATCTCAGTTGAAGAAGTTGCCTATTCCTCTACTGGCCTCTTCAGACTGTCTGCTGGTCACGTGGGTAACAAACAAACCAAGCCATTTGCGATTTGTCCGCCATGAGCTCTACCCACAGTGGGGCGCGGAGGCCGTAGCTGAATGGTTGTGGGTCAAGGTGAGATTTTGCATGTATAAAAGCCTGTATACTGCATTATTAGTTCATTTAAATATGATTTAAAAATTCAAATCTGACACTTTTTTGATTTCCTTGCTGCTTCTCAGGTCACAGCATCGGGACAGTTTGTCTTCCCCCTCGATTCGCAGCATAAAAAACCATATGAAGTGCTAGTTCTTGGCAAATTCTCTTCTAATAGCAGTTTATCTGAAGGGTAAATGAAGGGTCAGATCTTTTGTTTCGCAGCTGTGGCTTCTGTTAATGGAAACGGGTTGTGATTTTGTCTTTTCCGCTTGTAGTTCGGGTGAGTCATTGCCAATAGAGGATCATCGTTTGATAATCAGTGTGCCGTCAACTCTCCATTCCCAAAAGCCCCAACTTTCAGGTATAACACATTTTTATTGTTTAAACACTAGATGGCAGAGCTACACCACGTTTCTGCACTATTCAATTTTCATTAGTTGAACATCAAAGCCTAATGTTTAGATTAAAAGTCAATCTATAATAATCTTTATTTTTATTTGTATAGCACTTTTAAGAACCATGTTTACAAAGCGCTGCAAAGTCAGCATGATAAAAAATAAAACAGTCATAATGCAAAGTCAAATTAATTCGATACAACAGATACAGGAAAACAAAGCAGACAGAGCAAAACACAAGAAGAGAGACACAACAAAGACAAAGCTGACATTAAAATACAGCGTATGGATTTTAAAACCAGCAGTTAAAAGCTGTTTGATAAAAGTGGGTTTTAAGAAGTGATTTAAAAGAAGAGGGCAGGTCGTTCCAAAGCCGAGGAGCCCGGACAGAGAAGGCTCGGTCACCTTTCTTCCTTGGAACAGTCAACAGGGACCTACCCAAGGATCTAAGGCTGCGGGGGGGCTTGTAGGGGGTTAAAAGTTCATAAATAGAGCTGGGTGCTAGACCTAAACGAGCTTTAAAAGTATTCAGGAAAATCTTAAAATCAATTCTAAAACGCACAGGGAGCCAGTGGAGGGACGCTAAAACAGGGGTGATGTGCTCCCTTCTGTTAAAACCAGTGAGAAGTCTAGCTGCTGCGTTCTGAACCAGTTGGAGGCAGGAGACTAAAATGTCTAGATAGACATTTTATTATCAGTGCAGGTTGATGTTTTCATTTATCTCGTTCATTAGAAACATAGAGACTTGTTTAACATGTTAAGAATAAAACATGTTTGCCCAGTCTCAGAAAATGGAATTATTACTATTACTGTACATATGAATTACTTTGATAAAGGCGAAGCTCCGGCGGCATGTGCTTTGCTCTTGGGGGATACAGTAATGAGGCTGTCGCAGAGAGAGACTTTTCAGCAGCACAGGAAGCTTCCACCTTTGGGAGGTGGACAGATATTGTTCAAAATGCATTGATTGGAGCCATAATGATGCCAGATGTTGGGCTTTGGTGCCATAGAGATTAAGCAGATTAGCTGTGTGTGTGTGTGTTTTTCCTTTATTCTACTGGGCACAAATTAGCACTGCCCAATTCAACACGGAATATACACAGACATTGACAACACATCTATTTTCTCTGTTTACAAAATTCACAAACAAAAACTAGCACTGCACATGTTTTCAGGGCCACATTCTCCCGATTCAATAAACTTTGAATATATCGTTTGCCACAGAATCTCCAGAATCTCCAATTTTGTGGAGATTGCCGAGCTCATTAATCGCAAGTAATTTAAAAATCACTATTTTTGTTTTATGCGGCACTATGATGAGAGCATTGTCGTATTGAGCTGTTTTTTTCTTGGTAGCCAGGAAAGCTCGGTCACTGTACTCCAAACTCATAATTGCACTGGAACCATTTTCATACAAAATTGGGAGTTGACCCATCTCATCTCAAACAAAAGTGAATGAATCTCAGAAATAATAACAACATTAAAACACTGAAATTATGAAATCTCTCAAGGTCAGGCACGTTGGCCGTATGTGAACTATGCGACACTCCTGCATAAGCCCTTCTTTTTCTGTCACACCCACATGCACTATTAAAAGTAGAGCGTGAATTATTAATGGAATAAAGGCTGCTTAAAAAGAGGGCCAAACTATCCTGTCTGTCAGCTAGATTACCGGTTTGTATGAAGTCCAATCATGTCGCCAAATAGACAATGATATGATTAAGATAAACCTTAATTCGTCCCACAGTGCGGAGATTTCAATGTCATAGTTGTGCACATTGCAGCAGAATAGAGGAGAAATAAGCTCTGATCATATAATATTCAAGTTAATAGATAATAAACTCTGGAGCTGCAATTGCTCTTGGGTCAAGGATGAGTACATTTGTGGAGTATACAGTATACCGCACTGCAAAAAAAGTTAAGTTTTGTGTTGAAACAAGATTTTCCAATGGAACAAAGCCATTTAGACTTTTTTCAAGAACTGTTGCTTTATTTTCTCATTCCACATTTCTTATATCTTTTAAAAACGAGATCATTTTGCTTTTCCATTGGTGAATTTTGTTTTAAAGCAGTCAAAACGTGCTCAAGTTAAGATGCATTTTTGCCACATTTGAGCAATTTTTGACTTCATTATCATCGCTTTTACGTCACTGTATTCTTGAACAGTATGTGACTAAGTTCATTTTTGCGGTCATATTGTGTAAAGTGAAATTAGCTCGGACAAGACTCGACAGGACAGTTTCTTAAGGACCCAGGTGTTGCCTTAACATCCTAACTTAGCTTAGCCCGTTCTGGAAAACAGGCTTTTGTGACAATTCCACGATTCCACGGCCGCCTGATTTTGAATGAGAGGGGAAGCAAGAGCAAAGCTGGTGTGAAAGTGCTGTGCAAACTCTCATATTCTGTGTACTTTCCCTGCAGAAGTGCTGAAGCCCTTCATCAGACCCAACGCTAAGTGCTTGGAGCTCTTTGCGCGGAATCTCCTCCCGGGTTGGACCAGTTGGGGAAATGAGGTCCTCAAATTCCAGCATGCGAGCTATTTCACCGTGACACCTGCAGACGACAAAGCCAGCTCCACCTGATTGACCCTCTAGTCCGTCTTTTAGACCATTTCACGAAGAAAAACTGCCTATATGCATTCCTTTTGATCGGCACGTCTTATCCAAATGGGTCCTTTGATTTCTGTTTGGACTGGGCATACATTGTTAAGGTACAAGCCGATGATGCATTTGCCGAGATGAAAGTGCATATGTTGTGAATGTGTTTTTGCATTTGCACTGAGATAAACAACTTTCCCCTTTCTTCCTTTGGCGTCGTATTTGGCACAATATTTGTTTAAAGATGATCAAAGTGTTTTTACTGGTATGTAGCAGGTTTTAGAAAATAAATTGCTTGATGAATGACGTTCTCTAGTAATGACCCAATTGCGTTTTTGTGTTTTATGTTTGGGATTCAGATAAACAGTTAGCACAATTGTATACAGACACACAAAGAAATAGCTTTTATTCAATCATTCATTATTCCCCTTCCCCTTTAGTAATCCATTTCTGGGTTGGGGGGTGGCAATCAGAGCTACCACCCAATGCTCATAGCACCAGCCCCTCTCTGATCCTCCTGCCTCTGTCTTAACCAAGTAAAACTGACTGCCCTGGGAGCTCCTGTAGTTTCAGATTTGTGGGAGTCCGAGTGTTAACACATATTATCAGGCCGGGGGACACACATCTGTGGTCTATTAATCAAGCTAAACTTTCAATTTTGTAGGTGATCTCAATTCTGTGGCAAAAATTGATAGTTGTTATTCTTCTGAGGGACTTGTATTACCGCGACACAAGGTTCGTGTCAGTCTGGTAAATTAGCACCAATTAGAATTAGATTAACCATTAGACATGGAACAAGATAAACCATTGTTACCACTGTGGCCTGAAGAAATGAGTCCTGTTCAAAGTGAGCAGTGTGAACATCCAACATTCCCCTGAGCTTTGTCGCTGTCAGAATCTCCTTGTGTTGTTCATTGAAGGTTCTGCATATAATAAATAATAATAAAAATGTATTGTTTTTATATAGCGCTTTTGTGGAATCAATCAAAAGATGCTTCACATGTTAATATTCTTACACTCCATACATGGTGGTGATAAATTAACACAGCTGCCCTAGGGCACACTGACAGAAGTGAGGCAACCAGTATGTGCTATCAGCCTCTCCAACCACCAGCCATTCACACACACCCGACTCATTCTAGGAAATGTGAGTGAAGTGTCTTGCCTAAGGACACAATAAAAGTTTGACACTTATCAGCTGCAGCCAGAGGTCTCCCATCACAGTGTTAACCAGTCCCTGCCCTGCTTGGCTTCAAAGATCTGGCGGGGTCTGGCTTTCACATGCAAGTATGGCGTTGTAGTCTGTATAATTTCACAGGTTTTTGTTGTTTGGGAGTTAACAGTTGATTACGTAGAAGTAAATGTTGGATCAGGTCACCAAGGACTCATCTTTTTTGTCAGTGTTCCCATAGAAACATAATAAAAAAGTTGTCTGACGCAGATCCTTGGGTTTTTAGAAATACCTGAATGCTAACGAACAAAAGAAATCTTCACAGGTTTTGATCAATGACACTTTGGTCTTCAGCGTCTGTCATTACAGTTCAGGAAGTCTTTGCACACACAGACTCTGCACAGTCTGATAAGATATCATCCGCTTGTTTTTTTCCATTCTTTTCCAAGCCTTTTAGCTGCTGATAAGTGGGACTCATGAATGGCTCTTAAAACGCCTTTGGCCCTCCCCCTGCAGGATGATGTCACCGCGGTCACCAGGGCCTCTCCGCAGGCGCCAAGGGAGGAGCACAATCTGTCCAAGACGTGATGAAGCACCAGAGAAGGACCTCACCATTCGTCTCTCTCTGGTAATTCTCCTCCAGCACTTAGCACTCACAAAGAGAAACTGCACCTGCATGTGTTTGGAAATGTACTGCATGTAAAGATGAAAAGAGGTTCTATTTAATATTTCAGTATTTGTGGTTTTGAGGCTCAAACAAACAGTTACCTGAGAGGATCCAGAAAATTGCTCTAATGGGGATGTAATGTATCTCAAGTGGATTCAAAGTAACATTGTGGTTGCTGTATCGATAACAATGAATAGTTGGATGAAAACAGACTATATTCTCAAGCCACAATACTTTAATGATTAAATTAGAAGTTAGGAATCCACGAGAAGCAGCTTAAGACAGACATAGGGCCATTAAATGTGTGATGTTTAGGACCCAGAGGCTTATGGCTCAACTATTGTGTGGACAGGTCTGTAATATAGTTATGTACCTGTTGATATTACCACTTCTGTTTGTTTTTTATAGTTTTACCAATAAAGTTTTATAATAAACACCCAATCATATAAATTGGTTGGTTTACTGTTCAAAACTAGTCAAAGTTGATCGAAAAATGCCTTGTGAAATATTGTTTATCTATGACACGTAGTCTGTCACTGAATAAGCATGTTGGGTTGACAAAACTCTCAACTCCACTGAGAAGGTTGTTTGCAAAAATGAGTACTTCTGTTTCATAAATACATTTTGTCTGTCCCTACAGAGACCAAAAATATGCACATGTGAAAACTAGTGAACCTTCTGTTGTCTCACACAAGGAGCACAACACACCAGATAAGGGAATATTAAGTAAAGCACAACTCTATACTTTAAAAATAAAATAAGCAATTGATTTCATTTGATAGTGTTTTTATTGGACGCCTCCTTGGGGAGGTGTTCCGGGCACATCCCATCAGGAGGAGGCCCCGGGGAAGACCCAGGACACGCCGGAGAGGACTCTCAGCTGGCCTGGGAACGCCTCGAGGCTCCCCCGGATGAGCTGGAGGAGGTGTGTGTGGACAGGGAGGTCTGGGTGTCTCTGCTTAGACTGCTGCCCCCGCGACCCGGCAACGGATGAGGCAGAAGAAAATGGATGAGTGTTTCTATTTTTGCTTCCAAGTTAGATATTCCAGCTTTAAGAGAAACATTGCTTATTACAAGGTGAACTTCCATTTACAATTGACTGAGGCAATGTTTCCACCCCGTTTCAGGTAGCTCCCCAAAGCATTCAAGAATTCAAGAATTTATTTTAACTACTGTATATACTGTACTTTAATGTAGTGTACTGGTATATTATGCATGTGGGTTCTCTGTGGTTCTCTGTAGTTATTATGTAGCCTACAGTTGTATTATGATGCTAAAGGAGTAGCTCGCTGCCTTTTCTGTTTTATAAGAGTAGCTCTCCAATAGAAAAAGGTTGGGGACCCCTGACCTGCATCCTGTTACTCACAACAGTAAACTGGCACACACATTGCTGCTTATTCAGAGCTTGGAAACATATTGTGGTGCAAACATTCACAAGCTTTGTCAACATTTTTGGTCACAGTGGAGAAAAACCAAAGTCTAGATTCAGCGACAAAACTGGCCTCCGCCTGGATCCGGACTCCCACAGGATGGCGAGGTGAAGGAGAGGTGAGACAACAGGAGGATTTACTGTATGTTGGTGCATTTCTGTCGGTTTGTCTACATCTTGAGGCACTTAAAACTTGTGGAAAATCCTGATGGATGAGCAACAGACAGACGGTTTCGTCAGGTGTTTGTTCAGGCCTCTTCTTCACAGAGAATTTAAAATGTGTGCTACCGGAGTGTTCATTCCCGAGGTGCGCATTTATCAGCCTGATGTTTACGCTGCACATTTCTAACGGAAAGTGAAGCATTCTCACTCTGCTATCATTCAGATACCATTTCTGCTCTTTTTGCTTGTAAAGGCTTCACTTGCGCTAATCCCAATGACAATATTTTTTTCTTTTTTCTCAATTTCCTTCTTGGGCTTAAATAACCTCCCCCCTGGAGACATATCAAAGCATAAAATGTAATAATTTAAGCAGTTATGGCCATATTTAAATAATTCAAAAAACTGTCTTGCGGAATTACTATGAGGCTTTACCACTGAAAGAATTTTAATAAAGTCAATTATTAAACTATAACAAAAGAGAGAATGGCTCAGTGCAAAATGTGGTTCTAGTTATTGATAATATTGATACATAGATTTAATTCAGGGCTTTTTTTGGACTCTCAAAGACACTTCACTATTCATTCACCCCTCACACCGACAGGTTTCCAGAGGTCTCCCATTACAGAAAAAACCAGGCCTTGCCCTGCTTAGCTCCTAGTTCTGACAGGATTTGGCTTTCATATGCAGACAGTTCCAGTTAAATTCCAAGTCTTAATTGTTTTGGCATATTTAGTACTTAAAGGCATAAGATCACATATCAAATAATAACTACGCATAACAATCCCGTCAGATCTCTGAAGCTAAGTGGGGCAGCGCCTGGTTGGTACTGTGATGGGAGACCTCTGGGAACACCAGGTGCCACAGGGGGGCGGCTGCAGCTCTAAAGTGCCAAACTGTCATTGTGTCCTTGGGCAAGACACATCACCTACTTTACCTAGAATGAGTCTGATGTGTGTGTGTGAATGGTTGGTGGTGGTCAATGGGGCCGATGGCACATACTGGTTGCCTTGCTTCGTCAGTGTGCTCTAGGGCAGCCGTGGCTACAGTAGTAGTTTATCACCATCATGTTTGAAGTGACCTCTTTGAGTGTCCAGAAAGCGCTTTATAGAACCGATTTATAAAAAAATACTCTGCACTAATTATTGCTCTTAACATGGAATTTGAGGTCTAGTAGTAGTAGTAATATTTTGTGAAACCATAATCACATTCCCAAACTAACCTGTGAAGGAAGATGGCTTTATGGACATGCTCCCTCTATCATACAACTTGCACACAATTGAAAGTGACAGTGCCTTTGGACTTGTGTGTTCAGAGTGGTGTATGAGTACAGAAAAGTAGTTTTGTCTCTCAAATATCCAAACTGCTTTTCCCATCTGCTCGTCCTGTCACTCCCCCTCGCCGTGTTGACACAGATCTCCCAGCCACTCTTTCACTAGTTGTCACGCTAACCCACTCATCAGAGAGTGGTTGGAGAGCTTGTCCATGCTCTTTGGTAAATATCCCAGCTCTAATTCGACTCGTTTTCTATATTCCTGCCAGCTCCCCCTCACTGGCTGGATGGCAGATGGACAGTCGGACTGCCGTACATATGCATTCACATGATACTTCTGTCAGCTGTGTGCGAGTCCACCAATCAATAAAAAGGTGTCAGGAAGAGAAACAGCTATTTGGAGACATGAGCTGATCCACTGTAGTCACTGAAGTACATTAATTGAGGGGTATCAACAGCTCAGGTGCCGGACAGCCTGACGTGTGCAGTGTAGCGAGCAAGAAATCACTCTTCACTTTATTTAACAGATTTATGACAGCTCTCCCTGGCAGTCCGATGATTTTTTTTTTCTCCCCTGTTTATATCTATGCACTGGAGAAGTCTGGCGGTCAGTGGTGGGGAACTGAGATCAGACGAAGATGGTTCCAATGTGAAATGCCGAATGGGTGTGTTATTAATTCAAATGTTAGTAAGATTATTTTGCGCTTGCTTTTGTATCTGCTCTTTACTTTTTTTTATGTACAGTATATATATTTTGTTTGCACCATATCGCAAAGCCAGTTCCTTGTGACTTCCTGTTACTTACATTGGCAATGAAAATAAATTCAATATATGGAGATGCCCAAAATGAACCGATCCCCGCCCTACAAAAATGACCGAAAATTATAATGTGGACCTTCATGCCTTCTGAAAGTTCTTCTAAATAGTTTAAATTAGTTACGTATATTTTCTGATCATCTCTCCTATTTTTCTATTGCAAAGTATTGTAGTTTTTTGTATGAATCTGCATTTTGCGCTGCCCGAAACCCTCACATCACGTTGGATGTTCCTAATGTCACCGCTTTCCTTCTGCAGAGGGCGAGGGTCTGTCCTGGAGAGTTGCATGCCACTCGGGCCGTGAATCATTGTTTGGCTGAATAAGAGAAGTCGAGCTCCAGCTGACGAATACCAATCCATCCAGTGCATCAGGAAAGGTCAGTGATGTCACCATGACACTGGGCCATTCTTCCTCCGCTCGTGGCACTTGTAAGAGAGCTCCATCTCTAGGTGGTATTTCACTGCAATTTTCAATCAAAAGAGACGCCGTAAAATATTGAATACTGCGGAAAACTGATGATTGGAGGTGATTTGAATGTGTCATGACCCTTTACCGCACAGAGCAAGTGAGTGCTGTGCCATACTGTGGAATCCCATCCGAATTCCATCCAGAGGCAAGGTTATTAGGATACCACAGTTCATACACAAGGAAACTCAAAGTGCTTTACAAAATAAGAAAAGAACCATTAAAATCATACACAGATAAAACATGAACATTTACAGTACATGATTATGAGGGGCCAGGTGATCATTTCATGTTGAAAATGGAAACTACAAATTTTTTTTGAACACTATTAGACCTTTACTTCTCAAAATCTCTGTGATTAGACACACAACTTTAAAAGGAAGTAGTAAAGAATACAAAATGTCTCCTGTGAGTCGGCTTGCATCTCCACAAACCTGGAATCATCAAGTGAACTTCCTCTTCCATAAAGACCAGTAATATGTTTCCATAGCATCTGTGGTTGATGTCGATTGACGCTGATTACTTGGTTGATTTGGGTTCTGACTTCAGACACCTATAATCCTACATCAGATCTTACGTCACTTAGATTGAGGTCAACAAACGCTGTTAAATGTTTTTTTAAATTGTGTTTGTAACTAAGAAATACCCAACCTTTAATTAACGATGGCTGATTTTTGAAAATGTGGACCAAATCTCACCTTGCTTAAGTCTATCATCCTTAGAAATTGATAGTAGATGGTTTTTAGGTTGTGCGGGTAATAACTAGTAAGTTCACAGTCAAAGTGACCTCAAACCAATGTCAAGGTGACGTCAAACCAACGCGAGATGAATACGTTGCACTATATCTCTCCACCAACTCCAACTGATCCAAAACTGTGCAGGCCACACCCTCACGCACTCTCCCTCCATCAACCACATCACCCCTGTCCTGCAGCATCTCCACCGGCTTCCATCACCGCATTCAGGTCAAAATCCTGCTTCTCACTTTCAAAGCCATTCACAACCTTGCTCCTCCACATCAGCACACCTGCCCGCTCCCTCCTCTCCTCCTCTCTCCAGCTCCTGACGCCTCCTCCTCCCTCCTACCTCCTCCCTCCTACCTCCTCCCTCCTACCTCCTCCCTCCAGCTCCTGCCGCTCTGGAACACCCTTCCCCCTGACCCCCGCAACACTTGCACACTCCCAAACAGCACAAAAAACACAGATTTTAGGACTGGCTATGACTATGACCCTACATTTCACTGTCCATTGTAACTGTATGACTTAATCTGTTTTTTTTAACTTTGTACCTTTTGTAAAGCGACCTTGAGTGCCTAGAGAGGTGACAAATTATTTAAATATTATTTGTATTGTTGTCTTTGTTTTTTTTTTTCTTTATCGTTATACTTAGGCTTCTGTTGTTTGTACGTCTTGATTATTATTGTCCTTAAATAAAAAAATTCAAAACGTATTATTATTATTATTACAACGTTATCTTGGCGTCATATTGACATCTTGTGCTTGCCGGCAATACAGCAAAAATATTGAAATATACTGTTTACGTTTAGATGAGAGTCTGAGCGTTGCGGTTATATGAACTGTGTGAGTATGGAGCGAGTGTGGCAGTTGCTGATGAGGCTCTGGAGCTTGATTGCTGCCAGTAAAAGGCTGCTGCCCAGTCATCCAGGGGCGTAGCATCCGTCACAGTCTCAGCGCCGTGTCTGCAGCTAAAGTCCCTCTCCTCTCCACTGACCTAAAAAAAAAACATGTGGGCCAATACATGACACCTATGGCATGTTACCTGTGGCTTCTATGAATAAATGCATATCTTTATATTTCCACCTGAATTTAAAGCACCTGTGACCATGCCGAAGGATTCACATAGATTCACAAAAACGGTGTGATTTTTTAAAAGCTGCTAGGATGGAAATCGGCAATCTTCAAATGTTTTAAGTTTAATTGACAGTATCATATCTGTTGAAAGGAAAATGTTTAATATGCACAACTAGTGGTATAATAAAGTCATTACAAATACAATCTCATTTTTGTTGCCAGAGTCTATAGCTTCAAATTATGTGGCTCCTGAGAAAATATTACTGATGAAGTCTACCTGCTGGGGTTTAGCGTTGGAACAGCAAGAGCGCTGGTGTGCCATCTTCTCTGTCTGGTGCACACTGGGGTAGTCTTGCACAGTTTTTCCAACATGGTTTTACTGCAAATGGCAAACAAATTCTTGAATCTTGAACCAACTATGACTATTATTTTTGTATCTACTTTCATTCAAACAAATGTGTGGGGCAATTTTGTTTTTCTTGTAAGTTAGAGCCAAAACCAGTTATTTTCAACCCCTTGATAACCCAAACGAGAGCCTCTTTCTGCTCTGATTGGAAGTCGTAAGCATGAATATTAAGGCCATCATGTCCCATTGTATTTTCAATTAGGAATAACTCCACTTTAAATTTTTGATCAGAATTGAATAGATTTGATTATGTTTTGTGAATGTGCAGAATATGGTTTGTGCATGTGACCTGGGATCTGGGGACACAAATAAAAAATCCAGTTGAAAGTGGATAATGGGTTTTATTGTTATTATTGTATAATTGTGTGCTGTCTGTCTCAATTTTTGTTCTTTTTTATGTTTCTGAATTAAATATTAGATTCATAAATATGTATGGATTACTTTCGCACAGCTTTCTGTCATATGTCTTGTATTTCAATTATGATTTTCCGGTTAGGAGATTGGGTTCTGAAAGAATTTAGATTACATTACAAAATCTGTCTTGATTATTATTGATACTATATTCAAGTGTCTCCTTTTGTGTTGAGTTGTGCATTGAAAGTGTATCTGGAAACATCAATGAGCTCCATGTTTGCTGCTTCATGTGGAATTACACCTGAGAATATGAGTTATGTTCAAAGCAGACGAAACAGCAGTGGTGAAATCTTCTGAATGTTGATTTCCTGAAGTCTTGGCTCTAGCGTCACACATTGACTCCAACCACGTCACGATACGTCAAATCGTTAAATATGTAATGGCTCTAACATAACCACACACAAAAACATTTGCTCCGGCTTTTAAAGTTTGAAATTATGATTTAAATCCAGTTTGAATAATTCATAAAACCTCAGGGCAAAACATTATCGGAGCCGCATCATAGACACTTGCATCTCATTGTTAACCCATATATTAAAGCTTATCAGTTCTGTTTAGTATGGAGTGGTCAGTGCTGCCAAATCGCCGCCATATCGCATCACCCCAGTAACATAGCAACACACAAACCCATAAACACAGCTTGAAGTAACAGTGAATGAACCCACAAAATAAGAAAATAAGAATAAACTTGTTTAAAAAGTTGATCCCTGTGGAGGAAAAAGGTGCGATAAGAGCCGTGAGGGTTTAGGAGGCTGCCATGCTGAGCGTCCCGGCCAGAGGAGGATGACAGGCGGGGCCGGGGCATCAGTGCCGGGGTGAGTCACTGGGACAGGGTAGAGATGACACCACGTCATGTAGGCGGCCGATCTCCAGGGCCCAGGCTCCGAGCGGCTATTTACTGAGGGCTCCGACTGCAGGCACAAGGCCAAGTGTGAGAGACAAGGGCAAACACGGAGGAAGAGGAGGAGGAAGAGGAGGAGGAGATGGGGCTGTCCTGTACTTGTAAGAAAGCAGGAAGACAATACGTGACCATGACAAACCAGGGTGTTGTTGATATTGCTGTGTTGGAAAGGGACAGTATCATGACAAATCTAGATAGGTATAGTCCAGCTATTTATGCAAAATAAACCAAAAAGCCACATGGCATTTATCTTTTATTGTGGTAGATTCATCTGGAGATAGTGTACAGGTGGGACTCCGAAAATTAGAATATCGTTCAAAAGTTATTTATTTCTGTACTTCAAATAAAAATCTAAAACCAACAATTTAGACTCATTACCTGCAAAGTGAAAAAATTGTTGTTGTTTTTTTTTCTGAGATGTATATCACCTTGCCTGTAATGAGTATTTTTTTCACATTTTAGTTGAATTACAGAAGTTGGTAGGTGTCTAAGGGTCAGACAACTACACAGCTGCTTCTTTCATTTACCATTTTATGACGTTAGACACATCTACTTAGTGCATAGGCTTGACTTGCATTGTCAATAAAGTTTGAGTTTGGATTTTGAAAGTCTGTGCATGGACGTCCACATGTCCCTGCAGGGCCACCATCTGCTCGCAGTCTAAGGCCCTGTCCACACGAAGTCAAGCTTAGGCCTAAACGCAAAAATACTTTATCAATCCAGTGTATCGTCCATACGAGGCCGGCGTTTTGGGGGGGTGTAAACGAACATTTTTGAAACTAGGTCCCAGAGTGGAAAGATTTCAAAACTCCGTATATGCCGCTCCGTGGTTACTGACTCTCCGCAATGTATCTGAGACGCTTGCGTCATCGCCCCGCCTCTTGTTAAAGCACGCATGCGCCGCACTCAGAAAATAATGACAACAACAATGTAGCTTGTTGGTTTTGTAATCCAGTGTGACCCGAAGCAACAGTTCAACCTCATCGTCCGTCCATACTAATGTAGTACCAGCTCGCCCACTCGCCATGTTGTCTGTTTACAAAATTCCGCGCATGCCCAGTTCCCGTCACGGAAGTTTGGGCTTGATCCCGTCATTGCGTCACAGCGCCACCAACAGGTCTGGCATAGTTTCACAGCGTTTTCAGGCGTATTGACTACATTCATATGGACGCACACATTTGCTAAGCTAACTCCGTGTTTACAGAAAAAGTTTCTGAAATTATAAGCGTTTTGTCTTCGTGTGGATATAGCCTAAGTGTGAAGTAATGAAGGCTGCAAAGTCACAACAATGGTGGCTTATTTAATCCAACAGTATCTTTTATGCCTTTAGCAAGAATGTATTTGTCCATTCGCTTTGAACCGTCGTGTGAAATAACATGGATCATGCTCTACACTCTTTTTCTTTAAGTTAATCTACCTCTTCAGTACTACAGTAATTTTCTCCACATTTCGGCTGCTTCATGTTGTAATGTAAGACTTAACCAACAACTGATGGAGGAAAACAAACCGATTGACGAGACATGGCTCTTTTGACAATAAACGTGCATATTAAAGATACCTAAACCTGATGGAGTCATAATAAAAAGTCTCTAAACTCTGTTCTTACCACAGCCCTATTCACATAAACACCAAGTCCTGATGTCTTTCCCTCCCCTCCTTTTGTCGGGTCTGCTGTTCACGTTAAACATGTACCACAGCTGATAGAACAGTGTCAAAATTCTTACCTACTCCACGGAAGATTCTCTACCATAATAAAAATACATACATTGGCAACATTGCTTTACAGGCCACCAAGTTTAAAGAACTTTCAAAAGTAAGTAAGTCATCTTTATCTGTATAACGCATTTCACTCAAAGCACTTAACAATTTTGGTATTTTATATTTTTATATATATATATATTTTTTTAATGTACTTTGATTATTTATGATTTTAATGCTTTCTTGTTCTGTTCAGCACTTTGAATTGCCTTGTGTATGAATTGTGCTATACAAATAAACTTGCCTTGCCTTGCCTTGCCTTACCGGTATTTTGACGACAAAACCGATGACAGCCTCCCACCATCACCATTCATTCACTCTCTCATTACAGTCATCCCTATTGAATATGATTTTGGAGGTAGAGGAAACCGTAGCACCCAGAGAAAACCTACGCAGAGACAAGGAGAACACGCAAATTCCACCATGTAGTATTGTAGTTTAATAAGCACAAACCTTTATGTTTGTCCGATCCATGGGCGCCTCAGCATGCTTTGACACAAGAACGACAATCAGTGCTACGCTATCTGTTGATGCCACCTACAAAGTCTCTGAGGGGCCCCTGTGACATTTGCCTACAGCTCCAGGAGGGCCCCGAACTGTCGCTTTGATGGGAAACAAACCTGTCAGCTTGGAATACCAACTGATAATCTGGAATTTAATGTCTGTATAGGAGCAGGTCGTATGTGCGCAACTCAATCTCTTTGCTCTAATTAAGGACCAAATAAATGAGACAGTGTTATCGCCCTCCCCCCTGGACTGCCACCTTAACGTGGTGGGGGAGTTTGAGTACTCGGATGATCCTGGGAGCTATGCTGTCTGGGGCTTCATGCCCCTGGTAGGGCCTCCCATGGCAGACAGGTCTCGGGTGACGAGTCAGACAAAGAGCAGTCCAGAAGACACCATGGACAGCACTCAAAAGAAATCAGTGACGTCGCCCGGCATGGCGCAGCCGGGGCCCCACCCTGGAGCCAGGCCTGGGGTCGGGGCTCGTAGGCGAGCGCCTGGTGGCCGGGCCTTAGCCCACGGGGCCCGGCCGGGCTCAGCCCGAATGGACGACGTGGGCAGTCCCTCCTGTGGGCCCACCACCCGCAGAGGGGTCCGTGGTGGCGAAACGGTGCAGAGAGGACTGGGCAGCAGTCGAAGGCGGAGACCTCGACGACCCAGTCCGCACACACAACAGCTGGCTCTTGGGACGTGGAACGTCACCTCACTGGGGGGGAAGGAGCCCGAGCTCGTGGGGGAGGTTGAGCGATACCGACTAGAGATAGTCGGCCTCACCTCCACACACAGCTTGGGCTCTGGAACCCAACTCCTTGAGAGGGGTTGGACGCTCCACTTTTCTGGTGTTTCCCGCGGGGAGAGGCGGCGAGCTGGGGTGGCCATTCTCATTGCCCCCCATCTCAGCCGCCACGTGTTGGAGTTCTCCCCGGTGAATGAGAGGGTCGCGTCCCTCCGCCTCCGGGTGGGGGATAAGTCTCTCACTGTTGTGACGGCCTACGGGCCTAACAGCAGTGCAGAGTACCCGGCCTTCTTGGAGTCCTTGGGAGGGGTACTGGACGGTGCACCGCCCGGGGACTCCGTTATTCTCCTGGGGGACTTCAACGCCCATGTGGGAAACGCCAGTGACACTTGGAGAGGGGTGATCGGGAAGAGCGGCCCCCCTGATCTGAACCCGAGCGGTGTTCAGTTGTTAGACTTCTGTGCCAGTCACAGTTTGTCCATCACGAACACCATGTTCGAGCACAAGGGTGTCCACCAGTGCACGTGGCACCAGGACACCCTAGGCCGGAGGTCGATGATCGACTTTGTTGTCGTATCTTCTGACCTTCGACCGCGTGTCTCGGACACTCGGGTAAAGAGAGGGGCGGAGCTGTCAACCGATCATCACCTGGTCGTGAGTTGGATCCGCTGGCAGGGGAAGAAGCCGGTCAGACCTGGCAGACCCAAGCGTATAGTGAGGGTCTGCTGGGAACGTCTCGCTGAGCCCCCTGTCAGACGGACTTTCAACTCACACCTCCGGGAGAGTTTCTCCCAGGTCCCGGTGGAGGAGGGGGACATGGAGTCCGAGTGGACCATGTTCTCTGCCTCAATCGCCGATGCGGCGGCTCATAGCTGTGGTCGCAAGGTCTCTGGTGCTGGTCCCGGCGGCAACCCCCGAACCCGGTGGTGGACACCGGCAGTAAGGGATGCTGTCAGGCTGAAGAAGGAGTCCTATCGAGCCATGATGGTTCGGGGGACTCCTGAGGCAGCTGTCCAGTACCGGCAGGCCAAGCGTGCCGCGGCCCGGGCTGTTGCAGAGGCAAAAACCCGGGACTGGGAGGAGTTCGGAGAGTCCATGGAGCATGACTATCGGTCGGCCTCAAAGAAATTCTGGCAAACCGTCCGGCGCCTCAGGAGGGGGAAGCAGTTCTTTGCCAACACCATGTACGGTGCGGGTGGAGAGCTGCTGACCTCGACTGGGGATATTGTCGGGCGGTGGAAGGAATACTTTGAGGTTCTCCTCAATCCCCCCGTCACGTCCTCTGTTTCAGAGGCAGAGGCTGAGGATGTTGGGGCGGATACATCCATCTCCCTGGCTGAGGTCACCAAGGTGGTTGGTAGCCTCCATGGTGGCAAGGCTCCGGGTGTGGATGAGATCCGCCCTGATTATCTAAAGTCTCTGGATGTTGTAGGACTGTCTTGGCTGACACGTCTCTGCAACATCGCGTGGCGATCGGGGGCGGTGCCAATGGAGTGGCAGACCGGGGTGGTGGTCCCTCTCTACAAGAAGGGGGACCGGAGGGTGTGTTCCAATTATCGTGGGATCACACTCCTCAGCCTCCCCGGTAAGGTCTACTCCAAGGTACTGGAGAGGAGGCTACGGCCGATGGTCGAATCTCGGATCCAGGAGGAGCAGTGTGGTTTTCGTCCCGGTCGCGGAACACTGGACCAGCTCTATACTCTCCATCGGATACTCGAGGGTTCATGGGAGTTCGCCCAACCTGTCCACATGTGCTTTGTGGATTTGGAGAAGGCGTTCGACTGTGTTCCCCGGGGTGTCCTTTGGGGGGTTCTCCGGGAGTACGGGGTCGGGGGTCCTCTGCTGAGGGCCATCCGGTCCCTGTATGACCGGAGCCAGAGCTGTGTTCGCATTGCCGGCAGTAAGTCAGACCTGTTCCCGGTGAATGTTGGCCTCCGACAGGGCTGCCCTTTGTCACCGGTTCTGTTCACTGTATTTATGGACAGAATATCTAGGCGCAGCCAGGGGTCGGAGGGGGTCCGGTTCGGGGACCACAGGATTTCATCTCTGCTGTTTGCGGACGATGTTGTCCTGTTGGCTCCAACGAACCAGGACCTGCAGCATGCACTGGGACGGTTTGCAGCCGAGTGTGAAGCGGCTGGGATGAGAATCAGCACCTCCAAATCTGAGGCCATGGTGCTCGACCGGAAAAAGGTGCCCTGCCCTCTTCAGGTGGGTGGAGAGGTCCTTCCTCAAGTGGAGGAGTTCAAGTATCTCGGGGTCTTGTTCACGAGTGAGGGAAGAATGGAGCGTGAGATTGACAGGCGGATCGGTGCAGCGTGCGCAGTGATGCGGTCGCTGTATCGGACTGTTGTGGTAAAGAAGGAGCTGAGCCGAAAGGCAAAGCTCTCGATTTACCGGTCAATCTTCGTTCCCTCCCTCACCTATTGTCATGAGCTTTGGGTAATGACCGAAAGAACGAGATCGCGGATACAAGCGGTCGAAATGAGCTTCCTCCGCAGAGTGGCTGGGCGCTCCCTTAGAGATAGGGTG